GCATTTTACAGGTACACAGGGATGTCACTCGCGCATTGCCGACTATTAAGAAACTTTAATACGCCTTTTTTAAATTCAAATTCAAATTCAAAAATCATTTATTCATGTAGGACATTTTAGCCGCTTATGAACGTCAAATTTTTACATTATAATTTTATATTTACCCTACCGTCCAGTTCGGTATATAGATCCAATTGAGAAGAACTGGCAAGAAACTCAATTGAATTACTTTTTTTTTTAAAGCCAGTTTATTTACAATGTATATTTATATAGGTGTCTATGTCTAACATTAAATGAAAATTCAGTGCATGAACAACTATTGCCATGCACACTCGTCATTCAAGTAATCGTTTAGTGAGTAATAGGCTTTGCTCAGTAAATATGATTTAACAGATGTTTTGAATTTATTTAAGGGTAATTCCAACATATCCTTTGGTATCTTATTGTAAATTTTTATACCTATTCCCATAAAAGACCTATTAACTTTTTCTAAACGATACTTGGGGACAGCAAGTTTGTCTTTAAATCTAGTATTAATATTATGAATATTGCTGTTTTTTGGAAATAAGTCAAGATTTTTATGAACATATAGAATATTTGAATATATAAATTGAGAAGCAACGGTGAGAATATTTGCCTCTTTGAATTTCTCTCTTAATGAGTCACGACTCTTCATACAGTAGATCGCTCGAACGGCACGTTTTTGTAATATGAATATATTCTTAATATCTGCCGCTTTTCCCCATAGTAATATTCCATAAGAGAGTAAACTATGAAAATAACTAAAATAGACTAATCTAGCAGTATCAGTATCAGTGTACTGTCTAACTTTACGCACGGCAAAAGCTGCTGAACTTAGTTTCGCTGCAAGGCTTTGAATTTGTGCACCCCATTGTGTTTTATTATCTAGTGTGATTCCTAGAAAGACAGTAGATTCTATAAATTCGAGAGATTCGTCATTTAATTTAATATTGCAATTAGTATTAAAACTTTTAGATAGAGAGAAATTAACACATTTTGTTTTTTTAGCGTTTAACATAAGATTGTTAGTTGTAAACCAGTGCAGGAGACGCCGCAAAGCACTATTTACATCGTCATAATTATTAGTCATTCTATTAACTTTAAAAATCAATGAAGTATCGTCTGCAAACAATACTATGCCGCATCTATCCTGCATGGCATATGGGAGATCATTAATGTAAACTAGGAATAAGAATGGACCGAGAATAGATCCTTGAGGTACACCCATTTGCACAAGTGACCCGTCAGACGTAGCGTTGCTAATCTTCACTTTCTGTATTCTATCAGATAGATAAGATTTTATTAAATTTAAAGCATTGTCTTTGACGCCATAAAAAGCAAGTTTTTTTAGCAATGTATTATGATCAACGCAATCAAAAGCCTTAGAAAGGTCACAAAAAACACCTATCACATCCATTTTAGTTTCCCATGCAGCAAATACGTGTCTAAGCAACTCTGCACCTGCATCTGTAGTTGAACGACCTTTGGAAAAACCGAATTGACTATTGTGGATTAAATTATTTAAATTGAAATAACTGACAAGTTGCATAAGGATTATTTTTTCAAAAATTTTACTGAGTGCTGGGAGTATGGATATAGGTCTATAATTTATTGGGTCACTCCTATCTCCAGATTTAAAAAGCGGTATGATTTTACTAATTTTCATTATGTTAGGAAATTTACCTTCATCTATACATTTATTGAAAATAAAAGCAAGAGAGGGCGCAATAATTTCCATTATACTATCCAGTATTTTAACAGATATACCCCATAGATCCTCTGTTTTTTTATTATTAAGTTGTTTGAATATTTTCATTATTTCTACTGATGATGTATGTCTAAAGTTAAATACAGCTGATGACTTGCTAACATTGTCTGTTAGTAAAGTTTCAGCAGCAGACGGGGAAGATTTTAGAGCCTGTGTCGTAATTAATGGAATATTAGTAAAATAAGATTCGAATGTATGCGCGACCTCTGTGTCGGAATTTACCAATTTGTTATTAATATTTAAAGCTATTTTGCTATTTTGAAAATTAACTTTTCCAGTTTCGCTATTTATTACTTTCCAAGTGGCTTTTATTTTATCTTTAGATTTAGTTATTATTTTACCTAAATAGAGAGACTTAGCTGTATGACAAACCTTTTTAAATATTTTCGAATAAGATTTTACATGTTCATGAAATAAGGGATCGGATATATAGCTTCGTTTTTCGTAAAGTTCGTAAAGATTAGCCCTAGACTTATAAATACCAAACGTGGCCCAGTCACAAAACTTTGATTTTACACTAGTTGAAAATGTTTTTGTTTTAAATTCACTGCTAGCTTCATGTTCAATTAAATTAAAAATATGTTCACATACAATGTCCGGGTCATATTGAGGTACTATGACACTAGATATTTTATGTTCAATTTTATTTTTAAAACGTGCCAAATTCTTTTGTGTTATTAAAAAAACCCATGCTGTAGTCTCTAGGGAAAACTTCGGTAGAAAAATCATTCCACAACTTGAGTGTTCACAGGAGGAAGCTCCTCAGAAACAACACTGTGCGTAACCATACTGGTTCTAAGATGTGAAAATGAATTCCCTGTCGATGGCAGGCGGCGCGATTATAAAAGATGGCTACAGGCATCATTCAAACAATTCCTTAGAACACAATCTGTTATACAAGTAATATACATAATTATACGTAAATGTGATACTTTCAAAAAAATCGTACCAAGTTCATTTCCAATTACGCCACACAAAGAGTGTTACCATTATCCAATTATCTCACTGATAAATTAGGCGCATTACCAGGACACTTAGGTTTCATCGTAAATTGTGTATTTCTTTTAGTGTCAATGGATATGCACTCGGCCCAGTAAGATGAGGTATGTGGGTTCAATTTCTATTAGAAGCCCATTATCAATCGACTCAAAGGAACAAAATTCTCTTTTCGATTGTACCTATTTTTTTTATATTTGTTTCTTATTGTTAACCGATTTGAAATTTGTTTTTTATCTGAAAGAATATACTTACAAATTGCTTCTACATAGAAATTATATCAAATACAGTTTAGTAATTTAATTTTTAAACCGAAACAACTAATTTCGCCATATTTTAAGTCCCTTTTAGTGGAACACAATCTTATCATCTTCCTAATATTATTATTAATATCATCATTTTAGCCATTATCCGTCCACTGCTGGACATAAGCCTCCCCCATAGACTGCCATAAGAAACGGTCCTGAGCCACTTGCATCCATTGATTCCCTGCAATGCATTTGAGGTCGTCACTCCATTTAGTGGGGGTCATCCTACACTGCGTTTGCCCATACGGGGCCGTCACTCAAGATCCTTTCTTCCCCATCAGTTACCGATTCTTCGAAATGTGTGACCTGCCCATTGCCATTTCATCTTGCTTATTTTTCGGGCTATGTCGGTTACTTTGGTTCTTTTGCGGATATCCTCGTCCTCTTTCTAATATTGTAAAGATATTTAGATGAAATTTATTACATACATAAAACATTTTATTGTTAAAAGTTGTATAAGTACACATTGACCGGACTGACTGGCGTGTATGTATATTTCTCGACAAAAATATACATAGGTCAGTCCGGTTATTTTAACAATTAAAATATAATTACAGATCATGTCCGAAATTAACACATATTTTTTAACCTTAAAATTTATAAGTTAATTAAAATTTGTAAGTTATGACCAATTAAAAAAATAAGTATTGTAAACAGTTTTCTTTTGATTTATTTATTTATTAAACTGTATTAAACACCTAGAAAATGTAAATAGCGCACTTAACACCATACGCCATATGGCGTTATCTACCAGTCGACCGTAGACAGGAATAACAGAAAATTTAATTGACGGTGCAAAATAATAAACAATATTAAATTAAAACAATAATGCAAAAATAACATATACATAATACTCATATTACCTACATATTCCTACATTGCAACACTGCAATTGATTGATCCATGGGATTAAAAAATAACAATTGAGTACTGGCTGAGACGTGATACAATCGCAAATCCCTTACTAGCAGCAATAAGCTGTAATAATCCTGAAACTTGCATCGTTCGGATACTTGAAGTGCTAACACTCTTTAATATGGCCACTGTGAATAATGCCATATATATGTATATATATTTATGATTATATATTACTTAACAATCGACTGTAGACAGGTAATTTAGAGTATTGATTGTCATTCAATGACCTTTATCAATTCTACTGAAACAATATGTATCATTGTATCATAATTTGCCAACGATTTAATATATTTATATTTACATAAATACTTTATTTTTTATATAATTATTAACTGACTCGGCAATTATTCTGTCATATAAAGTTTTAAGTTGCATAAAAAAAATTCTAGGTAGGAGCACCTACCTACATAAAAAATTCTTAAAAATTAGTCGAGCTATTTAGAAGAAGTTTGACCATAAACACTGTAAACACGAAATTTTTATATATAAGATTTTAATTAGTAGTTTTTTTTTACATATGGCCAATATTAAAAAAATGCTATAATACCAATATATAGCCAATATTTAAATATAATAATCTGTATAAAAAATATGTGATAATACTAACTTAAAAAAATTTAAGGTCATTTTTAATAAAATTCTTTGTATTAATATTAAAAGACTAAATACTCCTAATATGAAATTTTATAACTAATATAAAATATGTAAAAACTTTATAAGTTTTAAAAGAATTTACAACTTATTTTTTTTAATATACTCATATCAAAAGTTTAAGACTTTACGTACCTAAATAGTGTTTTGACTAAAACTTTCACTGACCTCAAGTTTAGGAAGCCCCTAACGGTTGTTTAGCGGAAAGAAACTGCTGAGCTGTTTCAATTTGTGCGACCTAATTTATAATTCACGCTATTTACCCAAGTTCGTAATGCTATGGGCTCGTACGCAGCTGACACCGTGAAAACTTAACGATGCTGAACACTTAAAATTACCTTTATGAAGTTATATCGAAGTTCGCGACGCATCAAAAACACACTAAAAAAGAACTCACAAGTCCACAATAAGTCACAAATCGTTCTTCCTCACAAACTTCTCGAATTCTCAAATATGAATATCGAATCACATGTTCGGAGTCGCGAAACGCCAAGGCGGGCGGACGACCGTCTGTACACAATGAAAGTAACCGACTGAATATTGTACTGAAAGCGCCGAGCTCACGACTTTTCATTGCTGAAGTTTTTATTTCTATCGGAGCGAAATTTTCGAGTGGCTTTCGCTATATATTTTGTTTTGTAGTTGCAACTACAACTATAAAAAATACTACACGTAATAATGCTACACGTTTGTTTTCACACAATTTGTTTCGAAATTATTCTCCTCTAAAACAAATTAAATATGGAATACAATACTATGAAAATATTGTATATTTTATAATGAGCAGTTATTTTATCAGTACTCTACTGTTTTTTTTTTTTCATAATAACCTATTAACATCTCACTTTTGAAATGCCCTCTTTCATAATTTAAAATTGTGTTCTACAAAAAACGGATTTAAATGCAAACCCAGTCATTTTGATTTAAAAACTATACTACTGAACCGATTTTGATAGAATTTCTATAAGACCAACCTGTAATTATATTCTTTCAGATAAAAAAAACAAATCGGTTTTTAACTGACGGAGTTAGAAAGTAACAAACATAAACAAAGTTAAAAAAAAATACAACCGAATTAAGAACCTCCTACTTTTTAATTCGGTTGATAAAAGTAAATAATAACTCAGTTTTATCACGCTGGCCAGACGGCCTGGCATAGGATTTTACTTCCAGTATTCTTGCACTGTGCCGCTATAATTCCTTTGTTTTTTTACGATAAGCAAGAAATAAAAAGAAGTGACGACATGTTGTGTATTTACTCCTTCGCCACACGTAATTTGTATAAATTGATAATAATTACAAACACTAACAATGCCATAACAGAACGTACTGCAGCATCTACGAGTATGATCTTAAAACTCTTCAAAACTAAGATAGAATGCGTCTTTTAAATTCGTACCAGCTATTTTTAGACCAAAATACGATATACCACACATTATTGCTCTTGACAGAATAACAGTGAAATCAAACATTTAAAATTGATAATTTGTAACTAGGAAAGCCAATAAAAATTATTAATAAATAATACATACGAGTAATCAAAGATATTTCGACAAGATTATATTGTATGTTTCCTATATATGTCAAATATAATAATCAAATAATAACCAGGAAGCCATAATTCTATCACCATTCAAACATACTACGTTTTAAACGAACAGATACTACGTTTATGGTTCTACTAGATAATTTAAGATCTTTCATACCATAGATTAGGGATCATCATATCGGCAGTTAACTGTCCACTGCTGAACATAAGCCTCCCCCATAAAGTATCAGGAAGGAACCGAGCTAAAGGACTCTTCCTGGTATTTGCCATTGCGATTTATTTATTTAGAGCAAACAGACAGCTATAACAATACATAATTACACACTTAAATAATAATTTAACAGCCATTAAGGTTTGCACAAATGTATTTGATTTTACCAGTAGTTGTCATGCTTGGCAACCGCAGTTAAGCTTTGATGTTTTAAGGGGAACGCTGCTGTCCATTCCTAGAACATTAATTTACCTTAGTCAACACTTACGACACACTATTACGCCCATTCTATGCCGAACCCTCACAGCATAGATCAAGAATAGTACCGTTTTATACTTATAAAGCTGTGAAGTATCCTTGTGACATTTTCTGTCTATTTCTTAGCAATTCCGATTGTGTCAGTTTTAATTACAAACTCTGTAGCGATCATTTCGTAGTTTCTATAATATTTTAAATTTACATTTGTTTGCATTGGTAAGTATACCAACAATTATTTTTAGCATTAAAGCTAAAAAGTTACGATAATTAAAATACTAACTTGACAGTTAGACGTGCCGTATTAAAAATCTCAAAATATACCTCACTCTTTGTACTTTGATTCTTTAGAATAAATATTTAATTTGCTGAATAATAGTAAAAAAATTAATAGAAAACAGAAATTTATTATTTGACAAAAACACAAAGTTACAAACACAAGATACAATGGGCCCCACACTAGGCGAACCTGTGTCGTGGGCACCCAACAAAGATTAACAATTCACGATCTGTTATAATAAAAAGTACATTGTGGGCGGGTATTAATATAAAGGATTAAAAGATTGTCTATAGACTGGATTTATTCAGTAATAAGCTGGATAAATTCTGGTAAAAATATTAATTTCTTTTATGTAATAATAAATTACTAGTTAAGAATATCTTCTCGTTATATAAATCTATATGAAATTCTATATATTATATATAGAATTTAATTAAATTAAATTTCAATTAAATTAAATTTTAAATCCGTCAATTTAGGGAACTATACCAATACGACGATGACCTATTTCTGCCTATCTCGTTGAATTTAATTAACTCTAACGTCCATAAATAGACATGATATTATTTCAAAGCAATATATATAGCTTGATAATAATTTAATTTAAAATACTATTAATTTTTCCAATTCATAGTTTTGCTTGAGCATTTGATTATCATGTTTAGCTTTTATTTCAGCTGCAATTATTTGTAAAGAAATAAACATCACAGCTTGAGCAACATACAATTTACCTTAGTAATTATAATCTAAAATTATACTTAACTATTGAAATATAATGGTTTTAGTTTTCAGAACTGGCAACTTTTGTGGAATGATATTGGTAATACAGTATATTCTGTGATATACACGACAAATTACGAACAAATTATAAATTAATTTGTTCGTATTTTGTCCCTTCAATTCTTGCTTAAAAAGACACAACTGACATTTTATATAATAACTAACTTTCACTCCTTGTGGTCCCGGCATAGAATAGGCCACCCTATTCTTTCCCGTGGGTGTCTTAAGAGACGACTAAGGGAAGGCGAGGAATAGGCATCAGCGTCCCTTGCAAAACATCTTTAAAGCCTAACTGTGGTTGCCAGTTCGCCTGACAAGCATAACAACTCCCCCCAAGGGGATTATTTATATAGATATACTTATATTCTCTATGGCAGTTAAAGGCTGATTTGAAGATGATGATGATATTTTTACTCATGGCTGTCACTGCACACACACACACACATACAAATGTATATCTTACATGCAAATCACCGGAAAAAAAATCCAATAATATAATTATGCGTTCCTTTTTTTAATTCTTATCTAAATCAGCTCGAGAGAGAGCCAAGAACTAATCTCAAACATCTCAAGCTAACCAATAAATGTTTCCACATTCAGTAGATACCCTCTGAAACAATAAACATTGCCTACAGTTTTATGTTCAATGTCCTCGGTCTTCAGACCGACTGAACGCATACGGAATGAGTCTCCAAACAAAGCATACCTAAACCACAATGGTCAGGGCCTCCACGCATCATTTATTCAAATTTCAGTCCGTTTCATTAAACGGGGGCAGACACAAAGAAGTGTATTGGTGCGTTTAACAAATTAAAACGTCAACGCAATGTAATCTGTAAGGTTATGTTATGTTGAATAGTTAAAATGTACGTAAATTAAACAGAATTAATTTGCTAAATGATTTTCACTTTGTTTCCTAGTTACATATAAGTTGTTGCCATTTGGATTATTACTTTAAATACTAATTAAATTTAAAAACCATAATAAGAAATATTATTTAGTAATTTAGTATTTATTTAGTTTTTTTTTTTTTATTGATTTATACTATAACCAATAATAATATATACAATTAAATAGAAATAAATGTCATATGCATAGGTACAGAACATTATAAATTACCAGTATAAAATATTACTTGTGGGTGATTCTTTTATAAACCACTTATATCTTAACTAAAATACCATCACAAGTTTAAACAAATATATCTTCAAAAATCTTCCGTTTTAAATATATTAAAATAATAAGATTAATACAAACAATACCTATTTAATATACACTATTTTTAATATCTTAAATAAGTTAAATCCTTCATAGGGAACTGACAGGAATTCCGCTACCTTAATAGGTATTCTATTTTATGAGAATCTTTCATGATGAACAGACAACAATACTCTAATAAAGTAACGGAAACCAAACAATGAAAAAATGTGTTCGTATTATTTTCAGATTAATTTCAAGCGCTTTGAAGTTGAATATGAGACGATCCTCTGAAACAATTGGTTTATGTTTGTAAACACTCCCATAAAATTGTTATGTGCTACATATGCAGTTGTTTCACGTGGACATTGGATTTGATACAGAGGTTTGATGTATAATTATCATTATACTGGCCCTTACCCGCGACTACGTTTGCGTGACTGACGTATCTTCACTGACCGAGTTAAAAAGTAGCCTATGTCTTTCTTCATTCCATATACAAGTACGCACGAGTGGGGGGAAGGAATTGTTAGTAATGGAGCCTAGCAATCTAGCTATGCTAGCAATATACCACTCTATCAGGCCGACATCACATAGATAGATAGAAACTCTATATTGTTTCCTCCAAAAGATTACAATAGTAAACTTATTATAAATATAGATAATTACATAATGTATAATAAATTGTATATTAATTAATACCAAAGATAACCTCTGTTACCATCCTGTAAAACTCGTCATCAGTACAATAGAATAATGTATTGATAATTTTTTTTTATGGGTGAAAATAGAATGGTAACCCCACCCGCGCTATCGGTATGCACCGGCGGGGCACCAGTGAAGGATGATAGGTGAGGATGAAATAGGTCAGTTAGCCCATCGTGACGAATTCAACAAGAATTGTTCACGATGTTTTCCAGGGGGAATGACGTGGAGATCGACCTAATAAGGCATATTGCTAGCAATTGGGCTGTTAAACTCCATTGCTAACAATCCCTTTCCCACCCTGTATTGACACATTATTCCGTATATAATATCTGTAATCTTTACTAGCAAATAGAACATACATAGCATATATAAATCCAAATATATATTCTCAAGTTCAGTATATCATATTACACAAATATAGCGCGAGCTGTTAACCGCACACACTCTGCCTATAGGCCAAGTTAGTATATCATTCTAGAAATTGATATTTTGACCATAGACAAAATTTTTCTTTGTAAACTTGTACTTCCACAATCACATAACGTGCGTTGTAGTATACAATTTTAGGCGATTTATCATGATCAAAATAAAATAACCCACTGACCTGTGCACTCATGATCACCACCGTATACATTAATGTCCCACAAATGGATATGCAAATAAAATTATTTCCGCATAGTGATGGAGTAAATATACCCAGTGTCTATTTCTTTTCATCCCCCAAATTGTCGAAGTGATGAATACAGAAAATTAGCGCAATACACTAATGCAAAAGAAATAAAACTAGATGCGATGTACTACGAATTGAATTTAATAAAATTTCGCATATTTATTATAATTTTAATTTCAATTCGTAGACGTTCAGAAATTTATCTGGATTAAATTAAATAAATTTTTCTAAGAATTTTTGTACAAAACATTCTGATTGCTCTATAATTTTGCATTTAACAATATATCTAACGCGTAATTATGTGAAAAATGTATAATTAAGTTTTTTTTCTAATTTTTATTATATCCAGGTACAGCAATTCGGACCAACTACATTCTCTTAAAACTAATTCCATTTTAAAACTTAAAAATGATTAGAATTTGTTTTGTTCATATTACCGCCAAGGCCGCTTCGAGCTTACAATGTTTAAGTAAATGACCTACTTGTCTGTCTTGCTTTAACATTTATATTATAATATTTCTTCTCTTTAACATTGCCAATCTATATTTATACTAATATTATAAAGAGGAAATTTGATTGTTTGTTTTTAATGGATAAACATAAAAATTACTTAACCGATTTTAAAAATTCTTTCACATATAGAAAGTTATCGAAATCCATCGAAATTATCTCGTGATAATTTACAATAAAGCAAAGTCATGATCATCATTTTAAATCACTGATGGAGTCGTTCATTTCACATATAGATCATAAATCTATTTATTACTATTATAAACAAGCAAAAGTCGATAAACATCTAATTCCACAACCCCCAAACACCATTACATACATTAGTCGCTCAATAAGATTAGCGCCAAAATTGGATGAACGTCGTAAATAGGCATGGGCAACTTGAATACCGACCTGATATCTATATATTAGTTTCTTCTGAATATTGATGGCAGAAAAAAGTTCATCATCCATTTCGATATCATTCATATTGGTCGGAAATATATTTTTAAATGTGTTAAAATTCTATTATCGAATATTATGTTTTGGATACCATTTTTTTCTATAACAAAGGGGCAAACGAGCATGCGGCTCACCTAATGGTAAGTGACTGCCGCCGCCCATAATCACCCGCAACACCAGAGGCATTGCAGGTGTGCTGCCGACCTTTTAAAAAGAAAAATGCTCTTCTCTTGAAGGTTATAATATCGTATCATTATTTACATACATGCTTATAACATATTCGTTATTATACAGTATATAGATATTATAACTAAAATATATAGATATTGCTACCATACATATATTATCATATCATCATATCTGTCACGCCTGTCTCCCATTAGGGTAGGCAGAAACAATGGAACGCCAAATGCTTCGATTCAAACAAACCTCTTTCGCTTCTTCCACATTCATCAATCTTGTCATACACGCTCGTCGGTTACGGGTACTTTTAATTTGGCCCTTCTTCAGCACGTCGCCTATTTGGTCGACATACGTCCGTCTAGGGCGGCCCCTACCGACATCTCCATTCATTCTACATATATTACCCAGCCCTAAAATCGTAAAAATTTGCTAATGAAACATGTACTCTATGGCTAATAGGTACATGCAGAAAGTTATGTATAAGTGATGTTTGTTTTGGTAACAGACGGGCAACTTCGCCATGACAGGCGTTGTCTTGTTATAAATCCATTCGACTAATGTGACTTGTCCAATCTTACTTAAGTTAAACTGTCCCCTGACTGGGGGAAAGGGATTGCTAGTAATCTGGAATAACAGTCCCATTGCTAACAAAATACCCTGTCAGATCGACCTCCACATAGACCCCCTTGGAAACCTAAATTCCAAATATATTCATCACAATAGACTAACTGACCTGCCTTTTCTTTCTCACTTATCCTTCACTGGTACTCCGTCAGCAGATACCGTTAGCGCAGGCGTGGTTACAATTCTATTATCATCTATTTAAAAAACCGTCCTCGGACTTACGTCTCTTATGGCACATTAAGAGTGAAATATGCTGTTGGATACTTGATCAATCTTTTTTACCTATAAGATATTACGTTCCATTGCTCTATGATTATAGTAAAAAAGAATATTTATATAGAACGGAAACAATTAGGTAAAATAAACAGAACGTCCATTTCAAACAAGCTTTATGTACTTATAAAACTCAGCTAACGGATATTGGAAAACTTACTATACAATATATATATATATATATATATATATATATATATATATATATATATATATATATATATATATATATATATATATATATATATATATATATATATATATATATATATATATATATATATATATATATATATATCATCATAATTCAGTTACTCCTTCCCATTAAAAAAAATTAGAGTGTTTTCTTATTACTGCTTGAAAAATAAACAAGCTGACAGCATCAACAGCCCACCTAATGGAAAGAGGTAACCATAGGCTTGTTTGCGATTCTAAGTCGCATAAAAAGGTACTTTTTAGTAATAACACCTAAATACATAAAACGGTATAATAGTGATAAAAATAAGTATAAAATTGAATATTAACATTGTTAATTTATACTTATTGGCAACCAATTGATAGAGCATTGCGTATTTTGTAACTATGAATAAACATAAAGCCATATAGAGCCACGAATTAACAGAATGTATGTTCATTGCTTTGCGACAATTTGCATAGACTACGGCGCCAAGCGTACATGTTCAGAAACTTTTTTATGATTTTGGCACCATTTTTTTTTTAATCTAGAGTAAAGTAAATGCTGTGAGCAACTGTGAGCATGATGTTAAATTGCAGTAATATGTCATTTCATTTATCAACATCGCAACATACACTCGTGAACCGTATTTGCAGCTATGCTGAAGTCTCAGCATATGCTTAACGCTTATGTCGATTTACATATATCAATACGCATAGAAAATAGATAATGGCACATACTACATACTTACTTATTTATAATACATATAACAAAGCTTGGAAGCGCTAAAATTGTAAGAAAATCTAGTTATGTACCTATTTGTTAGGTATGCAAACTTCCTTCTTGTTACTCAGCTTGTTTGTCGTTCCCTGATGTATAAAAAGCTTTGCTCCTTTTATTTCTCACTAGGACGTCGAAGTTCTAAACAATTTCTGTATTCTTCCTGAGAATCGTTTATAAAAAGAAATATTTCTTTCTATATAAAATCCTCTTATGCCATACAACATATAACTTTAGATGAACTATCTTATTAAAACGTTTTACTAATTGCCAAAAACTGACTAACATTCTCATCTATGTATGTCGTCATCGTCGCATACTCAGGAAATGGGAAACATGTATATTTAATTTAAAAAATAAAAACAACATTAAACTTATGTCTATATCACCGATTACTCCGATATAAATTTTCAAACTGACTAAAAATTTGTTTTCGTTTTCAAAATCATTAAACATGGCCGCCATTTTAATTAATACATATCGTAATGTAGAATATATTTATTATTATTCCTGAAGGTGGTATTGATTCACAATACGTACAATACCTTCCAATAAATGCAGTAAAATGTAGTCATGTTATATTATTTGTCACTTACATCTTACCTACTACCTCAGAATATCTCACATATATATAAGTTTATGTACAATAACTGCATTATTCTTATGCATCTATGCAATATATTCTTATAGAAAATAATAATTTTCAATTAAAAAAAAATACTATTTAATCTGGAGTATATATAATTGAACCACTTGTAATACTAAAAATATTTTTATTTTATTTTAAAATATATGTCCGCCAAAAGTCACTTTTACTGACTAACGTTTGGACCACTTTTCACACTCGTTACTTGATGTATGTAATCTAGAATTTATATCTATCTGCTTACATCCAATTTTTACTAAAAGTCAGAGGTCACTGTCAATTATTAATTCATTCCACATCCGGCCTAACCTCCGATCCAGTACTAACAACCATTTCAGTAGCGTTTTCATTCCTTTTAACCCTTTCAGAACTGAGTTAAACATTCTGATAGTTGCGTCAAAATCACTCTCATAAATTTACGTGACTCCCATATATAAAAATATTTAAAAAATCACTGTTTTTTACCTGCGCCTTCGTTCGCATGATCTTACATTGATTGCTCAAATGGCCTATATTCTTCTCCAATCTTAATACGTGTTTACCAAAATTAATAATAATTTAGTACCTTTTTTGTTTTACAAAACAAGGGAACAAACAAACATGCAGCTCACCTGATGGTAAGTGACTACCATCACCCATGATTACCCACAACATCAAAGGCATTGCAGGTGTACTGCCGGCCTTTTAAAAAAGAATATGCTCTTTTCTTGAAGGTTATGATGTTGTATCGGTTCGGAAATACTGCTGCTGGAAGTTGATTCCAAAGAGTGGTTGTGCGTAGAAGTAAGTGCCTTGAAAAACGCAAGGTGGAAGACCGCTACTCTTCCAGATGGTTGAGATGAAACTTGTTTATGGCGATTTGTACGGCGGTAATTAATCGGAATCAGAAATTCTTTACCCCTATAGGTCACGTATCGGAATAAAAACTATCCTATCCTGTCAATTGGAGCAAACAATACACATTTACCAAATTTGTATTGTTTGCTCCTGGGACTTGGGACACACACATGGGATTTTTGTATATTAAGATTTCTAGTGTATATGTATGATAAGTTTCATCCAAACCGTGATTGAATAACGAACATGCACACAATATTACGTTATCATATTTATTTATTTATTAATTGCTCACTACACTTTCAGCATTATTTCTATATTATATCAGAATGTTTGTACCTACCGTAATAAGAAACAGGCGTGACAGATATGTATGTATGTACGTATATATATTAAAATGGTAATAGAAGGAAGTATACAGTAAAATATATTTTTGGAGAATCTAATTTTTATTCTCCTCGGTATTTTAAGTAGGTCATAGGTCAGTAGGTATAATCTAAATTAGAATGTTTGGTATTTTTCATTAAATTTCATTTTAAATATGTTTATAAATCTTAAGAATTTGCCAAATAGGAAAATTATCATTTTTTCCTTACGTCAGTAAAAGAATTTCAACGTTTCTTAAATCTGTATTTGATTTTTTTTTCATACACCACAGACAAGTAAAGTTTTTTTAATATTTCAGAAGTCTATTCCTCACACACATACAGCTATAGGTCATATTTTAGCAAGTAAGGTATGATGTGATTAATAATACAACGAACATATATTTAAAGATAAAAATAATTTAAGACCTATATAAATTTAAGGTTTTGCTCCAAATTAAACGGTATTTCCAATCGTTACCAAATTAATATAGTATTAACACGGAAATAAATCCTAACGTTTACAAAAACAACTCTTAAAACCGATAAAAATTGCCGATGTAATGGGGTTACATACAAAACATCCTAGAAACAAATTGAAAAAAGAGAAGGTCCTTTTTGAAGTATACAAATTGAAAAATTTATTATCGACTCGTAAGAAGTAAATCTTAAGTCACACCCCATATACGTAAGCAAAAAAGTTTTTCCGCCATCTTTGCATTTCTTACTTTCTCCTGCTATGTTTGGCAATATTATATGTAACAGTGCAATATAGTGTCTGTCTAAGGTTTTATAAAGTCTCTCATAAATTATGTTATTACTTGGCATATTGCTCATATGTTTTAATTAAAAAAAAGTACCTACTTCATTAAAATTAACGAATCGTTACTACTGAAATTGTACATTATTTATTTTATATATAATATATTATTATTTTTCCCGTTGTGTAAAGTATTGATTTCTATAAAAAGGTATGCTAAAACTGTAAAACAACTGTGCCAAGATAGAAAAACTTAAGAATTACTCGTATATGTTTGTCCGTGTGGTCCCAGCATAAAGTAGATCACGCCTTCCTTTCCAGTGGGTGTCGTAAGAGGCGACAAAAGGAGGGCGAGGATAAGCAGCAGCGTTCCTCTTAAAATATATCCAAATTCTAACTGCGGTTGCCAATCCGTTTGCAAAGCTTGGTAACTACTGGCAAAATCCCCCAAAGGGGACGTTTGTGTTCAACAGTGAATAGTTAAAAGCTGATATGATGATGACGATTATATGTTTGTGCGTAATTTAAAAAAGAAAAAAAAGACTACAATATTTTCTTTTTACAAACAAAACATCGCCTTTTATTAAAAAAAATATTCTCCAGCTTAATCCCAAAAGTAAATGGCCTCTAAATAAAATGGATTCTGCGAATAAACGATAGAAATGACACGCTAAGAATAAAAGTTACTATAATTCAGTGTAAAAACATAAAGAAGAAGTGACTAAGATAATAAATGTCCATACGGTACTTTAGTACCATTACTTAAAGTTCAGAATTAGTATTCCTTTTTATAAACGTAAGTAATATCAAATACCATGTTACAGACAATATACTGTATCATCATCATAGCAGCCTTTAACTATCCACTGCTGAACAGAAGCCTCCCCCCCGGGGGTGTTTGCCAGTAGTTGCCATGCTTAGCAACGTAAACGGATTGACAACCCCAGTTAGGCTTTAGAGATGTTGTAACATGGACGCTGCTGCCCATATCTCGCCCTCATTTAATCGCCTCCTATGACACCCACTGGAAAGTAAGGTAGCCCATTCTATGCCGTGACCACACGGGAACACTAATACTTAATTGATTTAATTAAAAAGGTAATTCAATTAAACTACAACAAATTCCATCAAGTCATCTCACTTAGGTCTTGCTCTTACCTGACTATTAATATTTGACAGATCTTTTACAGTATTTGAAATCATTATAACTTCCCAAAGTAGATCTAAATTAAAATTCTATCCACCCTTGTGGAAGGTAATAATTTATATTGAACATAAAAGCAAAGATATTGCCATTTAAATTGAATTACAGACTAAAACGTCAGCGCATTTATATTATCGGCAAACTCCACAGCGTAGTTTTGTTAAGAGATCAATTTTGTGGTTTTTCTTTCCTATCATTTTATACGTTTATATTTTATTTCTGAAATCAATATTTAATAGCACGTACTTATGCAGTTAGTTTTATAAATAAGCTACTATACTAAGCTTGGTAGGCGGGTTGACAACCGTAATTAGTGATGTTTTAAGAACTCTAATTTAATTTAATTTTGTCTGTTTAAAATTTGTCACAATATTGTACATCGCTCTATCCGCCGACATTGATGCTCCTTTCCACTTTAGGTTTGCTGGAAGAAAACTCTATTAGAGTTAAGCTCACCTTTGTACATTTGATTACCTCTGTCATATTCTTATAACTGGTGTGTACAATAAAGAATTAAATTTATAAATAAACTCTACTTCCCATCCTTCGACCACTAAACTCCATTTGTTGCCTCTTACGACATCCATGGGAAAGGAAAAGATGGCCTATTCTATTCCGGGACCACACGTTCGAATATTATGCTCGAGAAAATATAGCCAATTTGAAAAAAATAAAAGTTTATTGACATCTAAAGTTTATTTTGCATCATATTTAAACTCATTATAAGTTACTTAGGTACCGAACCTTTCAATTATAACTGGGTCTCGACAACAGTTGAATTTAAACTTCAATTAGTACCCTAAGTGCTCTCTAGCCTGTTCAGAATAATAATCAAGTTCACGACGAAAATATCATGTCGTTTGTTATATTAAATTAATATATAGTTAGACATGAAGCGCTTTGTAATATTCAACTGATTAGAATCGTACTGAAATAGGTATGTGACATTTGAATACAACGCTTATTTCACTTTACCATACAATGTTTTAGATACGAATGTAACATAGATACACTTGTATCTTGTTTATATAATATTTTACATTATAAGCATCTAACTATGTAGAGTGAAGTGAATATAAATTCTTAGATTGTGGTCCACAACAAAAGCCGATTTCAATTGTGAAAAAATGTAGAAAAAGAAATTTTGATTTATTAACTAAATCACTAAATTAATTTTAATTGATTTCTATGAAACAATCTGTGAGTGTATGCTTTCAGGTAAAAAAAAAATATTTTCTAAATTGATTCATAATAAAGGTATGAGATATAACAAAGATAAAAAACTGTATTAAGAACTAAAAACTATTAAAAAAAAACAGCTTAATAATAGTACTCTTTTCAGAAGATATAAACTCTTATAAATTTTATAACTAGAAATCTTTATCACATTTGGTCCACCTGTACCTCATTGGATAGTTCCCAATTTCTTTGAAATTGAATTTAAAGACATATGGTCAAGTAACATTATGCAATACTAATACTAATTGATGGGGGGGGGGGGAAGGGATTGTTAGTAATGGGGTCAAGCAGCCTCATTACTAGCAATATACCCTATCTGGTCGTCCTCCACGTGGTTCCCCCTGGAAACCATCATGATTAATTCTAGTTGAATTCGTCAGGATGGGCTAACTGACCTGCTTTCTTCCTCACCTGTCATCTCTCACTGGTGCCCCTCCAGTGTATACCGATAGTACAGGCGGGGTTACCATTCCATTATTATCCATTTAAAATACTAATTGATAATTGGTTTCAACCAGGATAATAACGTTTTGCCTGACATGTTTCCTGGCATTCTCAGTGTGTTGTGGCATCACCATTGCTATTGTGGCGGGAATTGCCTATGGATACAATTACTCTATGGCAGAGTTCCTCACTTTCACCAGTTAGTACCTATTGTCATGTAATATTAACGTTCCGCGAGGTTTCACTCATTTATCACTTTAGGCTTATATCCTATGTGAACATATCATTCAGGAATGAGATAATATAATATTCATGTTATTTTCTATGCAAAATACTAAATTTATACGAAATTTGATAATGATTTATTGAATAGTTAAAAATATGACAGAATAAATACTAGTTTAATCTAGAGCCACAAATTATAATATTAAAATAAGTACATAAAATTTAATTAAACAAAGTGAATAAACATTCATAAATTGGGTTTTTTTTAAATAACCAATTAATTATAAAAAATAATTTATATTATATATCGTCCATGTGGTCCCGGCATAGACCCCGGAATGGGCCGCTTTCTTTCCTGTAGGTGTCGTAAGCGGACACTAAAGGAGGACGAGGGATGGGCAGCAGAGTCCTATTTAAAACATCTCTAAAGCCTAACTGCGGTTGCAAACCCGCCTGCCAAACATGGCAACTACTGATAAAACCTCCTAGGGGAAGGCTTATGTTCAGCAGTGGATTGTTAAAGGCTGATATGATGATGATGATTATAAAAAATTTATATACGAAAACGTACGATAACGGAGATCCAATTTCCATATTCTTAAACGATCACGACGTGCAACCAAAACCTAAACAACTTTGTACAGGATCCGATGTCACAGTATACATGCGTCGTGGCCAGTTCTACGACGCACCCGAAGTACGATCCAAAAGCCGAAGAGCCGGAGACGAAAAAAATTGTTAGTTTTATAACTTTCCTCTAAACTCGCAAACAATACCTTTTTCAACAAAACCTAATGATAATGTAACCAAGTTTTGATTAAAATATCACAAAGGCACTCTGTAAATAAAATCACTAACAAATCTAAACATCAAATTAATTAATGTACCTATTAGTTTTATTTAGTTTTTATTTTTTATTGGCATGTCCAAGAACACTGTCTATGATCAATTATTTTATTTGTTTGTTTACATTTACGCTACCATTTGTAAAGTTGCGTTTTATTTATTATTATATGATCTAATAATCTAAAAAAAAGAAATAATTTTATTATAATTAGGACAATTATTAATATTGTAATATCTGAAATTACCTAAAATAAATCTACCTAAATAAGACTTTACATTTTACACGCTATTAAAAGAAATGTGGCTTAATACAAGATCCTATAACACTAATTAAGATCTATTTTAACCATATTTGTGCAAATAACATTATTAGTATTAATTTTTAATGTAATGTCTATGGGCTGCTAAACTTAAGAAGAATTACTTACGTAAAAAATTTTAAATGATATCAATTATAAAAGGGTCTACCACGAAATGAAATTCCGAATTTTCAGACTAGATTCAAATCTGTGCATTTCAATTTAGATCTTTTAGTAATTTATTTCCATCAAGTAAAACAAGATCAAGCGCAAATCCGTTATAAAATAGAATCTTAAAATATTATTTCAGTATTCTCAACGAAAATTGCTGATCATGTAGAGAACAAGCCTCCGAGCACGGATACGAAGTTACTCTCTAAAACGTCGGTAAAGACTGAAGATATCAGAAAGTATGCCGAGAAACTTACAAAATATACTATCTCGACTGATTACGTACAGTTAACTCGTACGACAGAGGTACTCATGTTCTAATTTTTATTATGATATTTATAATAACAGACAACCATCGTCATAGGAGGGAAAAGGGATTTTTAGCAATGGAGTTCGACATTGCTGGCAATATGCCTTATTAGGTCGACCTCCAAGTGATTACACCTGGAAACCATCGTGAACCTTTCTTGTTGAATTCGTCACGACGGACTAACTGACCTACTTCATCCTCACCTATCATCCTTCACTGGTACCCCGCATGGCGCTATCGGCATACACAGATACGGATAGCGCGGGCGGAGTAACCATTCCATTATCACCCATTAAAAAAAACCATCGTCATAGATATGAACAGCACCATAGACACAGAAAGCACTCTAATATAACTGCTTATGTGTCGCTATTCCTAAGGACTATTTATCTATTTATTGCAACAAATAAATTTACATAAAAATTGCTAATGAAAAATTTTATAACATAATATATGCATAGATAAATAAATACATACATATCTCTTACGCTTGTCTCTCATTGGACTAGACAGAAACAATGGAATGCCAAATACTTCGATTCAAACAGACCTCTTTCGTTTTTTTTAAATTACACAGAAAAAATAAACTTGTGATACCAAAAAGTAATTTGACCTTGTACCAAAAGAATGTTTCATTTATGGCCCAAAAAATATATAATAAACTTTCTTCAGATCTTTTAGACCTTCCCTTGAAAATATTTAAGAAACGGCTTCATCTATGGCTTCTGGATAAGGTCTTTTACAGTATGGGAGAATATTATGCCTACACATCCCAAAAATAGTTAACATAATTATTGATAATATAAATCCTTAAGACTTGACATAAATTTGCTATTGTAATTTGTATTTAATTAATAATAATAATGTAATTGTTAATTTTATTTGACGATATTGAATATGTACTTACATTTATTGATTTGACATGATAATTGTTTGAGCATTGTTTTTTTTTTCTTTTTTTATTATTCTATGATCAAAATAATGTCTAAATTAAATTTGTATCCTTATTTAAGGAATAAATTAGATTTGCATGCCTACAATTTTAAGGCAATTAAACAGATGCCAAAAAGTTTTGTCACATGGCCCTTATAATGTGAAATGTCTGTTTAAAGCAAATAAATATTTAATTTCATTTCATTTCATTTCACATTCATCAATCTTTTTATATCGGATACTTTAAATTTGGTCCTTCTTCAGCACATTGCCTATGTATGTGTAACATTCTCAAAATATTACCCAAACCAAATCTTATGTACCATTTACCAAAAGGAATTTCCAACTCTTGATATAATTTTAAATAGATATTGCAACTTCATGAATCTTGCGAGATCCTAAATTAGATTTAATAAAGACTAATTTATCCTAGCTATATTTAACTACGTAATTCCTAAATGAAATATATAATCAAAAAATATTTAGAGAACTAATAAAAGGTTTATTTTCATAAGAATTGAGTGTGACAAGGATTTTTCTATTAACATCATTAACAAGTAATCTTACTTTAGTAACAAAATTATAACTAGTCGATATTTGTACATGGAAGATATTTAAGAAAAAATTGTATCAGGTTTCTTAATAAGACCAATAAAAGCCAAAACAATGTTTTTTAGAAATTTTGTCTATCTATCTGTAAGTTTGTTCTGGCATCAAGCAAAAACTACTTTACTGAATATATTTCTGAATGTCAAACTTAAAATTTTATGTATGTTTTTATCTTGACAAACTATCTAGAAGTGATCTATTTAATCAATTTTCGTACTTCGGGAAAATACCTAGTTTCGTAGAAAAATTTCACATCAATTGATGTACTTGAGTTATCTATCTCTATCTATACGTATCTATGTACTCATTCTCTCCTGAGGAACACCAAAGACATTGAAATAAAATTCTTATTCTTAGAAGAACACTTACGAGTATAGATGCAGAAATTTACCTTACATTTGTTCGATAAAAAAAAATTATGCTAATATTTTCTTAATTTCCCCATCGGGAAAGATTGTTTGCTACTGAAAATTATAAATACAAACAAATTTGTGGTTCACATAATTTAAAATGACAGCCGTCACGTTACAAATGCCAACAAAACGAGTATTATACTGTATCGAATACAATTGGCTCCCTTGATATTATCGACTCGCTCATGAAAATACCGACCTATTCCATTTATTATTGATATAACAATCAAACATGTCGTTTAAAATAACATTATTCAATTCAACGAAATAAGTAATACGTATCTATTATAATTCTATACTTTTATCTCTCTGGAGACTATCAAAATAAGTACTATGCAGTTATACAGCTTACTTTTGAATTTTTTGACTGTGAGACATTATATACAAAATAATTTAACTTTTTTTTTTAAGAAACGAATAATTACGAAGTTGTCTGCTAATCCACAGTTCATATAACCTGTTTAAAATACTGTCAATAATAAATAATTATTGATTTATTATTGTTATTTTTTATTTATTTTCACCATAAAACCAAAATACAAACATACTAAAAACCACAGAGGTTTATCTGTAACGCCATAAGTTCTGCTTATTTTGTACTTGCATGACATTCGAATACAAATTATTGTATATACCTAACTACATTAAATGAAATTATATACTACAGGTTGCTCAAAAATACTTTTTAAATTTATGTTTTATATTGGACTGTGTGATGCTTTGTCTTAAACACGAATCTAAATTATTAACAATACGGGAAACAAAATATAGAGTAGATCTCTTTCCATAAATATTGGATGCCCTATCTGTTACTAAGTTTTTTAATTCAATAGGTACCACCTGATCTCGCCAATCGCTTAACCCTCAAGCTAAAATAACTTATTATAAATCAAATATAAATGACACTATATAAATTACCTACACAAATACGTTAATTCTGGGGGGAAAGGGATTGTTAGTAATGGAGACTGAGAATCCTATTGCTAGCAATATATCCAACCAGGTCGACCTCCTCGCGGTTCTCCCTGGAAACTATCATGGTTAATTCCTGATGAATTCATCATGATGGACTGACTGGCCTGTTTTCATTCTCATCTATCACCCTTCACTGGTGCTCCGCCAGCGTATCCCGTTAGCGCAGGCGGGATTACCATACCATTTTCACCCATCAAAAAAAAAACGTTAATTCTTATCTTCTAAAAAATTTAAGTAATGCCATATTAATATTTTCACAGATGCCTGCAACACCAATGGATTATCAAAAGCCAGTTTATTCTACGCATATCCTCACACGTATTTCTATTACACCGAACCCTCTAATTTCGACAACCATATTAATTAACGGGAATTCTGAAATAGTCATGAGGAACTTCGAACCAGTTCATATTACAGCAATGTCCGGCATCGAAACAACTGAAGATTATCTTTACAACGCACCTGATTTTGATGAAAAGAAGAAATTAGTAGATCCAACAACGACGTTGGAGATTCCTGATATAAATATTCGCTTCAATAATAACACAGAAAGGTAATCTTAAGCAATACACGAGAATTTTACCAGAGGGAGACTTTGTACAAGTTATTTGCTTGGGCACCTCTGTCCCATTCGTGTTTCTTCCGTATATGACAGTGAATTTACAGGGTACAGAGGAATAATGCCTGAGTCCTTATAAAGGCAACGCATGGGGAGTATCATGGGCGAAACAGTATACTCTATTATGTCTATAGTACTGCTTATGTCTATAGGTGACTATTGCCATTTTCCATCAGGTGGGCCGTCAGCTTGTTTGCCATTGTTGTATATAAAAAAGAAAACAATGTAAACCTTCAATGATTTAATAAAACACTTAATAGTAGTCTATAATATAAAAGGTTTTTGTAAGTTTTTTTTTTCGATGCGTGAAAATGGCATGGTAGCCCCGCCTGCGCTACGCCGGCGGAGCACCAGTGAAGGGTGATAGAAGAGAATGAAAACAGGCCAGTTAGCCCATCATGATGAATTCATCAGGAATTAACCATGATAGTTTCCAGGGGGAACCGCGAGGAGGTCGACCTGGTTGGGTATATTGCTAGCAATGGGATTCTCAGACTCTATTACTAACAATCCCTTTCCCCCCGGCTTTTGTAAGTTATAAATAAGCATCGCATCCTCGTTATTTATTACAAGTACTAGGATGTCTGTTATATTGGGCTTATTGTGAATTAAATAGAGGTTAAAATGCTTAGAGGGCACAAGGCAAGTAACATAGACGGCTTAAGACTATTACTAAAAATAACTTAATAACAGGTATAATATAATATTTTGTTTCTCGAGAAAATCCAAAATTATTTATTAATAGAAAATTGCTGATTGAAAACTTAGTAACAAAGAAATATAACCTTTGATATATCAATCTAGTCCCAAACGAAGCAATGCAATAGGCTTGTATCCAAAAAACATACAAAAAAAATTTGTCTAGATTTGTGGCTGTACCTACTGGATGTTTTTGTATTATATTAATTTATTATGTCTATTTGAAATATAATAAATTGAAAAAATTCAGAACAATACAAGTCATGAATAAAAATTTTTGTATTATGAGAAAATCGAACACATAAAAAGGTGAAAGATACATTATGTTCAACTAATGTTCAACTATTACACCGCCAAGGTCATTAAATAAAAAATAGATGTTACAGTAATTATCTGACTAACATAACTGTAAAATTAATCAGAAAATACAATTTCAGGAAGTTAATACCGATACGCTACTGGGGAACTATCAGCAAACCTATCTTTGACGATTACCCTAAGGATGCAAACGAGGACACTTTAGTCCATAAGCCTTAAATAGTGATTTGAGTAATTTATTTGCTATCATTGTCGTATTTAAAAAAAATCCAGGGAGTGATTTCCATTATTTTACATAATATTTAATCAATAATATCATATACTCTCAAACATGTCCAAGCCTCTATCCCCCCCCCCCCCCCCCCCCTATATACAAATGTACTATATAATTTATTTATTTATATATATATATATATATATACATATTTTAGTTTTAAAACCAGTCAAAAGTATAACAATTACATACCTATCTAATATATTTTCAAATTTTATTATTTACAGAAATATTGCGCTCAATATTTTTCTATTTAGATTATTCTACATAGAATCTTAAATTAAATATGTATTGACATTATGTATTTTTTTATTTTAAATTAACATCTTTCCAATAGGCAATCCATATTTGTCGAAAATATTTAATCAGATGTTACAAGTTACAATTATAATGATAGGATTCTGTTTAATTGTGATTTAAAGTTCCTATATAAATATTATGGCAAAAATTGTTAAAAAAATTGAAATCTAAATCACGCTTCCCGAGAACAGGAGTAGTTTTTACCAGCGACTTTACACCAAAGGGAAACTTTGTACAAAAGTCGTTTGCTTGGGCACCTCTATCCCATTTGTATTTCCACCGTAAAGCAGTTGTGTTTGCATGGCTGTGTTTCGGTTTGAAGGGTGGGAATATGGCAGTGAAATTACAGGGTACAGGTTAAAACATTAACTGGAGTTGCTTTTTGGGACTTGGTCAAAACGGCAATCGTAAAAGAAGTGTCTAAACACTTGTTAGCATCTTTACATTTAGTATACCAATATTTTATTATATTTGTATAATAACATAACTGTTGTCAAGTGCCACCGTTGCTGATTTGATTTAACTTCATAATGGTGAGTTGTCATTTCCGGAATAATTATTTACCCGCCAAAAATAGTCAACATAAAAACTAGAATAACGACCAACAGTTGACAGTTGTTGATTGAGCAGTGACCAGTAAAGACGTATAATTTGGTAAGTCGCTTTAATACAAATGTATTTTAATTGCAAAGTTGTGGAACTGTTAATATATGAGTTGGATTCCACTGTAATGACACCAGTTTTATTTCATAACCACCGACCTCTTAAACACTATTCTGTTCATCAATACAATTGTTATTTATTCGCTTCAATTGGGTTATTTCAAAGTTTGTGCCATAAGGAAAATTTATTTGAATCTTCACAAAATTAATGTAGAACCACACACACGAGTACATTCTTTCAATTATAAATAAAATTATTTGATTCGATTTAGAATAAGCATTAATAGAAGGTACACATAGATAGAAATTATCGAGTAAAATACCTGCACATAAACATTTGAAAACAGTAGAATTAAGATGAAAGAGATGAAATTTAAACATTTTTTACTGAAATGCGTACTATCTACATTTTATTATATACCTATGAATTTAGAGATCGATGCAAATTTTCTAGCTAACCTAAAGATGTGGAAGAATCTTTATGTTTAAAATTCTAATTATCTGTATCTCATTTACAACTTCACTTAATAAGGATATATTAGATTCCATTTAAATTAATATTAAAAGTTCTTTAAGTTATACATTAATCTACATCTGCTTATTTTATACCTGAATATTTGCATTTATAAATCATCTTTTATTATAAAAAAAAATATTCTTAAACTTTTTATACCTAAAAATATTCTCACCCTGTCCTAAAATCATTTTATTTTCTATATAAATCTAGTAATGACCTTTCACGTAATAGACACACTTTACATAACAAATGTGTTTTTTATACAATGTTATTATTTGTACCATTAATGAATATTGATTTTCCAATTGTGTCTTAAAATAGCACATACATACATATAACATGGCTGACAGTACATTACAACTAATGCATATAAATATATATGTGAATACCACAAAATTTCACTACTAATGTGTTATGAATAGGTACCCACTATACCGTTCAAACAAAACGAGGTATCAAGTGAAATGTATGCAAACGTTTACTTAGGTCGAAAACGTTCGCCCACTCACGTGTTTGCGTAAGCCCAGGTAAAAATAACAATAAAATAACAAGTCTAATTCGAGACCTTTTTTATATGAACTTTACACCTAATTTTAACTTTATCTAAAGGAAAATAAATACTAATTTTGAAATGGGCTCATTTCGATTTGTCATTGAATCTTTTCCACAGCATTTCCCCAAATAACTGAATAGCGTTATATGAAGAATACGGTACCATGTGAGTTCTTTTTCACACAATTCAATAAGAGATTCTCAATGTATTTGTATATTCTCTTCCTCCTTCCTACATTAGCCGATTCATTTCTAAAATTATCTTTATAATGTGAAAAGTATGTGTACCTGTCTTATTATTATATTATTATACTTGTGCATGTTCATTCATACCATAGACGTACATATTTACGCATTGACAGACAGGAAATGCAATTACAAAAATGTGACAAAAAAATTGTTTGGTACGTGTTTGTAAATGTGTGAATATGACGATTCGGAATTTATATTGAATTAATGTTGTAATAATTAAATTGTGTTCCATAAAAAAAAACCGACTTCAATTGCGGCAAAACCATGTGATGCAGTGTGGCAAACGTATGATGTGATTTACTACTGATTCATTTTTGATAAAATTTCTATGAAAAAATCTATATTTACATCTTTTCAGATAAAAAATAATTTCTATATCAGTTTACAACTGACGGAATTATAAGGTAACAAACATAAAAAAATACAATCTTTTTGAATTCGATTGAAACTAGCAAAACATTATTTAGGTTAAATTTAGATATGTTTTTCTACCAATTCTTGTACAAACTATTTGTTCAATAATGTTACATTTAAAAAGATAAATGTTAAAATAGTAATTGTGTGAAAATGTGCTTTTTGTAGTTTCTTTCCTATTGTTTATTAGGTGCGACACAATTCTAATCAACTATTTTATGAAATACGCTTCAAAACGTAAATATAATTAAAACTTATTTTGTTCATATTGCCGCCAAATCAGCTTCGAGCCATTGTTTTGTAGGTAAATGTTCTATGTTATATTTCTTATCTTTTAAAATACATTACCAATTTATATCTTCTATAATTCATTTAGATGAGTCTAATTTTTTGTCAATAATACGAAACAAACACACTCAAGAGTCGATTTTTAAGTGTAAAATTTCTAAACCTATCTATAAAATCAAAATTTCAATTTGGTGTCACAGCGAAATTTTTATTCTATGAATTGGTCCTTACAATATATTAGAAAAGTTTATATTAATATAAACACTATTTTTAATAGATTTAAGTCAAAATTATTATAAATATAGTTTGCTAATTTCCATAAAACAAAATAAAATAATACAAACAAAAATAATTGGTTAAGAGATAGTTTTGAAAAATAGTGTCTTAGAATCAACCCACAAATTTATCTGCAAATTTTTCTTCTCACTTGCTTATTTTTTTTTTTTTTTTTATTTATACAGAGAAAATGTTGAGTTAAAATATTAACTAAAATTTTTAACGTTTCCGGACTATTTTTATTTTATTTTTTTATATAAACTTAGTGTCAAAACTAGGTATAGGGTATTTACAACCTAAAGTATAAAAAATAAAAAGATACCCATAAAAATTCCAGTAATATAATTGTTGGTCACAAACAAAAGCCAGTCCAACTCAGAGAAAGAAAATTAATTAATACATAAGTGTCTTATACGAGTAATGCATATACTCGTAAGTCTAGTGTATATATGTATCTAAACGGATAACAAACTATACTGCAGACTAAAACTAAACGTTTTTGGCCAAGAAACATAGGTCAAAATATGAAACTATTTGAATTATTCATACGACCATGTGGTCACATTCTCAATTTAGTATAAAAGTTCCACAATTTTTTTTATATTAAATATTAAAATTTTCTTTTATATTATTTATTTAAATTTTCTTCTATTTTATGTATCTTAGGAATTTTTTTCAGTCTTATGACCAATATTATAGCTTGTATATAAATAAAAAGTAAATTTTATCCATACATTAATATTTATTCTGAACGTTTATTATTATTAGTATTATTATTAAAAACGTGGACATTTCTAAACCCATGGATCTTTTTCTTAGTAACAAATTCTCAAAGTTTCTCTACATTCATAATTTTTGCCATCTACTCTTTTTCTTTTTATTTCCTTTTACTTCTGTCATTTACATCATTTGAATTGTTATCGATTTCAGAATTACTATTTTCAGAAACTATTTCTTCGTTGTTGTCTCTCTCTTTTATTTTTGTTACAATCTCTGGTGTTATTTTTTTTTCATTACTTTCCTCTGTTTAAAGAGGTTTCTTATTTATCGTTGTACTACCAATAACTTCAATGAACATTTTAGACAAGTGAATAATTACACACTTCGATACCTCATTGAGAAGATATCCTGATATAAGTGCACGCGAAGCAACTGAATTTAGATTAAAATGATTTAATTCTATTTCCCTTAAAAATTGTATAGTATAGTTAGTATTAAGTATTGAAATAATTTTCAAAATAAATAGAATAACATATTTAAATATAATAATAATAATAATATATTACCTCCAACTTTCAAATTCAAAATTGTGTACCGCTTTAGAAGCTCTTAACGTTTTAACGTTCAATTCTTCTTTTGGTCTGCCATTTTCAGTGGCTACATTAATTGTTAGACGAACAGCGACATCTAATAGTTCAGCAGCAAAACCATATTGTCCATTATCTTCTTCGCTGTCTATATAAAGTTTCCCTCTAACCTATAAAATATAAATCATATTTATATCCCACTGCTAGTATGTAATATTCCTTATGCTACATACAACACCAGTTTTCTTCAAACGCCTAAAAATTCTTCAGAACTTTAAATAAATATATTCACTTCTATTTTTATGTTTAATATCTTCTATGGAATCTCTAGAGTTTACAAATTACCTGGATAGAATTATAACGTAGCGTTTCATCTATTCGCACCGAGTCTAACCTGTAGGGACCTCCAGTCTGAACTGAATACAGTGTCTCCAAGCCACTCAATGTCATATTTGCCAATAATATTTCTGTTTTATACTGTTTTCTATTTCTCTGGAAATATTATAACAAGCTGTCTTATTATTATATTTATTATTACTTACATATTAATCTGATAAAAATCCCTAACAAGATTTCCCCTAGAGACAATAGTATGGGGCTATTCAAAAAGGGTATATTTAGATTTCTTCAAGGTTGGCAACACGCAAGTTACACCCACGTGTTGCACGTATCCATAGGCTAAAAAGAACGTTTATCACAAACGGGTTGCATGCTTGTTTCCTACTTTTGTTGTATCAAATATTATTATTTTTTAAAATATTTTTTATGTTATAATTTTTATTGATCACACAGCGAAGAATAACAAATAAACACGACGTAACAACATAACTCGGTAACAATCAATAATATATTGGAAAATTCACATTAAAACATAAATTAATATTTTAATTACCAACTCATTCCATTTAATTAGTAAGTCATCCATTTGTAAATAATCTTTACCATATTCAACCGTCAACTTGTTAAGTCTCTTAACCACATCGCTTATATACACTTGCGTTCGTTTAAATATACATTCTTGAGCATGCCTATGCAAAATGTATAATAAATTAAAGCTAATTAAATTTCCTTTAAAATATTCAATCACGCTAATATTTTCCGATATATATATCGAAAAGGGATGGAAAAGTATACCAAAACAACATGTATATTCTTATTTTTTTATGCAACTTAGAATAGCAAACAAACTGACGGTCCACCTGACGGAAAATAGTAACCGTCGCCTATAGACATGAGTAATACCATGGACATAACAGAGTATACTGTTTCGCCCATGATACCCCCTATGCGCTGCTATTCCTGAGGACTCAGGTGTTATTCCTCTGTACCCTGTAAATTCACTGGCTGTACACTTTACTGGCTGATATGATGATAATGATATTCATTGTACAGATATTATCTAGTTGGAATTTTATTATATTATAGTAAGATAAAATACCAGAGAAAGATACCTGATACAAAGGTACAGAAGTCGTTTGCTGAGGCACCTTTGTCCCATTCATGAAGCTGTTGTGTTTGCATGGTTGTGTGTATGCATTCGGTTTGTAGGGTGAGATATGGCAGTGAATTTACAGGGTACCGAGAAATAACACCTAAATCCTCAATAATGGCAACGCATGGGGGGGTATCATGGGCGAAACAGTATATTTTGTTATGTCCATGGTACTGCTCATGTCTATAGGCGACGGTTACCATTTTCCAAAAAAATGTGAAATACAGTTCTGTACAATAATATATAAGTATTCGTATATGTTACCGAAACTTGGGTAAGTCTGTTTGAAAGACAGATGTTGTGTTGATGTAGGTGAAAATCGCACCCTGCAACTTGGGCATTAATTCGTCACGTAGCGGCCTCATTATGAGATGCCCCAGTTGGGAAGCTAAAAGCGAGTAAGTGTATTTTTATTACATACAAAACAAAGGAAATCCCTTTTAACAAACAAAGACAAATGTTACATTTTCGACTAAGTTAATACGCTTAGGTTACATTTTCAACCAACTTAAAAAAAGGAGGAGCTTCTCAGTCCGATGGAAATTTTTTTCATGTTTTTTTAGTCATAACCTAATATAAAATTAAGTGAATTTATCACGATTAAAGTCGGATTTTCAAGCATTAAAAGTCATTATCTATAATCTTCTTAGAATCTGATTTATTGCCCAACAGGAAACGTGCCTATACTTAAAGTAGTGTGCATTAGTGTTAGTCTTGTAAAAATTTTATTTATTATTGAATGTGAAAAATGTATGTACATTTTTAACATCGATGTCTATACTATGAATAGACTTATATTTCTCTATTTTTTTACCCTATAATATAATGCGGATTATTCAGTCTTAAGCCGAAAACTTATAAATGCGTAATTGTCTAAACCATAAGTACCTTGTTCCTTTGAAAAATATGGTGATATAATGGGCGGTGCTCCTAGTCCTGGTGAAGTTATCTGAAAAATAACATTTCCACTTTAGTACTAAATAAATAAATAATGTCAACACAACATTACTATTAGCAGGAATAATATAGAATATAAATAATTGTGTGTATATATATATATGAATAATATAAGTGTAATACATATTTATCTTTGTATTATTCTTTAAGTTATGCAATAACGAGTAAATAAATAAATTAATATGTATGTACTGCTATTGGGTATGTAAAATAGACATGTTCAGAAACCCACAACATGTCGCTTTTGTGTGTCCTTGCATATTTGAAACTCCTTAAGGTTTCCAATTCTTAACCTAAGACATATTATACAGAATGTGATGGAAATTGTTAGCATTTTTAAAGGCAGTATTCTATTAGCAAAATTGAATATTTTCACCAAAGAAAATGAGTCAAAAAATAGTTTAAGCCCCCCAAATCAATACGGCGCCTTTAGTAGTTTCATTAATATTGAAGATTTTAAAGTTTTTATCGATTTTAAATTTTTCATTCATAAAATTTACTGTTCTAATATGCTCTATATTATAAATAAATTTGTTTGTTTGTTACCTTTTAGCGCCTTAACGGCTTGATTAATCACTATGAAATTTTGTATACATATACTGTATAGGATGAAGAAAGACATAGCTGAGACATAGACATGCTTTTTATCCCTTCTGTAAACATAACCCAACCCGTTTGCAGTCGAACTTATCAATACAAACCTGACGCCGCCATAATGTAAATCTCAGTATAAATCATACTAGAGATAAATTTTAACGTATTTTTAGTAATGACTAATTACTAAAAATACTTTACTATATTACTTATTTCATAATTATTGTAGCTTTTATCTTCACTAATTGAAATAAAAAGTATTCATGTCCTTCTCCCTTACATATAATACGTGTATACCCAATTTCAAAGTAATTGGTTAAACCGATACAAAAGTCGATTGCTTGGGTACCTCTGTCCCATTCGTGTTTCAACCGTGAAGCAGTTGTGTTTGCATGGCTGTGTTTCGGTTTGAAGGGTGGGATATATCCCACGCTATAGCGTGAATTTACTGGGTACAGAGGAATAACACCTGAGTCCTCAGGAATGGCAACGCATGGCGAGTATCATGGGCGAAACAGTATACTCTGTTATGTCCACGGTACTGCTCATGTCTATAGGCGACAGTTACCACTTTCCATTAGGTAGACCGTCAGCTTGTTTGCCATTCTAAGTTGTATAAAAAAAAACCGTTTAAGAACTAAAAGGTAACAAATAAACAAACAAACTCACTCTTACATTTGTAATATTAGTAAGGGTGCGTTAGGTACTTACCTCAATGTTGAATCTGCACTCAGTCAATTTGAATGACTCGCTTCCCAAGTTGACTGACTGGCCCATCAGTCTTGCTATTACCAACCCAGACAAAACGCAGCCTTCAACTAATAAACTGAATATTTTACATGTATTATTATCTACGTTAAAACATATGTATTTATAGTATACGAGTATGGCCGCGTGGTCCCGGTATAGAATAAGCCAACCCATCCTTTCCCGTGGGTGTCGTTAGAGGCGACTAAGGGAGGGCGAGGGATGGGCAGCAGCGTCCCTCTTAAAACATCCCTAAAGCCTAACTGCCTGCCAAGCGTAGCAGCTACTGGCCAAACCCCCCTAAGGGAAAGGCTTATGTTCAGCTGACGATTAGCATAACTTTTAATGGGAACTACACACGAATACAATTGCTTATTTAATTCTTCAATCGAATCGAATTACAATATCTTGTGATAACACTATCAGAATGTACCTCAATAAAAATTGTTTTTTTTTTTAATATTTTAAACAACTTTAAATGAAGGAGGTACTCAATTCATCTATTTCGTCTTCTCAATATGAAAATTAACATTGACGTAAATTTTTACATTTTAACACGGTAATATCCTGTTTAGACCCCCAAGACATTAGCCGTACACAGGAAAAAAAACAAGATGCTGAATATCGCCGTTTCATTCTATCTAAAGCATGCGTTAGCGATGACGTATCTATCGACAACAAAGTGACAAATCACTTATGAATAAAAATCGTTTTAATAGTTAAAATAATGTAAACTTACACTATCTCTCCCGTTCTCTGTACTTGTTGTAAGGCGAACGGAGAAACATTTGAAGCATCCTTATCCCCGTATGCCACAGCCGACTCATTCCTAAACAAAATATATGTAGCCTCCACTATCATCTTACTGAGCTTTGTTTCCACATACAATACGTTAGAATCTAGGGAAAATGCCGTTTCTGACATCAACATATGTGGCATCTCCAATAAATACAGATCCTGTAAAACCCTGAAATATTGGTATTGCCAAATAAAAATCTCATCCCTTACATTAATCTATGTTGTAAATGTTTATAAATGTATTTGGTATTCGATGTGATAATGAATTTTTTATATATTTTTATGCGCTTCTCAAAAAGTTAAGATACACTATAGATAATATTATTGCTATTATTATTTAATTGTATCTGGCAAAAATAATAGTTCATCTTAAAGCGTAAATTGTTGAGTCTGACAGAGATAATGGTCGATGTAAGACTCTTTGATAGTTATATCCTATAGAAATAATAGTTAATATTAGACACCTTAATATTTAGTTCTGGCCAAGATAATAATTCATATTAGAACCCTTAATTTATTGGGTATAACTAAAATAATAGACTAATTAATCGTATCTGACAGAAATAATTGTTTATATTTGAGTCTTTAATAATAGTTTATCTTAGACTCTTTAATAGGTAATATCAACTATATTAGATCCTTTAATTTACTAGATATAACTGAAATAATAGTAATATTAGACTTTTTAATTAATCGTATTTGACAGAAATAATACTTTATTAAACCCATTTTTTTTTTTATTTTATGTTTGTTTTTATGTCAGTACTAAGTTGATCTGAATAAAGGCTATATTATTATTAAACCCTTTATTTTACTAAATGTAACAGTAGTAATAATTTATATTAGATCCTTCAAATCTTTTAACAAGATTTCCACTGTTAATAGTTTATATTAACTGTGTATTTATTTAAAAAATATATATATAAATATAAGGAGTAAAAATACTAACACGTCGACGGCATTATCCGAGAAGTAAAATCCTTTTGAGAGCAATTTAGTGTCCTTCGTTATTTTCTTAAAAATATTCACTCCTTTGTTGTTGCCATAATTTTCTTTCAGCATCTAAAATGCAAAAGGAATATATCCTTCTTTTTAAGCTGCATATATACTCGCATTATGTTTTGGTGGGTGTACAAACAAAAATTTGATTGTGTTTGTTGACATGGCATTATAAATAGATAAACTCTTTATTTGCATGAAGAGATATACAAAAACATATGACAATAGTAACAAAAAAAAAACAGTGTTTAACAAAAGAGTTTGAATCACTGATTTTCAGTTCATCATCATCATCATATTGACTTTCAACTGTCCACTTCTAGATATAAGCCTCCCCCTTAAAGAGTTTGTTAGTAATTGCCACACTTGGCAGGCGGATTGACAACCGAAGTTAAGCTTTGGAGATGTTTTAAGAAGGACGCTGCTGCCCATCGCTCGTCCTCCTTTAGCCTCTTACAACATCCACAGGAAAGGAAAGGGTGGCCTATTCTATGCCGGGACCACACGGTGAATCCATTCTGAATCCATTGCTTATATTTAATACTAGCAGTATCCCGCTGCATCACTCGCGTGAACCAGCATATAAAGTATCCTATACGCTTTTTTATTTATGAATCGATTGAAATAAAACAAACACTAAATGTTAAGTGGAACAAACTGCAACGCAATAATGGAAACCGCATTCAAATCAGTTAAGGCATTTCTGAGATTAGCATGCCCAAACGTACAGACACAAAACAGACATATAGACAGACAGATAAAAATTCTAAATATAATTGTTTTGGGTTCTATTGCGTTCATAAAACCCCCTATAATATTTTTTTTATATACCTTCGATGATGATGATGATATGATGATACAGACAGCGACCAGTTACAACTTTATTATATACGTTGATTGATTGATATTGTATACATTGGTAAGTGGACTAGGCACTTAATTAAAGACCATGATGCTTTGCTGTGGATTAGCTGTTCTCATCTTGTTTTTAGTTACTGCCAGAAAAAGTGCTCAAAAACACGCGCAATAATACTGTTGAGTCCGACACATTTTATTAAACATAAAACTGATGATTTTTCTTTTTATTCCAACATGGGGGGCAAACGAGTATGCGGCTCACCTGATGGTAAGTGACTATCTCCACCCATGATCACCCACAACACCAGCAGCATTGCAGGTGTGCAGCTGGCCTTTTATAAAGGAATATATATATATATATATATATATATATATATATATATATATATATATATATATATATATATATATATATATATATATATATATATATATATATATATATATATATATATATATATATATATATTATATAAAAAATACAATTTCTTTAATAATCTCAAAGACTAAAATATATAACAGGGAGAGTAACATCCAGAAGTCTGAAGATATAGTATAAGTAAGGTAGACCTTAAATCAAAGCATCTACGGATAAGTTCCCTTTTATTTTGTAGTGTAGTTCGTTTTGTAATTTTATTGTCACTAGCTTTTTATTTTATTTTTTATGCAACTTAGAATGGCAACCAAGCTGATGGCCGACTTTTTAGCCGAAAAGAAATACCTACAACTTTGTACCGTAGAAATTATATTAAAATCGGTTTCTGTAGTGTAGTATTGCAATCAGAATAACTGGTTTTGCTCGTAGAAATAACTAAAATGAGTTTTTTTTCATTTGTTTGTGGAACACAATTTAATTATGTTACGATAATTTAATTAGAAAACTTCAAGCCCATACCAAGTTTATTGCGGACTCGTGAGATTTTCTATATACTTCCCAAGTCTTCTTGAATGATCTAACCGTATCTGAAATATAATACATTGTTATTAACAATCGACCTAAAAAAGAGGAATATCGGCTCTAATTTTCAACCGACTTCAAAAAGAAGGCGATTCTCAATTTGGTTGTATTTTTTATGTTTATTGCCTCATACTTCATCAGCTATAAACCGATTTCAAAAATATATACGTACATATATATATACTGCTTACACTTTGGACATATACAGATACTAACAGATTGGTTCCATAGAAATTTTATCTCACTATATATATATATATATATATATATATATATATATATATATATATTAATACTTAGGTATTCTGAGTTGCGCCCCTAGATTTTCTAGAAAGACCCGTTGCACCCATTCAGAAAAGTTCATTTATATATTTGGCTCAACCAGAAGTTTAACCCGGAATCTCATTTACGCAAATCAACGTACAAACTTATCTTATGCATTTGTAAAAAGGACTCTGTATTATTTGAAAATTAAATTTAGTAAGCAGAGAGATACGTATTATATTATAAAAAATATCGTAAAATTTAGGCCCAAATCCATAAGTTCATTCATAAATCCATAAGACCCAAGTCCAAATCCATCAATGCTTATAAAAAAAATTAATTCAATATCATACCTACCACTCATAAAATATTCCATGACTGTTTTTTCAATACTCGATGAATATACATCAGCAAAGGGAATAATTATTACAAACAGGATGAAAAAGACATGCATTCCTAATTTGTCTCTTTTGCCAGCTACGCCGTAACAATGGAAATTTATGAATATATTATTTCTTATATCACCAACGAAAATACCTCGAGAGCGACGTAAAATTTCTATTAAGAAAGAACAAAGTTTGAATTTATAACTTTATGTTATCATAAATCAATAAGGAATTAACTTTAACGTTTGATATACTAATTTAAATTTTTATTGATAAGAAAAAATTAAAACGCCAAACACTGATAGGATTTCATATATCAAAATAAAAGAATTCATTCAGTTTTATTATTCATACATCATGATATATGAAATGATATTTGTTGCTGTATTATTTTTTCATATAACCTACTATGTTGTCGATAGTTATAACATAGTTGATCTGGAGAGTAATGGTAAATAGATATTTTTATTTTCTAGCATAAAGTCAAGCAGTCTGTTGGTAGGTAAGTGGTTATCATTATATTATTGTCTATGGACATCTGTCACGTTATGGGCACAGAGCTGATCGTATTATTAACTTTCCCGCGTAAACTTATATCTACTGTTCTCAAATTTCCATAGGAAATGTTAATATACTTAAAACTCTAACATTATCTATGGATACAAGTCTCGAGTTTACGTGGAAATTTTAGAAATTAACCATTGTAACTATTTTTATTTGTATTAAACTTATTATTAGAAATTTTACTACATAAGAAAGGTTACACGAACAGTACCTAAGTTATTATTTATAGATATACAAGGTTTATACAGATGTTTTAGTATAGTAAGTATTTTCGTTATTTAAAAATAAAAATGGAATTTCCTATGGGTGTCTGTATTTCCCGACTCATATTTGGTGTTCTTCAAGATTAGAGTGGATAGACATTAGAGTTTGCGTGTTTCTTTTGCGACCACATCATCACCTAGCATCGGGTGAGATTACTTTCAAACGCGGTCAAATATAAAAATTAAAAAAAAACTTATATATATATAGACAAATAAATGTTTTTCTTCGATTTCTTACCTTAGATTTGTAACATACAGGTCTAGGTAAATTACATCGGCCTATAAATAAAACCAAACCAATCTGTTTTCCTCCACAGTTCACCAATATTGATGGAAGGGTCAATACCTATAAACAAAATAGACTTCACATTAGTCGCTTCAGTAGTTTTCGAGGTGTTCAACTTTTTTAACCTTTCCTATTTAATTAATAGTAATTTTCCTTTTAAAATATCCCTTAGACCTAGACCTAGCTTAAATGTGAATGAATAAATACACCTAATGGCTACCTCTTTAATATTTATAAACCCACTATCGTATCGGTTGCTGGGGGTTAAAAACACCACTTTACGTGAATAGTACCACGATTCATTTCGTGCTTGTATAATCCACCGTATTTAAATAGTAGACATCTCGCGCTAAAGATGTAACAGCAGTCTAGTAAAGTTTCATTGGCGGGTTATATCATCGTAATATGATTCGTGTAAAGTGAAATTATAACAAATATATAATAATGAGAATAAAGACAATGAATATTCTGGGAGAACTGTAGTCTGGCGGGCAGTATGTTAACACATGAAAACTTTTTTGTTATTTATAATAATTTAAATTTAATAAAAAATAAACTCATTCTTTTTCTAGCTGTCAACAAGTCTTTTATTTCATAAAATTTTAAATATTTTAAATAAAGCAAATACATCTAGAACACTAACATTTTTGGTACTCCTGTAAAAACAAACCGATTAAATAGCGTTGAAATTAAATAATACTTTAAATTCTATTCAATGTTTTTTTTTTGCGAAGAAATCTAATCGTATCGAAGATAAAATATATAAATAAAGGTTATGATAATATACTCGTATATAACCACATTTCGACAGAAAAACATTTCAATAACATAATGGTTGCAACAACTTGAATCGCTATTTGTTTCGATTTTCATTATAGAATAACGTTCATTTTACAGTTTTTTTTTTATTATTTTTCTTCTATTTTAATTTTAACATCACACACGACTGCACTATATCAACAAACTATATATGTTTAGGAGAAGAGTCAAAAATTATTATTAATGCGGATTACCAGTTCCATTACTAGCAATATACTCTATCAGATCGACCTCCCCGTGGTCCCTCCTGGAAAATGTTGTGGTAAATTTTTGGTCCATCATGATGAGCTAACTGACCTTTTCATTCTCATCAATAATTTCCCACTGATGCCTTGCCAGCGTATACCGTTAGCGCAAGCAGAATTACCATTCCATTATCATCCATTAAAAAACTGTATATTCTATACTTATTACTATAATATGAATTTCAAAGTCACCTTTAAAACTAGACTAAACATTATTCTTTAATAGCAATACAATCATTTATAAAACAGTACTTATTGGTATGTCAAAAGTCATCAAAGTCACATTCAAAGGTTCAAGCCACATGATGAATTGCTAGAGCACGATCGCATGACACGCACGCAGAATCCTCATCTGCATCGATACACACTATACACTATGTACTATGTATGTATATACACTATGTACTATCGCATTTATCTTTAGTTTAGCCGACTTCGAAGATGAAAGAGATACTCTCATGTATGTTTGGTAATCCGTTTCTATGCGATAAGGCTGATTTCCAAATAAAAACGTATTGGTGATTCGGAAAGCTAGTCTGATTTCCACACGCCTCATATTTTTTTAATATTTTATTATAATCTATACTTATAAAATCATTTGTCATGAATCAACTGTCGACGCACAGCCAAAACTACTAAGTCTAGAAAGCAGAATGAAAGAGAATTAAAAAAATTGGCTCATTTTATAACGTAAGCATCCGCTAAGAAATGATTTTTAAAAATTTCAACTTAAAAGAAAAACACGGCACCACACGTGCACAACCATGGGCAACAGCTTGTATTAAATATATTTTCATGTTTTAAAACAATTTTCTAATGTTGTAAAACAGATTTTTTTTATTAAATAACATGTAACTTATAGTGAAACTATTAAAAGATTTATATGCATTCTTAAAATATTTACAAATATATAAATTAATCTAATAAAAGAACTCGGTATTTATTATACTTCTTTTAAGAACCATGTTTAAAAGGAGACAGAAATCCAAGTTATTTATATCATTCAATCCGTCAAACGGAAATTAGTCTGCCGATTTGTATTTCCGGATAAACATTTATTATCTTGAATTATTTTGTTTGATGATTATCGCTTTTTTTTTTTTGTTTATTTAATTCTATAAATACATACTTACAAGTAGGTATAATAATAATAGAATTATTTAGGTAGATTTGTATTTATATAGAGGGTCTCCGAAACAGACATAATTTTATGAAAGGAATTTAAAAGTGGAAGAATCAATATAAACATTCAGTTCTCTCTTATAAGCCTAAAAGGATTATAATAGTATATTCATTATTTTTCATTGGAGTTTCGTGACATTATAAAGTATACGGTATTCTATCCTTGTGTCGCTATGAACATGCACTGACACTTTAGAATCCCCTTTATTTAGGGATTGCATTCCCACATTCCGTATTTGCGCATTCCACGATGCCCCACATGCGAAATTCCCGCATTTGTACAGTCAATAGTATTATATTATTTGTGGTACAGTTAATCCCGCGACACTGCCGCTGACAGTAGCGCGTGCAAGCGTTGAGTTTGGCTTGTATGCGCACCCTGTTCCCCTCTCCCTCCAACCAACCTTTTCTCAAGTCTGCATCAATTGGTCGAAGGAAGAAAAGAAATAGGCTGAATGAGTAAAAATCGGCGAGTCTTTGCATCGTTGAAACAAATTCTTTGATTCGTTTACTTAATTTATAAAAAAATGTTTTTATAAGAAAAATTTATGTGTTAACGTTAAATGTCATATGTAAGTAATAATTTCATATCATTGTATGAGTTATTAGTTAATTATACCATATTATCCATGTAATAAATATGTTTTTGTATATTATTTCTTACTACAATATAAGCACTAACTTAATCTCTAAGAAGTTCTAAAGTGTGCCTTTTCCTATTTCGTTTTTTTAATATGATATAATTATTCTACAGTTAAAGTCCAAGATGTCAAACGAAACAGATAGACATAAAAATCATGTTTGGCGTTATTTTGTGAAAACGGGTGAACGGATGAATGTTCTCTGTACAATAACATTTTAAAAATAAATCAACGTTCGACAACTGGTTTGAAATATCATTTAAAATCCAAATATTGTATAGATCTGGCAATTTCTTAAGCTGCAACCAGGACTATTAACTTTAAGAAAGACTCATTGAACATAGTATATCATCCATATGATGTCGAAGAACCCGAAAATAAAATGGTATCCAACTACCGATAGTTGATACCTTATATCGTTGGGAATCGATCCCCCATTCACTACATAAAGAAAAGTCACCAGCAGTTTGTTGCTCAGATGAATACGACAATTCTTACGATGGCAAAATGAGTGAGAAAGAGATCTTGTCTTTTGCTTATTTACAACAGCTTCCAGCTGAATTGATACCGAATTACAGAGGTCTTATAGACGAAATAAGAAAAGTAGTAAAGATGTTTAGAAAACTGAGACTGCTTGCTCTCAGAAATATGTACAATAAGACTTCGGTAAAGATTAAGATTTAATATTAGACTATAAAACGAGGTGAAGGAGCCTGCTTAATATGTAAAAGTATTTTGACGTTCTTAGAGGAAAGTACTTACAAGCAAAGCTTTGATTGGTGTAGAATTAGGCAATAAATTTTCTAACGAAAAGTGGGTTATCGTCAAAAAATTGGTTTCACAGTTTACAGCCTACATTTTTAACGGTTGATACAACACTTCGATTTATATAAAAAAGTTAGATAAATAATCAAGCAGAGAGAGCGCTGATCTAGCTACCGCTTTTCGAAAGAATATTATAGAGAACTGTCTTATCTGGAATCGTTCTTTATCTTCACAACCCAAGGAAGTACAAAAATTCTATACAAAAAAAGATGACGACATATTTTTAGTATCAAAAAAGTTATATTCGCTTCGAAATTAAAAAAAATTGTGAGAAAACAAAACAATTGACGATGATATCCCTATGTATGTGAAGGTTTAAAAAAAGAAAAAATTACCGCAGAAGAAAATTTACAACTTAAAGAAGAACTAGAAATTCAATTAATTGAAGAAAACAAATGACACAGTTAATGTGTCGACAACATATAAAAATTTTGAGAAAATAATTAAGATCGAATATGAAACTAAAGCAATAAAAGGCAATTTCTTGTCCCTTGTTCACAATTATCTGAACAATATCAGTCCAACCAGCGTAGAAGCGGAGAAGGCATTTTCTGCAGCCCGTAATGTCAGTAGTCCCATAAGAAATAAGCTGGCGAGTGAGACAATAGATATTTGTTTTTTGCACTCTTATTATATACTTAAACTTTAGTTTATTTAGTATTTATAATAGAACTAAATAAATATTACCAATAACTAATAATAATCTGTCATTTATTTAGATGTTTATAAATTTAATAATTTAGTAGCAAAAAGTATGTTAAGTAGATAAAACATATATATATAACAAAAGTAATATGTTATTAATTATATCTCTATTGATTCCTTAGATTATACAGTGTCTCCATAGAAATGCTTCTAGAAAAACGGGTCAACTTTTTCATACATCTTTACGTGATAAATAGTTAAGAGTGATTCCTTTATAGCTTCTATATTTAGTCTTATAAGTTCTGCATCTTTTTAATACGTAAACACTAATTTTATTTATTAAATAATACGTCAAGATACATTCTATGCGTAAATATATAGAATACTGATAAAATAACGAGTCAGCTAATTTGATAATAATTAGCTGACAAAAAGTTGACCCGTTTTTGATGTTCGATATTCTACCTTTATAATCTAAGGTGATTATAATCATAGTTTTTAGTGTACATAATGCTTATCTGTTTGATTTTTTATATACAAAAATTATTTATAGTTATTTTAATAAATATAAATATTGAGCAATATAAGAATTTTTATTTTCAAATACAAGTATAAATATACTTTTCACCTAATATCTATCAGAGCAAAAATTTTAACACTTATTTATATGTACAATAGTTTTTATACAATTTTGAGGTTTATTTATTTACCAATTTAAGAATAATTCAAAAACAATAATAAAAGATACTTTTTCAATTTTTGATACCTAGCAAAAATTGAAATTAAAAGTAATTTTTACTATACTTTTATAAAATAGTTAGTATTCGAAAAATCTAACACTTGGTAGATAATATGGCCAATCTCTTGCGGCAATCAGAATCAGCAGAATCCGGCTGTAAAAGAAAAAATACAACAAATTTCCAGCTAGAAGAAATTACTGCGGAATTGCAAATCCTACCTGTATTATATCAGATTATGTTTTCCGTTAAACAATCAACCAATAATAATAGCTACAACAAACATACATTAAATAACAGATAACTCCATCTACGAAGAATACCAAATAAGTGAACAATACAACAAGTCGCAGTTTCATGAGCCTTATTATAAAACAAAGATGATCAAAGAAATCAGAAACTGCTGGCTGACACTCAATAGCAGAGAACACTTTGATACCATGGATGAACTAGACAGTAAGTATAAATCTTTACAAGGAAAGTCTATACGTAGTAATAAATTAGTAATTAAAAACTCTGTGCCACTAAAAAGAACGACTTCAGGTGTGAAAACTAAACCACTGAACCGATTTAGATAAGATTTCTTTGGGACCAATTTGTAAGTACCTATATACTTTCAGATAAAAAATATATTTTACAAATCGATTTAAAACTGACGGAGTTATGAGGTAATAAACATAAAAACAATACAACTGAATTGTGAACCTCCTTCCTTTTGAAGTCAATTGAATGTAAAAAAAAATGTAATCCCATCAGTTATTTAATCTTCAAACTACACCAGTTCGAGAGAAATAATTGAATATCAAGATACCTGAACTTACAAATAAGTCCTTAATTCAACTGCTCAAATACTTATGATATTCCAATGTTGTTCACATATCAAAACCGTAGTCAAACTCACGTGATAATATTGACAAATTTGATACTGTTTTGTCTCTAAAATAAAATAAAAACTGAAAGAGCAGTGAGTAATAATAATAACACATTCAAATACAATATAAATAAATGAGACGGTATTTCACGCCAGAAAACCGCCTGAAACTGTATAAAGCTCAAGTGAGGCCACACATGGAATACTGTTCTCACCTGTGGGCAGGAGCGCCACAGTACCAGCTCCTTCCGTTAGACCGCATTCAAAGTCGGGCAGCTCGAATTGTTGACGATCGGCGTCTTACTGTCCGGCTCGACCCACTGAAACTGCGTAGAGATGTTGCATCTCTGTGCATCTTCTACCGAATTTATCATGGGGAGTGCTCTGAAGAATTGTTCGGATTGATACCTGCTGCAAATTTTCACCATCGTACAACCCGCCATAAACTAAAATTTCATCCCAACCATCTGGACGAGTGGCGGTCCTCCACCGTGCGTTTTTCAAGGCACTTTCTTCCTCGCACAACCACTCTTTGGAATCAACTTCCAGCAGCAGTATTTCCGAACCGATACGACAACATAACCTTCAAGAAAAGAGCTTATTCCTTTTTAAAAGGCCGGCAGCACACCTGCAATGCCGTAGGTGTTGTGGGTGACCATGGGCGGCGGTAGTCACTTACCATCAGGTGAGCCGCATGCTCGTTTACCCCCTGTGTTGTAAAAAAAAAAAAAAAATACAAAACAGTTAAGCTGTAAACCGTTATTTACGTTAACTAATAATATTGTCGTCATATAATATTCGCTAGGAAATTATAAATTAATCATATCTTATTTTTATAGACGCTTATGCAGACACTCGCAACAGCTACCAACAAGCAGTGGGGGGTGAGAATTTCGACAAAGAGATGCTTGATGTAAGTGATTATTTAAAAAAAATAACTATCTCAATAAACTGCTGCCGTGAAACAACGTAGAATACCAAGAATTTCATACATTAGGTGCAATTAAAACAGACTAATTGCATAGATCTGAGAATTCTAAATCCTCATTTTTTCCTACTTCTTCAATTATTTAGTGTAAATAAACACATTAGCAAAGTACATACTAAGAGCATTTATTGTTGTTAATCAGTATTAGAGAACAATCTTCTTCGTTGTCATTGCATTTTTTTTTTCATTAATAAACTTATAGCTGTATACTTCAAGTCCTTTCTTTAGTCCTCAGAAGTATTTAATGATCTGTATTACTTTTACCCAAGATTGAACATAAAATTCCATAAGTGACATAAGATTATGTCTTTTTCAATATATCAATATTTACTAATTCCAAGAATTTTCATACTATTTCCAGGAAAGTAATGAACAGAAATATATTAAAAAGTATATTTCTGTTTTATTCCAAAAGCAGCTACTAGGTATACCTACATGCTCGTATGTATTATGCATTAAAAATGTCAATTTAATAACTTAGCAATATACCCAACTATGACACTATTTTTTTGATGTCGATTGTTCACATTTGGGAATAACGGTTATTACATTCCATAAAGGGAGCTGCAAATTTGTTTCGTTTTATTTATACCACGAATGTGGCAAACAAGCATACATCCCGTTTGATGGTCAAGTCCGAGTCAAAAGAACCAAGCTGGTATCCAGGAGCTCCAGCCCATGAAATCAGTACTCCATAAGAGGCCGGACTTGCGACTTGTACAATAATAGTCTTTACCTTAGACTGAAGTACGTCATTTATAAGTAAAATTAACGCTTTTGCTTCTACAAAATTTGTATACATATATTTTATGTTACAATATCATTATATTCTGCCAAGGTGATGATTAAATCCCGAGGTGTCGCTGACAGAACGAAACAACTAGCCGGCTCTGATAGTAAGATACCTGCTGGCCTTAACCTTGGTGGACAGTGCATGATGAGGATACAAAACTCTATTCTGTGAGTAAATATGGACTTTTTCATTCTGCCAGATATACCAAACGACTTGATGGCATGACAATTAAAAACATTGTTTTAAAAAAAATATTGCCATGTAATATAACCAAGAATTATTTTAATTAAAAGATAACTACTTAAAAATTTAAAATATATCTCAATTAGTTCCTCCATTTGGAAAATTACGATAGTGCAGACAAAAACAAATGCCTCTCTATTTGCGACGTGATTTAAAAATAGAGATTGCCTCTGACTGAATGAGAGAAGAACAATTACGATTTATTGAAATGCACCAACTCGTGCGTAAATCACTGCCAAACAAATTAATTTTACAATTGAATCTTTTTGCCGAGACTACGAGTAAATCCGTGTCTGCACAAAATAATAAGAATTTACAGTTTATTTATAACTAGCGACCCACCCTGGCTTCGCACGAAAAAATAGTAAATAATACGCCTACGTTACTGTCTGATAATATAGGTTACTACAAGTGAAAGAATTTATAAAAACAAATTAAGTATTTTTTGTAATTAATATCCAAACAAACATACAAAAAATTAAATCTTTTCTGTTTATAATATCAAAACATCATATAAGAAGATAATTTGTCCTCTAGCATTCAATTTTCTCTATCCCGTAAATCTGGCGTAAAGATTGCTAGATGAATAGAAAATAATATAAATATAATTAAAAATAAAAGCAAACAGTATTCAATTCATCTTTGGGTTACGGAAGTATAACCTAAATTTCTCACTCAAAAGGTTGACTATTCAAAACCACAGAGATCTGTGTATCCTTTGCACTCTGTTCTCTATTATCAATAATCCCTCCTCTCTCATCTATTTAAAAGACAGATTTCAACTCATCAAAGACTCCCATTCCCGTAATCTTCGTTTCACGCACAATTTTCTTCTCGAAAACACCATCAGATCATTCTGGATTTATGTTCAATTCGTTCACTGTTACTGACATAAATCTCTGGAATAGAATATTTGTGAATCTGCGCTTGTGATCGAGTAATCTTATATTAAAAAAAAATTGTTCAACAAATAAATACGCATTCTTTAAACTCATACAGATAAAAAATCTTGTATTTACAACTATTGACTACCTGTCTACTTGACAACGTCGAACTCGAAAATGGTTGATCTGACGTAAATGTAATTCCCAAGGGAGTTTTTATAGTACAAAAAGTTACGACTGCTTAGAGAAAAAATGGGAGGCACAAACTTCGAAGTAACAATCTACTTGGCATAGTAGTAGGGGTACAGGTAACGAAATTTGCTAACCTCTGAGTTTTCCGAATTAATTTTACAAACTATCTGAGCTTCTTCCATCATTTCGGCAACGCGAAGTTTTGATGACCGCTCGGTCGTAAGCCCAGAAGGTAAAGAAGACATAAAAACATTTTCTCTTAAAACAAGTGAACGTGATAAAAAGCAAATTATAAAATGAGTTTTTTACAAATCATGACTACCATAGAGCAAATAAATATACAATCTAAACATAGAAACTCCTCCTTTTTTGGAGTGAGTTAAAAACACTCCCAACTTTATAGCCTCCTCCGACATTTTTCTTTTTGTACGTATGTGTGTAACACGTGTCTATTGTAATACTGTGGCCGTACTTCAGTTTGTATTTAGCACATCTTTTTCGGACTTAAAAGCCTAGGAAGATGTTGCAATCAGGTGTATTTAAGAGGAGAAGAAGGAACGCGCTTACGCCAGAATTGGCTAGTGCCAGAAACCCCAGGATCAGGACCAGAGCTGTTAGCTATGAGCAATAACATGTTTACAATAGAGTACATATATGCCAATTTAAAAGGTTCAAGCCAATAAATACACCAATAGAAACATAAAGGAAGAAACTTGCTGACAACACAAAATATCTCTCTTCTTCGCAAACCACTTTAAACAAATTTACTATAATACATTTAATAAATCCATGGAACTGTTTAGACTACAAGTTGCGCCAAAAAAATTTATTATGTATTCTCGAAAACGAACCGTGCCCCCCCCCCCCCTCCTTCAGACTTTACACGGGTAGGTAAATAGAAGGCTAATTGTGAGTTTAAAAATAATATACAGTCCATGTTATACGCTTGTGCTCATAATATAGGTTTTTGTTTCAAAATATTTCTTAAGATGGGTTAAGTATTTTTTGTAGATTTAGATACAAACAAAAGAAATCAAATCTTTCCTGTTTATAATATTAGTTTAGACATATTTAGTATAAACATATGAATTATTGCTATACAATAAAATACCCTTTTTATACGACTTAAAAAGCAAGCAATTGTAGTAATTCTTAAACATCTTGTTTCTGCAGATTCTTCCGTCGACTGAAGCTACGTAACAACACGCACTTCCACATAGATTACATCCATAACGATCTACTAAACATGCAGTTAGAAACGAGGATATCACTGAACGACCTCCATCTTGTTGGCACTTACGAGAGATCCGTCACAGCCAAGGATCCCTCTATTTTATACTACACCCCTACATTTGGCGAAGTCGAGTAAGAAATATTGAAAATAATTTTCTGACTACTTAACCTGTTTTTTCAGCATTACACATCAAATTAGAAATAAAACCGTTTAATATCTAGTAACCACCTTAGAATACTAGCGAAGCTTGGCAAAGTCATCTCTTAGAATACGTATAGGTACGCTTTTTTAAGGGATATGGAATATAATCTATAATACGCTGGAATATAATCTTTAACACGCTGTTATGGATAAGTTTGCTAGATGTTTAAAAAAGTACAATATCAATCAATCTGTTTATTTTTTAAAGTGTAGAATACAGTTTTGTAAGGTATTTGTTTCATGCTCGCTATTTAATAAGGGTAAGAGGATGCCTGTTCTGGTGGGCGTGATTTTCTTGGAACGTAAATGTGGTTTTAGAAACATTAAGGGGAAGACATGAATAACCGGTAATTGCAACTACGAGGATAAGCAATCTATCACTGAATATACAATCTGTGACATCTAGAAATAACCTAAGTACCTAGTTTCATTAAGTAGGATAAGTGCGTAGTATTCGAACGAGTAATCCTAGAAGACAAAGAACGCAACCCCCTTTTTTTTTAAGTTTTGACAATGGATTATAGTGCGCCCAAAGTTAATTTTTGAATCCTGAGGTTGATTTGAGGCTCGTTTCTTACTTATAGGTTGGATGCTAACTGCTAAGATTTACTGTTATGTCGAATTTTTAATATAGTTGATAAATTTTGAGTTTTAACAGCATAACTAGGCACAGTTATTATTAGTATCGCTTCAATATCTATATATTAATTTCCTGTAGATATTTAAAGCGAAAAAAGGTCAAGACTCAACTTGATGTCGCTCAGACCAGTCCGAAAGTTATAATCATGTAGATGGAATTCATTTCGTAATTATATATTACACAAACGATTACACAAACAATAAAACAACAATAAAATATATATATATATATATATATATATATATATATATATATATATATATTGATAAATATTGGTATATATTACTTACTCTTAACTATAACAGTGGATAAATGACTCTAAATACCTTATTAAGGACTATAATCGTGACGTTAAACATGACAAAATACATTGTGTTGCCAGGCGTTAGAGAATTTATATTATTACATGGGTACCTGTTATGTATAATAGTAATTTCCTTATAGATAATATCCAGACTGTAGCGAGTCACAATATGTAGGTACAAAGTTGACTCTTCAAATTCTACACAGCTAGTAATCTGTCTATTTATTACATTAACTATAAGACTATCGGGAGTAACTTACGTAATGTTATTTAAATCGATGGTCTCGAAACTAGTCGAAAATTCTTGACCAAAACACACGTAAGTCAATCCAGTTAGTCTTATAGTTAAAGTATAATGTGAACTTACGAAACTTATTACCTGCAAAGGTAAGTAATAAGTTTCGTTAGTTATGTAAGTTAATATTTTTTTTATAGTTATAAATAGTTTATAATTGGAAATATTTTTCCAGATTCCTTCTAAAAGATGTACAATACAAAATGGAAGGCAGATATCGTTTGGTGCAAGACAGACTATACCTTGAATTAGTTATGTCATTAATTAAAGTCAACGATATACTTATGTTTGTAAGTAACAATACTATACAGTTACAAAGAACAACAAAATTTCTACTAGAAACATAACTTACTAATATAATAGAATTATAACTAGACGATATCTGTAAATGGGAGAGATGCCAAAACAATAAGTTTTAGAAATTTTATCAGTTCGTCAGTCTGCCTGTCTGTAGGTTTATTCCGGCATCATGTAAAAACTACTGCACCAAATTGGATACGGCTTTGATAGGCGTGTTCCTGAAGGTTAATCTTAAAATGTATGTATATTTTACCTTGATTTCTCATTTCCTACTTCTAAAATCTTCGCGTGGGAAGTAACCAGCAATAAGCTAGTTTAATATAATAGATACTTAATTCAATCCTAATATTTGAAAAAATATGTTTTAGTACACAAGCAAAACAGCCAAGAGCCCATCATTGTCCTTGCAACGCCAAAATATAGGTATGTTTTGATATTATAAGTTTTTTTTTAATAATTTCGAAATAATAATAAATGATATGAAAAAATATAATTTTCAATGACATAACTCACACTGTGGTCAGCAATAAATGATGGAAAGCCTGAAATAATAATGATTAATGACGATAACCCAGTAACCCTTTGGCAATATGACCCGATATCGTCCAATTATTATTTGTAATTTATATGTAGAAATAGTTGGTTATAATATATTTTATTTAGTTAATCTTTTTTACTTATGATACCTATGATATCATAAATACTAACAAATACATTGTTATGTTTAAATATAATCCAATGTGATGAAATTTGATTGTTAAATTATTAAAATTTGACAGTTTATACTTTAACAGCTATTTCATTTTATAATTATATTTTATTTTCTACTATTATTATGTTGTCTAAAACACGCCCATTATTAAGACGAATCCAACATCCTTATTTACTAAAATCTATTAAACAGTTTAGGCTACAGTTGTATATTAGGAAATATTAAGTACCACGCTTTCCTTAGCACACGGATAAAAGTGAATTGTATTTTACACATACAATCTTTTTACCAAGAATGTATGACTTAACAATTTATTTCATTTTTTCTGTAAACATTAGTATTAAACTTAATGTAGCTTACAAAAGATGGTATAAAAATTTTTGCAACTTTTGAACGAATCTCTAAAAATATAAATTTAAGAGTCACTTTACTTTTACTAATATATTGTGGCAAGCTTCTCGTAACATTTAGTGTTTGTTTCATTTCAATTAAACAAAAAAGTTAATTGAAATGTAATAATACGTGCTATTCTAGAAACGAGCTGCAGTTTTAAAATCATTTCCCTCTAACCAAACGTCTACGCGGTTTGAAATATTTACCTTCCGTAACAGCTACTGTTTAATACTTTTGTTTAAATATCAACGACTACAATCTAGCATGATTGCGATTTACCTGATAGTAAGCGACTACTGAAACCTGTTATGACTTCTATATGTTACACCTAAGACATCTCTTACGTTACAAACCCTTATATCATTAACTTCAATATAATATCCAGTAATTTCTTTAACTGTGCTCTTTCTTTAAACAGTAATACAGCATTCAGGCAAGGAGATTGGCAGAATTATTAGACGAAACAAACCGACTAAGACAATTCGTATTAAATTGCTGTGATATGCATTGGCATTTTCCCGTAGGTGTCGTAAGAGGCGACTAAGGCAACTTAATGGTTGAGAGATGAGCAAGACCGTCCCTCTGTAAACTGATGTTTGGTGATCCGAAGACCAACTGCGGTTGCCAACCTATCTGCTAAACGTAACAACTACTGGCAAAATCCCCCAAAGAGAAGCTTATGTTCAACAGTGGACAGTTAACGGTGTATCATCATTACTATTGTGAATTTATATTCATTATAAATTTGACAGAGGAGTTTCTGGACCGTCTCAAAGTGGACCTCGACATGTGGCTACGAGACTACTTCAACGACTATCTATTGAATTTCGGCCTGGCTGGCTCTGCCGCTAACGCTAAATTTCGGTAAGTCAGAGTTTAATACAACTTTAAGTCATTGTCGTATTATTACTCAGCAGCGTGCCCTTTGGCGATTGAAGTGCCCTGCTTTATACGAATAAGTAATCTATTGAACTATGGAAATATCAAAATTTACATAAAATTGACAACCGCTAAGTTTCTTGAATATCGACCGAATACAGCTAGATAAAAAGTAGGACAACCTCTACTACTTATATGCAGATTGCCTGCAAATATGATGAAAGAAATCGATGGATGCAAATGCCTTGAAACCGTTCTGTTTGTAAATTATTCTTTATTGAACACTAAAGAAGCAGCCAGGATTCGCACAGGTAGATAGATAGTTTGAAAATAATATATATCCTATATTACTCGCTGATAATGTTACTTTCTATACGTAAAATAATTTTTAAAATCGGTTGAGTAGATTATGAGTTTACCTATTACAAAGAAACAAACAAATTAAAATATCCTCTTTATAATATTAATAGGTATAGATGTAGATGAATGACTAAAAAATAATGTAAATCAAAAACTGTATATTTTATAAATTATATTTTAATATATTTTTAATATGATCGTTGCCTATTTAAAAACAGGCCCTCTAGACAAGCGGTAAACTAATCCTTAGATGGAATCATCACTAGTGAATTCTAAAGTTGGAATAAGACATCAGACATCGCTATTTCATTCCATCTTATAGTCTCGCTAGCGACAACGATTCTATCAATGTATACGTTTGCTACTTGTCTAAGGAACCTGAACTTAGATTTCCTAGTAAGAGAAACTATTATATAACATCTTCTTGAGTCATTATTGAGTTTTATCTTTAGCTTTACGGTGTGAACATTGTATAGTTTTCTTTCGGCTTCCCAAAGATTGACTGTATTGGTACCTCTATGGGATAAGTCCGCCATTGTATATTGAATCTTTTAATGTGTCCAATGTAAATTATGTATAATAAACATTTTACAGAACAACACAATATTCTATTTCGACTAACAAAAATATACGTCCTGACTTCATCCCCATCTACGTAATCCAAGCACAAACACATTCTTAATTATACAATACTATCAAACCTAAAACATACTACAATCATACATTATATTTATACATACATATCATACTACAATTGTACAACAATTAGTCGATGGAAAGGTTATCTTGAAAAGATTACTTTCAGCAACTCCATCGTTACATTTATTAATCGTCTTGCTTTTTCCCTATATTGTATAATGCAAATAGACTCATTCATACCTTTATTCATTCACAATTTAAAAACACTCATATCCTTCCCATACTACTAAAGTAATATTTTAAACTATTTTAAGGCAATACGATAAGAAGAAAGCGTTAATATTAAACGAATATGTGGACACCGCGTTATCGCTCATGAAACGACGTCTACACAAGTTAAAAGCCTCAGCTGTAAAATTACCCGCATTTTCAATATACTCCGTGAACGGTGTGGTAAGTTAGCCTGTGTAAAGTTTTAAATTAATGTTTCTAATTTTGATAACAATATTGACTTCGAACTTTTTGATTTTATTGCGCTTAAACCGAATTGACCTATATTTTTATCTAGATTTAGATCACAAGTAATGGGTTTGATTCTGAGATGCCATTTCTTTAAATTTATATCTATTTAAATTTTTAATTTAAAATCGCATCGAAATCTTTATTCTACTGACCAATATAAATGAAATTGTTATACATTTAGTTTATAATAGTCCATTAATCAGTAATTTTGCGAAACTATCAAATTAAAATATTAGATTAAGAGATACGCTTAGAGCAATGGCGTCTCAGAATCGACCCCAATATCATACAATATTCAAAAGTGAATAGGTTCTTCTGGCGATCTATATCATAAATATATAAGCGAGTACGAGTACATCCTATTTCAATCAGAATTTATATGAACGAGAATGATTTTGCAAAAATCTTATAACATTCTCATAAGACATTCATCATTTTCATCATCATCATATCAGCTTTTAATTGTCCACTGCTGAACAAAAGCCTTTTTAAGGGAGGTTTTGCAAGTAGTTGCCACGCTTGACAGGCGGATTGCTAACTGCAGTCAGGCTTTAGAGATGTTTTAAGAGGGACGCTGCCGCGCATCCCTCGCCCTCCCTTAGTCGACTCTTACGACACCCACGGGAAAGGAAGGGATGGCCTATTCTATGCCGAGACCACATGGCAATAAGACATTACTCAATTAAATACTTTACTGTTTTGCGTGATTCTAAATATTAAGTATTTGCGCTCTTAAAACAATACTACTAAATATAAATTTATTTTTTTCAATTCTTTTTTTTTTATTTATTCTTTTTTAATAGACATTGAAGTTAACAAATGGACGACTCCAAGGACTAGACAGCATGTACAGACGATCGGTTGCTACCGGCGCAAAAAGCGAAAAAAATCGTAAAGTGGACGCTGTTATTGGATTTAGCAATCTTAAGGTTAATTTATCAAAAAATTCATTTAAAACTAATAAATAAGAAACATTTTATATTCAGTGAGAAAAATAATGAAACATACTGTCCGTCCGCCTGATGGTAAATACCTGACAACCACACCCCATGAGTGCTTTCAATGCCAAAAACATATCTCATGAGTTCTCAACTTTAACCCATATATCATCGCGGTATTAATAATTACTTTAGGGGAAAAGAATTACAAGTAATGAGACCAGAGGGAGATTTTATAGAAAAGTTATTTGCTTGGATACCTCTGTCCCATTCGTGTTACAACCGTGAAGCAGTTGCGTTTGCATGGCTGTGTTTTAATTTGAAGGGTGGGATATGGCAATGAATTTATAGAATACAGATAAATAACACCAGAGTCCTCAGGAATGGCAATGCATGAGAGGTATCAGCGGCGAAACAGTATAGGTACTCTGTTATATTCATGGTATACTACTCATGTCTATAGGCGACGTTTATCACTTTCCACCAGGTGGGCCGGCAGCTTGTTTGTCATTCTTAGTTGTATAAAAAAATCTAACAGCCCTATTGCTGGCAAAGGTGATAATGAAGTGGTGACCCCGCCTGCGCTAACTAAATACGCTGGCGAGGCGCCAGTGAGAGATGATAGTTGAGAATGAAAAGGCAAGTCAGTTAGCTTAGAATACACCTGGAATTCAACACGATGGTTGCCAGGGGGGACCACGTGGAGGTCGACCTGATAGGGTATATTGCTAGCAATGTGACTGGTAGTCTGCATTACTAACAAACCCTTCCTCCTCCCCCTCCCCCCCTCAACCACTGTAGTTGATTCTTATCGAATTGTTTCCCATGGGCCAACTGACCTACTTTCATCCTCATCTGTCATCGCACTACTTGTGCTCCGTGAGCATACGAGCTCACCATTACCATTACTCTGATATTTACATTTCATTACAATTTTCAATTTATATATATATATATATATATATATATATATATATATATATATATATATATATATATATACATATATATATATATATATACATATATATATATATATATATATATATATATATATACATACATATATATATATATATATACATATATATATTATGCAATATTTACGCCTGTATACAAATATTACGAGTAAGTACTATTACTGAGAAGAGAATTCAATTAGTGTATCAGTCTACATATATTTTTATTTAGGTACATATTGACATTTCATTTCGAAGGATCTGCAATAAGATTCAAATACATTTGTATGATTATTATTCAGGTTATTGGAATGGGTAATGTGAATATCGAACCAATATCTATATATTGGGTTATTTTAGATATAGATGGCGGCAAAAAGGTCATCACCAATTTTGATATCACTCATATCAATCGGATATCTATTTTCGAATACGTTAACCGTCTGTTATACAATATTATTTTTTTTAATAACAGACTTGTAACATATTCGTTATTGGGCCAGTATATAGATATTTATTTATTTATTGGAAAACGTACAACTGAATTACAGTCAATAAATAATTAAATTTATATATTGTGACTAAATTGTATAGATATTGCCCACCCCTATCAGGTTATATACAACTATAATGCAGAGCTGACGACAGAAGCACCCCCACTAAGCGGTCAGCTGTTCTTGACCGCTGATGACCTCACCGCACGTTTGGGCATAATGATGGTTAAGAATTCAGAGACTGTCGACATACGTTTTGATTTCCTACGACAAGTGAAGTAAGAAAAAAGATATTATAGTACAATAATTTCGAGTTATTATCAATTTAAACCTATCTGAATAAATGTAATTGTATGTTAATACTCCAATTTGTTGATATAGAAAAAATGCAATACGAACAATCTGCTTTACTTTCTAGACAGTGTGTGTTAACAAAAGTTATTATATGCTTTATTCATATTAAAGTAAAATTAATGCTTTTCGTATTTGCAACAGATATTTTACTTTCGATGTATTTCAGACCAGAATCAATAATCGTAGAAGGACCAATCAATAGGATGATAACAAACTTCAGATATCTATTAGAACTCCATATAGTTGCCATGATGAGTAACACTATGCTTTATCAAATAAAACTGCTCAGCACTTTAACTAGATGCAGTAAGTTATACATTTAAATACTTATAAAACATACTTATAAATTACCTAATACTAATATATATATATTCTGCAATCTATTATAGAACCAAATTTTGTTGCTGATATTGATCCAAATGACATCAAATACCAAAACAGTAAAGAAACTAATGAAATTTATTCCGATTATAATCAACATTCAACTAATGATAATGATGAAAATAAAAGTAATGAAGGTAAAACAGGAGAAAAGAAAAATAATGATGAGGAATCTAAAGAACAACCTGCCTCTATTGAACAACTCCCGCAGAGGACTGAAGTTTTACCAGAAACAACAAAGACTGATGGGGAGAAAAAGCATAGGACAGAAAATAAGTCAAAAAGAAAAGAAGACCATATACCAGTAGAAACCAAAAACCAAACAGAAATTTCTCCTGAGGCTGATTTTGTCCTCAATAAACAGGATAGTATAGAAATGGAATTGCCTCCGAAAGTAGAATCTCATGAGGGACAAAGACAATCAATAAAATACGACGAAACATTTAGTATCAGTAAACTTAAATCGCAATAAAAATATATTGATCTTACATATTGTTTTGACGTCTAATCTAATAAATCATTTCAATACTATCTTTCTTTCACACAAAAATTAAAATGACCTTAAATATAGTATAATGTTTTTACTATTAATTGCAATTCTTTAAGCATAATAACTAATTAATGAAAGAAAAAAAAAAGAATTTCAAATCGAATTTTATTTCTTTATCTTTGCTAAACTTTTGTTCGTAAATATCTAGTTTCAAATCAAAGTCAAATTTGGCGCGTAATTTTACTGATCTGCTGAAAGTGGGCGGCGGAATACATGTTTCTTTTACAAAAATCATAATAACCGAATCGTAATAATTTTAACCCCTACTATAACAAATAACCAGCGATTCATGCAAAACTACCCATCATATTTTTAAACTTGATGATACAATTCTTCAAAACTCTTCAATTGATTTTCAGAATTCACAAAAATTAACGCAGCCATACTTCGCCAAGTTAAGATTTGAATAAAATTGTTACTTTAAGTAACAATTTTATTCAAACTTTAGCTTACCAAAATTGCAGGCATCGCTACAGTAATCATTTGCCATTAGACGAGCTGTATACTTGTTTATCACCTTCGTGATAAAGAAAATTGTGAGAATTCAATTTAAGGCAATTCACAAAATATTTTTAAATATATATTTTTTTACAACTGACAACCCACCACAAATAATGTCAAATTGACAAATCAACGAATGTTGTAAAATTAAAGAGATTACCCTATATTTTGGGTAAACAAATATATAATTTTGATATTAATTTAATTACCGTATGATTAGGTATAGATAAAATATATAATAATAATAGATCAGAATATGTAATGCAGCCTGGATAAAGGACACATCTTTTTTTATTAAATTAACGGTTAAAAATTTACGGTTTCACTTTGCATAATTCCGTGCAAAATTCTGCCTATTAATATCCCATATCTTTTATCTTTGTGCGCATTCCCCCTTAATTAAAGTTAAATTTATCACTGTAAATAATTGAAAATTATAACTCAGACTTTACCATACACTTATCCTGATACTCCTAATATATAGTTTAATGTTTCCTGTTATTATATATGTTATGTTATTATATGTACTATATCAATTTGATAATTAATTTTTTTCTACCAATATAATAATATGTATTGAAGTGTCATTATTTTAGCCTCCAGTCTTAACCAAAATGACATCGTCATAACTTTACATCTGACTCATAAATGTTGCATTGCTCATAATACACCATTATGTATTTCTAATCATAACATTACCAAAATAACCAATCCACATTAGTGACAGCCATTATTACTAATGAAAGAACAAAACCATTCGTATATAAAACATTATAATAGCAGATTATAATTGAGTTTCTGTATGATAATAATATTTCTTAGAAAAACAAACCTTAATTATGTATTCGGCCGCACATCTTTATTTATATTATATCATCATCATTTATATTATATATAATGTTTTAATTAATATTATGTATTGTAGTATTTTTTTTTAAGAAAAATACTGACTGTGAATATAGTTCATTTTGAAGAAAAACCCGAATGGGAATAACTTTATAAGTCATATATCCCTACATAAAATTTTTTTATATAAATTATTTTATCAATGACAAACATAAATACAACTAAAAAATTAAGACCAAGCATGAGGTAAAGTGAAATTAAATTTGACAACACAAGTATTAACTGTCAGTCAACTGTCAACCAACCAGTCACACTTCACACGTCACGTCATTTGATTGTTTTTTTACATGTGAACAATATTGCAATATGTTTTATTATTTTTTCATTAAAAATATACTAATATCATCCCTATATAAATTTTACTAACAATAATTAATTAGGTAATGTTTTAATCGAAATGACAGAAGAAGAAAATATTGATATCAACCAGCAATTAGATAATTTACTAACAAAAGTGCAGCCAAATCTTCAAGATGTTATCAAAAGAGTAAATATTTTAGATGTTTAAGTATCTTGACATCGCATTGAGCGCAATACAAATTCTACTAATCATATCTTATTTTGTTATTCAGAGTTTTACTAATGTTGCCTTGCAACAAACTAAAAATGGTGAACAAGTTAAACCTGATGCCTTGGAAGACACTTCATATTTCGCTAAAAATACACAAGTGTAAGTTTATAAATTATATTTTAAAATTTTGTTCTATAAGTATTTAAGGTCAATAGCAACGAAGTTCATAAGGGACAAACTTAGGGAAATAGGCTTTATTAATCGCAAAAACATTAAGATGAAAACCACACACACCAACTAATGAACATAGATCATACAATAGAATCTTACTATATTAATACATAATATAAACAAAGAAATAATCGACCCAAGCATAGAACAATCTACTGATATCTAATAGTAGTACAAATCAAAATTCAATTAATTGATTGCATGTGTTAATTTGTTAGTGACTTCATTTTGAAAGTATTTCTGTGGTAATCTTAACAAAACTAGGTTACATTTTCTTTAAGTTCTGTTGAAAAAGAGTATAGAATTGTAGAAGTAAAAGCTACCTATTAACTAACATATCACATAATTATATTTTTTTGTGTTATTCAAATGTATAGTTGAATTGAGAAAATTTTACTTTTCCATATCATATAAATTGGCTTTTTATTTATTTCAACTCATGTAAGAAAAAATTTCAGCAACCTCACTAGATTGGAACTAGTCAAAACACCAACATTCCACATGCAGACCCTGTCTTTAGACCTGAAGTCAATGGGACTAAAGTTACGCTGTTCATTGGGTGAAGTGAATGTAAAGGGATTGTACAGTGCATTTAATGAAAACTTATACAATCTTCTACCAGTTATGGCAGAAGGTCATCTATTGTAAGTACTTATATTTTTTTAAATGTAATGTTGAAAAAGAGTTTTTTTTTTGTTCTCCACTGTTCTAAATTTTTATAACATTGGCAGTGTAGCAGTTTTGTACACTACTTTTCTGCACATGTTGAAATTCAATCCTCACACAATACAAACACATCTGTTCATGATTATGTTAGTTTGCATTTTTTTGTTTGGAGTATTTATTATACTTTGTTATAGAAAAGTCAGTAGATTGAACTGTTGCACCTCAATACTCTGCCTACCCTATAATGGGTCTGACTTTAAAATACATTGATGCATATGTATATATATATATTAGTATTTAATAAAAATATTTATGCTCTGGTAGCTAACAAAATCGATTAAAAATTATATCCATATTTAAATATTGTATACACAAATATTGAAAATTTTGTAAATTTTAATTAATAGACTATTCTTATAGGTCTGTACTTGTGGTTTGAGGTAACTATACATATAAAAAAAATATTTTTCTTTATTATAATATCTGTCATTCATTATTATATATTAATAACTATAGAAATGTTGTAAAGAATTACTGAATATAAGTTTGTAACATATCTTCATTTATATTTTGTTGTGATTTAATACTTAACAATCTATTAAAATTAGTTCTGTACTTATTAACATGACAGAATTTCTCGACTTATGACTTTGTGAGTATTTTACTTGATTTCATTGTGATCAATTACTATGAACTGATTTTATAAAATTTTTTTTTTTATTCCCATGACAACTCTCATACTAATTTACTCAAGATGCAATTAATTTGTTAATATTGTATGTTGTTATTAATGAATAATAACCTAACAAAGTTACTATCAATTCATTTCTTAAAATCATTTTTAGAATGACATTGTCAAATGTCACTGCAGATGTGGATGTTGGCTTAGTGCTGGAGGATGATGCATACTCCTTTATTAACCCAGGAATAGATTTTACACATGACGAAGTTCTTGTAAAGGTAAGTTTATAGAACAGAATTTGACTTTTACCAGAGAATTTTTATTTAAGAATTTTACCAGACTTTGTACAAAAGTCGTTTGCTGAGATACCTCTGTCCCATTCCTGTTTCAACCGTGAAGCAGTTGTGTTCGCATAGCCGTGTTTCAGTTTAAAGGGTGGGGTATGGCAGTGTATTTACAAGGTACAGAGGATTCCTCAGTCAGTACACCTGAGTCCTCAGGGATAGCAACTCATGGGGGGTTTCACGGGCAAAACAATATACTCAGTTATGTCCATGGTACTGCACATGTCTATAGACAATGGTTAGTATTTTCCATCAGATGGGCCATCAGCTTGTTTGCCATTCTATTTTGTATACAAAAAAAAAAACAAAAAAATACTAATTATGAAGATTTTTTTTATACTATGTATACATGGACATCAATATATGGGCGTCGAAGTATATTGTATGATGTATAGTGTTCATAATTAACCAGTGATTACCACTGAACTATATGCACTTCAATTAATCATTGAAACAATCATTAATTAAATCCTTATTTATAAAATGTTACTGATTATATGTAATATGAGACTGCATGAACAGTATTTCTGTTTGATAAGTTATGTAAATTCAGCGTTAGTATATTTTTATCGTAATTAACGATATCAAATATTTGTTTGAATACAAACTATTACCAGTACTAAACAAATAGAAATTACAGACTGGATTTATTATTTTATGAACTAGAATTTGATTATTCTCAAAGTGAGCAGTAGCTAAAAATAGTTTTACAATCTGTTTTATTTGCAAATAAAATAGTTTCTAAAACTAACAACCCTTAGCTTCGTACGCGTAAATTAGTATATAAAATATTCTATGTGCTATATTAGACACATGCATATGCTATATTAGACACACACACACATACAATTACAATCTTTTGTATTCTATTATATACTAATAATATATCTACAAAATTGCGTTTAAATTTGTTCAGTAGTTTATCCGTGAAAGAGAAACAAACATCCAGCCATCATTACAAACTGCGAAAATAATTATATTAATAACATTTAAACTGCCAAACAAAAGATAATGTATAATGTAATAAAAAAAACATTGATGCACATGGATCCCTTATGTGTTACATTTTCTTAGGACTAAGATGTTGTGCCTCTTTGGCATATAATTTTAATGCCTACGCCATGTAATGTCATGTCATCTATTATCGATATTGACGTCGTTAAAAGGAATATTAAATATATATCAAACATGAAATAAAATAAATTACAGAATCTAGCCAAGTCCATTATTTTTGTTAAGATATCCTTATTGTCATAGCTGTCATGGCCTTCGCCACAAAGAGGCGGTGGATATGAATTTGCTACGACTGAGCAGCTCGCAAGACATATCGGTAAGTCTAGAATTAACACTAACCTAAATTTTTAGTATTGGTACTATCGTAATACTTACGTATTATATGATATGTGATATTACCATAAGTACACAGTCTTATGAGACCAGTTGAAAATCAATCAGAGAATCATAAACTATATTTTCATTTTTTGGAACACTCAATAGAATGACTTTAAATAATGGTAAAAATTTAAACCAAAGCTAATACGTAGCTCCAATTATGATTTTAAAAAAATTTTATACTGTATAATTGATTTGTAACTTATTATGTTTTTTTTTTTCTTTTTATCAATACGGTATTCGTGATAGTCATTTTATCTATTCGTAATTTTTTTTTGTTGTAAACTTTAAAAAAAAGCCATAACTGTATTTTTGCTCGTTCTTCTCAGCTAAAATTTCATTTCGAAGTAGGTAGTAGTTTAATAAAAAAATTGCTATTCAACAATGCTTATTATTAAGTTTACTTGATATAAATGATTACATGATGAATAAAATCGAATTTGAATAGTTGTCTTCTGGGTAAGAGTGTTTAAGTCTTATTGTCATTTTCAATCAAAAGCGAATTCACCATCTAATAATCAGAACGAGATTTTTGTTATAATATTTTTTTTATTCTTTTTTTTTTAGATGACCTTCCTTTAACAGCGGCGATATCATTACCTCTTTATACGCTACTCAGGGAGAAACTACAGAGGCACCTTGCACTTGTACTGAAACAGTCCACCAGCGTCTCGGAAGTGGTATGCTGCAACCCTAGCCTGCTAGAAGCTTACAGGTACTTGCCACGTTATCTCACAATGTCTTAGTGTAGTCAATCAGTCTTCAAGATATTTTGATTATAGCTAGCATTTGGAGAGAAGGACATAGGCTAGGAATAAAAAGTATCCCAATTATTCTACATAACCTAGTCATGCGAACGTAGTCAGGTGCATAAACTACGAAATAAATAAATTGTCTGAAACTAGTAAGTCGACCGAAACCATTGAATGCCGTTAACAGGTTCTAAAAACAATTTGTATGCACTTTCTTCAGGCAAGGACGCCTGGCAACTCACGATTGTAGGTCATTGGCTCCGAGCTGCGACCTACAATGTAATTCGACCGTAAATTTTTTATTATTTTTCCTTCGTTATCCAATGCCGCGATACAAAAGCATGCCTTTAGTAAGTGCTATTGATAACGTTTATTTTATATTTCTATTAATTCGTGTCCGACTTATTTCAAACTCAATAGGAGCCCTTATTCATGAGCGCGGTTCACAACTATGTAGCGAGTAGCTCTAAATTTAAAACATCAATAAATAATTACAATACTGTATGACTCACGATAGTTATTATTTTTCAACAATAGCAAGTCTTTAATTTTGTTTGTCGAGTCGGGTAAAAACTAGCTATTATAGTTTTTACCCGACTCTTTATCTACTTAGCGAGGATATGTTAATTGATCAGTATGTCCTTCTTGATCCCAAAGTCTACAGTAAACCTCCAACCAGTATCGAACACGAAGAACAAAGTGACTTTCTCTTTTATAATATTCATTATCATCATATCGGCCGTTAACTGCCCACTGCTGGACATAGGCCTCCCACTATTGAGGAGTTTTGACAGGAACCACGATTGGCAGGCTGGTTTTTTTTTTAATGAATGATAATGGAATGGTTATCCCACCCGCGCTATCGGTATACACCGGCGGCCAGTGAAGGATGATAGGTGAGGATGAAGTAGGTCAGTTAGCCCATCGTGACGAATTCAACAAGAATTGTACACGATGGTTTCCAGGGGGAACCACGTGGAGGTCGACCTAATAAGGCATATTGCTAGCAATGGGGCTGTCAAACTCCATTGCTAACAATCCCTTTCCCCTCCTGGCAGACGGGTTGGCAACCGCAGTTAGGCTTTGGTAAGGATCTAAGAGGAACGCTGCTGTCAATGCCTCGACCGTTAAGTACCCTTAGTCGCCTCTCACGATACCTACGGATAAAAAAGGGGTAGCCCATTCTATTCCGGGACCACACGGCAGATATATCGTATGACGGGTTTAAAATGGTGTCGTGTCGTTCTACTATAAATTTATCTAATTTAAAAATACCCATTATGCAAAACTCACCTGTTTGTTTGTTATTTTACAGCGCCATGGTGGATAGTCTAGCGAAGAAGGGCAACAAAATTATAGACATGGTCCTGATCGACGTTAGGAGGATACTATTTCAAACCCATACGGAAGTACTCGAGCTACCTCCTCTCCACGCAACGTTTATGCACAAGGTAATTAATCTCTTAATGGACTCCCGCTATAGAAGTTCGCCTAATGTACTCATGTTGTATATATATATATATTTTATACAACTTAGAATGGCAAACAAGCTGACGGCCCACCTGATGGAAAGTGGTAACCGTCGCCTATAGACATGAGCAGTACCATGTACATAACAGAGTATACTGTTTCGCTCATGATACCCCCCCTGCGTTGCCATTCCTGAGGACTCAGGTGTTATTCCTCTGTACCCAGTAAATTCACGCCATATCCCACCCTTCAAACCGAAACAGCCATGCAAACACAACTGCTTCACGGTTGAAACACGAATGGGACAGAGGTACCCAAGCAATCGACTGTCATCATCAATATCAATATATAAATCATTTATCAATATCCACGAATGTTATAAACATAAAAGTGAAATTAATTAAATTTCTCACCTCTTACCGCCTTCAGACTCAATTTTGACATGATGTCTAGCATAAAAAAGGCATAAACTACTTTTTACCTTAGTCAATGTTTATGTCCCGGAATAATATGAAGTTTTTAGTAAAAACCCTAAAAGTAAGTGGTCGCCTACAAACACAAACAGTTCTATAGACATAACAGTGTCCTGTATCGTCCACGCGTTGCCATTCCTGAGAACTAAGGTGCCTTGTTATGCCTTGTACACTGTAATTTCACTGGCATATCCCACCCTTCAAACAAAAACATCCTTCCTCTGGTAAACTTGGTAAATAAATATTACTATTAAATATCGTAAAAATTTTATATTTAAAGGTTGGTAAAATTCATAAAAACATATTTCCCTAGCGTAACACATCTAATATGCTTGCATACGATATAATATTTCTATGATATTTATTCTTTCTTTCTAAAATTTTGAAAACTACCCATAAAAACGTAAGTCTCGTTTTACTTTTTCCTCTACAAACTGTTCTTAGCTGCTAATTTAAATATTTTACTGCCCCAGACCATTAATGTCGGGTCAACTAACAGGTAATAATATTATATCTCTTTACAGATAGGTTCAATATCGTTTATAGGCAAATTCGAAACGGACACTGGCTGGGTGAAGAACTTGGCGACTATTAATAGGATAAATGATGTTAGCGTTAGCAGAATAGACGACGCGACCACTAGCTTCCGTGTCACGCTCAGGATAAAGGATTTACAAGTAAGTGGAGACCTCAAAATACATGATCAGACTCTATGAAAGATATAACCAGAAAGTTATTGCAAACTGTGATAAATTGAAATAGAAATTAATGGAAAAAAAAAATTCAAATGATGTGTATGATAATTTTTTTTTTATTTGGACATAGTGAAATGTGATAGAAAAATAAATGTCACCATAACATAAATCTTTGTATAACTCTTAACTAGTTCTTAGGGTTTTGTACCAAAAAGGAACCCTTATAGTGTAAACTGTCTGTCCGTCTGTCTCAGTTACAAATTTGTAACTTAGAATAATTTTTGATATTGTTAGCCCACACAAAACTGCTCACAAAAAAAATTACCTTACTAGATTTTAATGGATGAAAATAGAATGGCAACCCCGCCTGCGCTATTAGTATACATTGACAGTGCACCAGTGAGGGATGATAGGTGAGGATGCTGTAAATCTGCCTATTGTGACAAATTCATCAATAATTAACCACGATGGTTTCTAGGGGGGAACCGTCTGGAAGTCATCTTTTAGGGTATATCGCTACCAATGGTGCCACTAGTCCCTATAGGTTTACAATCTTTTTCCCCCGCAGTCCGACTTTTTTATTTTTTAATCGGTGATAACGCAATAGGAACCCCGACTGCTCTAATGGTGTACGCTGGCGAGGTGGCAATGAGAGATGATAAATAAGGATGAAAAGGCAGGTCAGTGCAAGCATCAAACCAGCAGCACTAGAGAAGCTAGCAGTTGGTCCATCGTGATGAAATTCACAAGAATTAACCACGATGGTTTCCAGGGGGAACCGCGTGAAGGTCGACCTGATAGAGTGTATTGCTAGCAATGGGGATTTTAGATCCTCATCCTTTCCTCTCCATATTTAGTAAATAAGGTAACGTTACGTTTATCATCAGGTGGGATACGATGAGTACCGCATGAAGGCGATGGGTGTTTCTTGCTCGGGGCGGTTGGCAGCGACGCTGGGCGGCAGCGCACTGCACCTAGCGCTATCAGTGGGGCTCACGCGCTTGGAGCCCTACGCACAGCTGGACGACTTGCGTCTGCAACAGATGGAGTATGTATTTCTTTTTTTTTTGTCTGTGTATATATAAAGTTAATTGAACAATATTATTAAAGTAAAAGTAAAGGCCAAATTAAAAGTACCCGTAACCGGTGAGCGTGTATGAAAGGATTGATGAATGTGGAAGAAACAAAAGAGGTTTGTTTGAATCGAAGCATTTGGCGTTCCATTGTTTCAGCCTACCTTAATGGGTAGCCTAAATAGTCAGGCGTGACAGATATGTATGTATGTATTATTTAATAGTTTAATGAATTTCTTTTTTTCTTAAATTGACGATAACGACTTAGCTATTTGGTTTTTAACATGCCAACTAATAGGGACCCCACGGTTTATATGGACTATAAGCACTTCAAGTTGCGCATACGCACACCTATTTATTATTGCAACGCCATGAACCTTCACGTTATTCAGTTGATGCTGCTGAATAGTCTACTATTTGATACACAGTTCGACGTGTCAAATTCCTTTTACAAGAAGCGGATTGATTTTGCTTACTCCTGTCTTGTCAACTAGTAGAAAGCCGGCTGATCGTGTCGCCTGGAAGCCACTACCATGTTCCTGTATTGTTTTTTTTAATAGGTGATAATGGAATGGTAACTCCACCTGCGCTATCGGTATACGCTGGCGAGGCATTAATGAGTGATGATAGGTGACAATGAAAGCAAGTCAGTTAGCCCATCATGATGAATACACCTGCAATTCAGCACAATAGTTTCCAGGGGGGCCACGTGGAGTGACTGGCCACTGATAGACCGCATTACTAACAACCCTTCCTCCTCTAGGTCGACCTGATAGGGTAGGTATATTGCTAAGAATGGGTTCATTAGACCCCATTACTAATGTGCCTACATGTAATATTGCACAATGATTATTCATAATTTCAAAGCGAACTTTGCACCGTTCCCTAATTTGTAAGTGGCCTTAATTAATCAACATAACTTGAATGTTTTATCTCATACACACTCGCGATACAAATTCTGTGCTAGGCAGCCCATTCAATATACAAGTTTATATTTTATATCTTGAATTATTCTCGTTATTTACGAGTACCACATCCACAAACCGCATCGAGTCTTCTAAACAATATCAGCCAAACTAACAATGGTTGCCCCCCTGGTGGCGGTGTCGTTGCAGCGGCATGGACGTGCACGTGACGGGGCTGGGCCCGCTGAGCGGCGCGGCGCGCGGCGTGGCGGCGTGGGCGCGCGGGGCGGCCGCCGCGCACGCCGCGCCCGCGCTCGCGCGCCGCCTGCACCGCGCGCTGCACCGCGCGCTGCACCACCTGCCCGTGCGCCACTGCAACACTGCGCTTAAAAACAACTTATATGACTAAAACATTAAGGCAACCTTATAGATAGATACTCTTTATTGTTTCCTCTAAAAGATTACAACAGTAAACCTATTAAAAATATAAACAATTACAAGAAATAATCACAATGAGAAAACAATGGGCGACCTTATCGCTGAAAGCGATCTCTTCCAGCCAACCTTTGGATGGAGAGGAATAATTATAAACAATTTGATGATGAAAAATTCTGTATATTCTTATAAATATATTATATCAGTATCTATATATATAAAAAAAAAACAAATATTTTTCTACTATTAGTAATATCGGATGGTGAGACGACCCACCAAATAGAAAATGGGGAATAAGTAGTATTTTTATATGAAACTAAACAGAGTGATTTCCTTAACTTTTTACGTCCAAGCATACTAAGTCTTCCATATTAATAGTTCTACAATGATTCACGTAGTAGTGTTAATTTATACCCATATCATAAAAACACATTGTTTCTAAGCTATGCGTTGATTGATCAGTTTATCTTCATGACGTATTATAATTACACACTTGACATTTTCCACGACTACATACGAAGCTTATTATCTTCTAATCCCATAGGAATCTCGAAAAGCCTGGTTTGAGTTTCTCACCTACAGTATTTACTAAATCTTTGTGCATTACAAACCCAGCAGTTTCATCAGAATTTTATTTCTTCTTTTATTAAAGACTAGCTTTTGCTAGTTAGTTCGTACACGTGACTTTTGGAAGTAAGTGGATTTTAAGATAGACCTTCAAAAACACAATAATAATAATAATAAATAGATTTATTTTCTCTTCACAATTTATCACAATGAGATAAAATGAGACATGCTTATATTAAAGTAAATATGCCAACCATATTTGATTTAGTGCAACAGTTTTTTCTTGATACTGGACAGACAAAAATTCCAAGAATTTTATTGTAATAGTAAGATTGACATGTTTTGCCATTATTTTTATTTGTACTATGTAATTTAATATTATTATAATATATTCACTGCAAATATGGAATTCAATGCCATATTAAAAACCTAAATAGTAAAATGAATTATTTACATTTTTCTTATAAATAAGACTTATCGATAAATCAATCTGTGACATCTTTTCTGAATTTTGTATAATTTTGCATAATAATATGTAATGAAGATTTTGATAATGATTAATTAAGCCAAGTTACATGTGTGTAATTTATTATGTAACCTTATAATTGTTTCATTTAAATTATTGTTGTTACCGTAGCAATAAATAATATTATTAGTCACGATTATTTATTCGTGTTATAAAAAGATTTTTTTTTAATTATGTTACCTTTATTTAAAACTATGTAAGTTAAATTGTATGCTAAATTTACTATGTACAGAATACAAAGAATTTATTTTAAGTGCAATTAGACAAATAGAATCCTTGTTCTTTGTATTTCTTTCTTTTAACGTCCATTTCAAGAGCGTTCTAAGGCCATTTATGCGTGAATGCATTTGCAAGCTTCATTGTCCAATTTATATGTACCTTAGTAGATATATAAAAATCTCTAGATTGATTCATATACAAATATAAAAATAACTAGTAAGCATAGGACAAGGCATGTGCACTCCATACATGCCGTGTCCTATGCAATACAACATATGTATATAACAGTTATCGTAAATATGAAACTAAATATCCATATATTATATTTTAAAAAATTTTGTAAAAATATTCTGCTCGTATGTTCGTTACAAATGACATTGGATGATTTGAAATTAGTGCACAATTAAGGTAATACAGTACATCTAAGTTTTTTATATATCAATGTAAGTACCCCCACTGTATGGATGTGTTCCTTTATCTAGATAATTTAATAGGAAACTTATTGTAATTATATACTAAGTGAATATGTTAATTTGAAATCCACCTTATAAGCAATTCTTTTAGTGAAATCGAACGCTATGAAAATTTTTACTAAGCAATAAAATATGTTATTGAAATTTGTTACATTAAATTAAGTAAAGGATTTTTTTTTTTGTAACTGACGCAAGTTTTATATTGGTTGTGTTCTTTTGATCTATTAAGACTGTTGTACCATACTATACATACAAGTTGTTAAATAAAATGTTTTTCATATTTAAATTGCTTTGTTACTTATTCCGTTTGCATGAAACACACGTTGAAAGAATTATTTCAAATTGAAATGGTGAGAAAAAAATGTATATTTAATACTAAATATTATTAAAACTAATAAAAAAAACTAATGTACAAAAGGTAATGGCATCAATCAGAGTTTATATATATATATATATATATATATATATATATATATATATATATATATATATATAAACTCTGATTGATGCCATTACCTATACAGCACCAATTGCAGTGAAATAGAATTGTTAAATTGTTGTTGGATTGGCCATTAACTGTCCACTGCTGAACATTGACCTCCCCAAAGACTGTCATAAGGAACGAGGCCATTCCTAATAACAGTTTACCATAAGGGAATTTTGCCAATAGTTGCCACGCTTGGCAAGCGGGTTGGCAACCGCAGTTTAATTTTTGATAATTTTTTAAAGGGCGCTGTTGCTCATCCCTCCACTATAAGCTCCCTTAGTCGCCACTTACGACACACGGAAAAGGAAGGTGTCGCCTATTCTATTTATTTAGGTATTTGGAATTTATAAATTATCATACATCACTAAATTCGTGCTGGCTATAAATAGAACCCTATACTCTTTTTTCATCAAATAGTCGTACATTACATTGGCATTTATGTCATTTCAGAAGAATGCACTGTGGATATCTATTTCTAGAATTTACATGAGATTAATACACTTATTCTATGGTTGTATATACCGTATAATGTTATCAATATATTTGTGGTGTCATACATAATTGAATACATACACAAAAAATAGATACACGTAAGTCGATTCGGTTATTTTTACAATTAAAAAGTACTAATTCGATTTTACTGCGTGGAAAAAAAACGGAGGCTTAAATCCTCACAAAAATAATGTGAAAAAAACGGAGGCTTAAATCCTCACAAAAATAATGTAGAACCAACACGAGAGTGAACCTTATTAATAACAAAAATAATCATCAAAATCGATTTAGAATCGGCGACGATATTGCGCAATATACAAAAGAAACTTACAAATTGGAAAACTCTAAAGTCTCTTAACAAAACGGGTATAATAAAAGTGCAATCAATAGATTTACGAAACTGTTGGCACCGAATACAGTCTGCCTAACTCGTAAGGGACTTAGCATAATGACCAATAAAAATTTATTTTCAATAAGGCTTTCATTTAAATAGTGAAATGAAAGCTGACTTGACTCTACTTGATATTTCACTCTATGGTAAATAGTTGACGAGATATGGTATACCTAATTAACGTGGAATGTTTTTGATTTAAACTAATAATCAAGTTTTTTTTTTATTATTTATGTGTTCAGATTATTTATATATTTATTTTCTTATTGCACAATAACATTTGTACAAATGGCGAACTTAATGTCGTATGGCTTTCTCTACCAGCTAACAATTAAGTAACAAAATATTTGATTTGAAAGCAGTGGTGGCGAATATGCGATACACAAAAAAAAGTCTTATCGTATATTTTCAAATTCAAATCATATTTATTTAAATAGACTTGTTTACAAGTACTTTTAAATCGTCTTTTTTTTTTAAATCTACTGCAGGTTTCGTAGAGTTATCTGTTGAGAAGTGTCCGCAAGAAATTCAACAGTTACTCTTTTCTCTGTGTGTGTTAACATTATGTGTATTTATTTAAATATACTATATCTAAAATTACATGGTCATTAAAAAAAGCCCGTGCATGATCAACTAACACTGTGCACGTATGTCATTCAAGTAATCATTTAGAGTGTAATAATAGGCTTTGTTAAATAAGTGTTTTTAATAACAGTTTTAAATTTATTAAAAAGTAGATCCAAAATATTCTTCGGTATCTTATTATAACATTTAATGCCCATTCCATTTAATTCCCATAAAATATTACAAAAAATATATGTTACTTATAATCATAAACTATATAACTATTGAATTTACATAAATTAAATACCTCCTATATTTTCAGATAATAAAATATGGGTCTTATACAATCTGTATTATGCTCTATGACGTTTTGCATCGAAAGGTAATTATCGAATATTTTTTATCACAAATCCTAAGTAGAATACAAATCCTACTTTTTTTTTTTGATGGGTGAAAATGGAATGGTAACACCGCCTGCGCTAACGGGATACGCTGGCAGAGCACCAGTGAAGGGTGATCGATGAGAATGAAAACAGGCCAGTTAGCCCATCATGATGAATTCATCAGGAATTAACCACGATAGTTTCCAGGGGGAACCGCGAGGAGGTCGACCTGGTTGGGTATATTGCTATGGGATTCTGTCTCCATCACTAACAATCCCTTTCCCCCCAAATCCTACGTTTACATGAACTTTACAAGACATGTAGATAATTTGAAGTAAAATCAACAATTAAAATGGGCGAAATTTTTTGCATAAAAATCATCAAATGAATCATGTTTTAATCTATAAAACTATACTAGTCCGCCAATCTGCACTATATCATTTGCAGTCTTCTTCTATATTATATATACACACCTGTAAAAACAATAAGTAATATCTATTTTCAGGGTACTAACGTGGACATGCTGTGCGTTTGTACTGATGTTACTTATGTTCACCATTATAATTTTAATGATATATGGTATATCCGTCGGTTATCACTATGCGCAGAAGGAGCTGGCTTCTTTCGCAAGTAAGTTTTAAAAGAATATAAATGATTGATCATGGTAACTGTTGTGAATGTGTGTGTGTGAATGAAGTGTAAGATAATGATATGGTAACACCGCCAGCACTATCGATTTACACTAGCGGGACACCAGTAACGAATGATAGGTGCGAATGAAGTCAGGTCAGTTCCAGAGCAACCACGAGTATGTCGGCTTGACAAATTTTAATAATAGTTTAGTAAATTTAGTAATATTTAAACACCCCCCAAGATATATCATTAAGCAATTCAGCCTGATGACCCACATTATTAATAATATCTGGGGAGGAAAGGGATTGTTAGTAACGGGGTCAAGCTGACCCATTGCTAACAATACAGAGTAACAGGTCGATCTTCACGCGGTTCCCCTTGGAAACCATCGTCCTTAATTCTAGTGAAATTTGTCATGATGGGCTAACTGATCTGCTTTTATCCTCCCCACCCTATTACCCCTCACTCTGGAACCCCGCCAGCGTATACCGATAGCCCAAGCGGGGTAACCATTCCATTATCACCTATTAAAACAACTAATAATGACTTCCCTCGAATGTGCAAAGTTGATTCCAACTTGAAAAATAAAATAATTTTAACCCGTCAAGTACCACTTTGGTCGAGATCTTGCACTCATGCAAAGGTGGGGTGAGTCACTAATAAACTTTTGGACTGGATAGGACTTAATACTCCTATTTTTTTTTTTGATGGGTGAAAATAGTATGGTAACCCCGCCTGCGCTAACGGGATACGCTAGCGGAGCACTAGTGAAGGGTGATAGATCAGAATGAAAACAGGCCAGTTAGCCCATCATGATGAATTCATCAGGAATTAACCATGATACTTTCCACGGGGAACCACGTGGAGGTCGACCTGATAGGGCATATTGCTAGCAATGGGGCTGTCAAACTCCATTGCTAACAATCCCTTTCCCCCCTAATACAGCTAGTTTATAAATATAAAAACGGATCAGCTTTTAATAAAGACATCAGAAAAAAATTCTCTAGATTCTATTTCGTTTGGAATCAAATTGCGCTGTATGATTTGTCAGGACAAAAATCTTTTAGTATTTATTTTATTTCTCATACAGTGTCTGCAAGATCCACGACAGAACCATCTGTACTGCGAGCCGGTCCAGAATCGAGGCGTGTCGTGCGACTTGTCGCCGTAAACAGGTCGCAAGTGGAACACGCCCCACATCCTATACTCGGTAAAAAAACCCATATTTTCTGATAGCAATCGATTTAAAAATATATTATAATAAGAGATTGAGAGCCGGGGGTATCTCAATTTGACTTTGTAGGTTTGATATATATATAAACGCTATATATATATAAAGCTCCTAAACAGGTGGCAAACAATTTATCTATCTACTGATAGGTACGTTTTTATTAGCGCTGTCATGAAAAACTTAAATACCAGAAGTCGCTGTCTTGTTCTATCTCACGCAAATATAACAAAGGAAAAAAGTATTTACAGATAATTCACATTTTTACAAAAACATATACCTACGTATAGCTATCTCATTGGAATAAAAACTAAAGAACGCTAATGCTAATGTAAAATTCCACTTTAACTTCTTCCAAATATTTATCATTCAAAAACATTATTACATTTACAGAAGTATATCAAACTAAAAAGCCTGAAGAAAAAATATACATAGAAACATCAGAAACTCCAATTGTTGTCCTTGAAACGGAAAGGTTAGTATTTTTACTAATAAATGTACTCGTAAAAGCAAGTACCTGCCGTTAAAAGCCGTTAAAAATTCGCTGCCGTTAAAAGCTGTTTCGCCCATGATACCCCCCATGCGTTGCCATTCCTGAGGGCTCCAGTGTTATACCTCTGTACCCAGTAAATTCAAGCCATATCCCACTCTAAACCAAAACACAACCATGCAAACACAACTGCTTTACGGTTGAAACACGAATGGGAAAAAAGTATCCAAACAAACGACTTTTGTACAAAGTCTCCCTCTGGTCCCTCATTCCTTATCACCCATTAAAAAAAACCCTCCAGTAACGGAAAACAGTTAAAAAAAAAGAGCGATAATCTCGCCCCTATTACGTTGGATTCTAATATGGTTGGAGAATATGGGCATATCGAGCGTTACTTTGGTGAGTTACGTTCATGACAATGGCAACAGTCTACAAAAGCCTCTGATTATCCCATTAGGAATTATATTTAAAAGCGTATATTTTTTTATAAAGACGTTAAAATTACATTATAGGCCGTCGAAAGAACCCGCACTATCTCCACATGAAAAAGAATTGGCCCGCAGACTCATCGGTCGTTTTCGCCGTTCACGAAATAATACTACCACTGCTGTGCCATTCCTGAGACCGTTACGAAATAGCACCGAATTTTTATTTGCGTCCACATGATCTAAGTTTTTCAGTTTTCAGGGATATGTAATTTAAAATTATACTACCCGTAATAGAGGCTTTTATAATTTATTTTATTGTTAATAATGTATTATATTTTTATCGTCACGATATGGTATAAGAACATTTGTATGGAGATATTTTTAATTTGCCATACGAATATGCTACACGTTCGAAAAATTGTCGTGAAAAAATGTCTTCATTGAATTGTATACGTTTTGTTATCCTATCATGACGATAATATCATAAAATACCATGTCGTACTATAGTAAATTATAAAAGCGCCCCTTTACATCCTTCGCTGAACTATTGTTTGTAGAATTAAATAATATTATATTTACAAACGTCTTTAATTTATATTCAGAAGTTGAACTTACAGTTAATGTAAAATAATTTATATATTTGTGATATTTGTTATGTTTATTGACGAAACTTTTCGATAAAAATTACTAGTGTCATTTAAATAGTTTGCAATCGTTGTTGTATCTGCTTCACGCCGTACTACTCTGTGGGCAAACCCGCGCTTGACTGCTCTGTCGACCGCCCTCATCGCGTTACCGGTAGTCACTGTTTCTGGACCTGAACGCAGAGCGCCTGCTGCTTTTGCAGCCTTTGCTAAAATTATACATAAGACACTTGAACAGTAAATTCAATGCTAATAAAACACCAATAAACAGATGTTTTGTAGACACATTAGATTGAAAATGTTTTAATTTTGAACACGAAATCTTTCGTCTACAAGTAGGTAGATTAGATTCAGAGAGAATTCAGGTTGCAAAAGGAATTACCCTCGCTACCTTTTGCAGTTACTTCAATATTACAATTTATAAAACACTCAATTATCAAAGACGAAATATATAGAAAAATTGTTTATGAATAAGGATGGGTATCCGTTAATTTTAATTCAATGCTTATGACGTGTATCACTATTTACTGAAATCTGATGGATACTTTATACGAAAGTTGATGATTTCCTAATATCTATACGGCAACCGTCTTTACATCAAGCAAGCCGTAAATATTGATATCAGTACAAACCAGATTCGAGCACAGGATGAATTTAAAATCGTCAGCAATACACGTTACAATCTAAGAATCTACTCATGCTATAGAATATATTTAGACAGAAATTGCGCGGATCATAAATTCTAATTAGAACCTAGATAATCGAGTACTGCGCGGTTTCAGAGACATTTCCTCTCACAATCTCTCAGGTTATAGAAAGAGATGCCTATTAAGGTTTTTCCAAGAGACTACAGCATTGGATTCTTCAAAAATGGGTAAAGAGGTTGTTTCAGCTACGTGCGCATAATAAGCCACCTGGTATTGCAGGCATTCGTAGACTACGGCAACTGCTTACCATTAGGTGGACCGTATGCTTATTTGCTATTTCAGTGATATAAAATAAAAATTCTAAAAAGATAAATAATGTTGACCCTACCATACTATTACTAACTCGACTGAACGCACTGTGTTAATAAAACAGGCTGAACTAGGATACTATGGAAGGATGATAGATAACCTTCCATATTGAGGGGAAAGGGATTATTAGCAATGGAGTTTGACAACCCCATTGCTAACAATATGCCCAATTAGGTCAACCAACGCGTGGTTACCCCTGAAAACCATCGTGAACAATTTTTGTTGAATTCGTCACGATGGGCTACCTGACCTGCTTCATCCTCACCTATCATCCATTACTGGAGCCCCGTCGGTATATACCGATACCATTCCATTATCACTCATAAAAAAAACCTTCCATATTAACCATCAATCTCCGACTGCCATTTTGTCCAAGCACCGAACGGTTTTTTTTAATGGATGATAATGGAATGGCAACCCCGACTACGCTATCTTCTAGTAATAAGAATAGTAGTCAGTCTTCGAGTGTTATCAATATAATAATTCTAATCGAGTAATCAGGCTTAAAATTGTTTGTAGTTTTTCGGTCCAATTGAAAATGTTCTGTTTTACTAGAAGAACACTGTATATGTAGGTATGTGGATACTATGCATACTTACCCATAGACTCTACTGAATTTGAGACAAAACAGTAATGATATCCAATGCCGATACCCAGTACCATCACCGATATAATTGTAAACAGTAAACAACATGTCAACATAGCGCAGACGGTGCATAATGATATTCTGGAAAATATTGAACATTTTGAATAAAAATTATATGTACCTAATTATAGATACTACAATAAGAAATTACCTTTCGAGAGCATCTAGAAGAATGGAAACGAAGGAACTCAGAGAACAACACACGCAGCCCATTTTATAATTCTAACATTTGATTGCGGCACTAAAATTTACGCGACCATTTAAAAAATTTTAGAAGTAAATAAAAGTGTTTTTCTTATTATTTTACATATCCAGTGCAATCCTATGATAAAATCATTTAAAAAACATACAAGTGTCAATTCAGTCATAGGCCTTTCTTTATCGAATTCTTAGTTCTTAGTGTAACTATATTTAATAAATAAAATGGTTTTTATAGAAAAAAAGAAATTATTTATTTAAATTATCAGATAGGTAATAATGGTTCAGCTCGACATATTTGGCATAATAATATTACGTGCTTTCCGTATTTGGAATGAAGATTAGGCTACTTTTTATCCTTATCAATGAATATTTTCCAGTTACGCTGCTGAGCTAGCTCTTCGACTAATAAAAAAAACCTAATTGGACCATTAACTTTAGACAAAAAGTTAACCAGTTTTTGAGGCTCAAGGCTCTCTCTATATAATTTAAGGTATCCACATATCTATCATAGATTATGTGGCTCAAAAGAGAACAATACTAGTATGTAATTTATGTATGATGTATTTAACGTAATTTGCATTCTTCACTGTAAGTCCACTAGTTAATATTACTAATTTTTAGAGAATTAATTTTTTTTTTTTTATTTACCTTAAATATATTCCTACATAAGTATTTTTTTAATTGTCACATAATCACACCTATCTTCTGGTTCCCAAGATACGATACTCGGTGGTATTCTATATACAGGCACAATTGCTCACAAATCCAAAAGATCCACAGCTAATTTAAAAAAAATTGTCCCGACCAAGATCAAATCCTAAACCTCATTTATGTAAAGCCCACCACAGCACCATATATATATCGTGGCACGATAATCGTGCCAAAGGTGCTAATTTCGTCATATTATTGTCATCGTGCGTGTAAAGAATGTATTTATGTACCAAAGATTTGTTCTTAGCTATGTACAAAACCAAAGATATCCTTGTTCTTAGTACAAAGCAAATTTATTCTTAATCTATGTTAGAAAACGACGTAACAAATATCAAATGTCATAAGTCATGTGTCATGTAGATATATCCTGTCAAATGAAAACAGAAAATTCAGAAAGAAAATATGGCAGAAGAAAACAATTCGCAAAAGAGAGAAGAATTTAAGAAAAAACACAAACGTATACCAAACAAAAATTATGCTGTTAAAAAGAGGCTTCCACTTCGGCCTGTTGATGGCGAAAATGTGATATTTATTACGAAGAAAACCAATTTTAAGGTATTACAGTATTGAATTATAAAGTGTGTGATCTTTAAGTTGTCGATTTAACAAAACTATTTCCTTTCAGGCTCAATTGGAGAAGTGTTGCGATCTTCTTACTAAAGGTGAAAAAGAAATAATACTACACGGCTTAGGAGCTGCTATCCAACGGTGTTGTAACTTAGCTTTACAACTGGAAATACTGTTCTCTGGTACTTGTCAATTAGAAGTTAATACAGGCACAGTAGACTTAGTTGGTAAGTATTTACTATGACTTTATTATTATTATATCCTATTTCTCGCCCACTACTGAACATAGGCCATATTTTGCCACAAGTAATAATCATCTGTTACCTGCAAATTTTTCTTAACCTTCTGCAGTATTTGTTGTCAAAATTCTATCTATAGTTACAGCTGCCCTTCATCTACTTTTATATCTATCATCTATTGCATGTATGCTGGTTCTTGTAACTTCTTCCTCAAAGCTGTACTATAAGCTAGCTAAGCTAAGCTATAAGCTATACTGTAAATACCTACTGGAAATAACATGTACACAACTTTTGTATCGTAGTAATTATCATACTAATATAAAAATTGTAACAAGGTATTTTAGGAAAGTTGTAATTAGTGGACAATAAATAATGTAATACATTGTCTACAACAAACATACAAAATTCTAAATTATTATTTCATAATAATAGTAGCCAAAACAATAATGTAAAATAAAGATGCATGCACACATACAGAAGTGTCTACTGTATAACCCTTGTTGTCCATGATTTCATTTTTATTTTACCTCAAACTGTTTTTGATCTTATATAGTGAAATATCTAATATATAATAAATAATCTTACATTCCAGTATTGGAATATATGTTTTATCAGCCTTACATTTTTTCCATAAGCCTACCCAGGTTCACCATAACTTGTAATTGTCATTGTTACACCAACATAATAATACAATACATTTATGCACTCAATATAATGAAAATAAACATTTTTACCATTTCAGATGATTTGGAGCCTCTGATTGATGATCTGGATTTTGGAACTCAAGTCAGACACACATCGTCAGTTCACATAAGAGTTTTTAGAAGTGCTATGCTTGGAGCCAACCAGTAAACTAAAATGTTTTTTACACTTAATGAAATAGTGCAGTGGATAGGACTTACGGTTTTTGAAATCTGGATAAACTTAATAACTATAACAATATTTTCAGTGCTTTTAACATTAAAAATAGATGGTATTGTGAATAGTGCATGGTGGACAATATTTGCCCCATTATTTGTTAGTGATGCAATGAATGCATACTTTTGCTGTATTGTTTGTATAAGAATGAATTTAGAGAACTCTTACAAAGCCTCACTGTATAGAGCCTCTTGGAGTGGAATATTCCTAGGTTTAACATTTGTTTTTAAATTCCTTTTATGTAGAAAGCTACAAGGGGATTCAACAATAGAATACAGTGAGGTGTTTGCACCATTGTTCATTCTGCTGCAGTTAATAGCAGTAAGGGCTTGTCAACTACATCAATAATCACTTACCTACTTTATATAATGTAACTACATATTGTAAAATAATTAAAATTATGATATGACATAAAATCTTTAATTTGAAAAGAAATTGGTGAACGAAATAGGAATTTAAAAAATTATAAATGATATGAAATCAACTTAAACATAAAAAATCACATAAGTAATAAAAACATATTAATGAAAGACAGATCTGTATGTATGTGAATACTAATGAAACATACTGAATAATCCACCCCTATTTTTCTTTTCTTCACCAAAATTAAAACTAAAATTATTATTCTGTTGATTCTGTGTGTCCGTTAAAGACTGGTTTTTTGTTTCTTTTTGTTTTTCAGAGTTTCCGAAAAACGAAAATCCTGTTTTTCTTAGTCCTGTTACAAATTAAAGAAAATTAATTAACTGACAAGTTGATTTTTTATAAAAAATTGCTTTGATATCTTGATATAAAATTATACATAAAAAAATAATGAACCTGATAAAAAATTAGGAACTTCTTGAGATAAAACTTCAGCATTCTCACTTATAGGATCATCAGCCTTAGGAGATAAAAGCAAATTGGAATCTGTAAATTGAACACATAGGTAGAGGCAATGGCAATACAATAGAACATCTATGATAAGAGATTTAATTATTTTAAAGTTCCTTTAATATCTATATTTACAAAAAAAAAAAATAGAACAATAATCTGTAAATAAGCAAAGTTATATAAATTATAGTATTATAATTATTAATAGTTACCATAAGCACACAAAATTATGTAATTATGTGTTACTAGCTTTTACATGAGTGACTAAAATAAATTAATTGATTAGAATAAGCAGCAGTGTCAATAGTTGAATAGGTAAATCGAGGATAGTCTCTCATCTGCACAGACCTTTAAAATATGAAAGGAGTGTGAAAAATGTAACAGGGGAAAGTGCACACTTACTGCTACATGAACTATGTTTATGAAAGTGAATAAATCAAAAAATAATGTAACACAGTTCCCTGCGCCTGTCCCATAAAAAACTGCCGTAAAGATAGATATTACAATTAGTATAACAAAACTATAATATTTTATATATAGAGTACCAATGCAATGTGGAAAATCTTCCCCTTCTTCAAAACCTGTTGTACTTATGGACATATCCAAAGAATCAGGACATCCCTGAGTTCCATGACTAAAAAGAAATCCAGTTACAGCCTTGTCTGTTTTCATCAATTTGCTCTGAAAAATACATTTATTTAAGTGTATACTGCCGCACTAAACAAGTGACTAATGAAACATATAAAGAACGAGACAGTAACAATTGTTGTTTCTTATGTCTGCAGTAACAAAAAGATATTTATTGATAGATTTATGCCACTTCTCTATGGGAGGATTTTAAACCTTACTAATTAAATTACAATTATATAGATATAATATTTAATTTACTTCTTGCGTCACTATCAGATTGCTTTCATTATTAATTGCGTCTGGTTTTATTACTGTATGATCTGTTTCTTTAATATTTTCACGAGTTTCTTCAACTTGCTCTGCATTTACATTCTCTGTCTCATTCTCATTTTGAACAACATCGATAACTGTGTTACTTTGTTGAAAGAATTTAGATGTAATTACATTGTCGTCGTTTCTCTGGAAAATTAAACATAATTTATCAATTACATACATTAGTGCAATAATTCCTTCTCATAAGAAAAGGTTGTAACCTATTTATATTATTATTTATTATTTCTCTTGTATTGGTATATTGTACTTTGTTCTTTAGTGACCTCTTACGGTAACAGGAGACATGAAAAGAAGTTATTTATTAATTACATTAATGAACAGTTAATTTAAACATATTTAAATATTAATAGGTACCGTTTGCAAGATAGTATTTTTCGCATAAACAAATTGTGGTGACGAATCCAAATTATGTTTCTTTAGAATCATATCTTTCAGCTTTGTGTAACTTTCAGCACTAGTGTGACTGGCGTTAAGCTCGCTGTTTATGGTTTGATCCACGGCAGTCACCTCATCATTTTCATCTTCATTTATTTGGTTGTTACTTTCTGCCGATTCCGGTAAATCAAAAGATACTTTTTTCTTACTGATACTCTCTTGAGAATTCTGAATTGGATAAAAATAAAAGGGTAATTATATTTATCTTTACGCTAAGTCCCTACACGCAGTTATAGCAGAATACCAATGGCATCTATTCTTATTTAGTATTTTAGTAATTATGAAAGTAGATTATCAACTTTTAGTTTTTTCCTCAAATTTCCGCAACCCAATTTGGTTGGTTGTTAAAACTTATAATTTTTAACCGACTTCATTTAAACTGTCCATCTATCCGTATATCATGACATCTGTTTTACTGTTTACAATATTAATTATATCTCAATACTGCCTTTAAATTATCTAGGAAGAATACAATGCTACTCACAGGGAAACTATAGTCATATTTTTTTAATTGTAAAATACAACTAAAAAATATGTAAATATATAATAAATTAGTTATTAGCAACGGAATATTTATTATTCTGTTTAATTTCACTACCACGTGTGATAATTCGTTTGCAGGATATTGATTTTCAAAGTAATAAAATTTTTATACATATTAGTATTTACTAATATGTATAAAAATTTACCTTAATTGCATAATTTGCATTATCAGGTACTGATAAATATATTACTACTTCCACTGGTTGTTGAGAAGACCCATAAAGTAGTTCCTAAAATAGAAACTAATTGGGATAATAGTAATATAAAATTGATATCTGTTTATGATTAAAATTACACTAGTTACCTGAGTTAAATCCAGGAATTCTGTAGGTGGTATTATAATACCGTCTATTGGAGTTTTAACACTAGTGTTAGTTAAATCTATCTCTTCTATTTGTTCAATTTCTTCGATAGAATCCTGTAATACGTCCCCAAAAATTATAAATCGACATTTAATTTTTTTTTTTTTTATATTATTTTATAATTTAATTTGAACATTTTCACCAACCTTTTCTTTAGAAACTTCTGTTCCGATAACGGTAACATCTTTTAATTTTTCACGTTTCACTTTGGACATTATTTTATAGGCATCATTTTTGTCTATCTTAACGTCTTCCAAAATATTTATTAATTTCTTTTTCGAAAAGTTATCAATATTACTCTCATGACTTTGATATATAAATGACATATTATCTTCAGTGGGAATGGGTTTATTAAAGTAGTAAAATAAACTGGTCTCATCGCTCTTTAATCTCTTTATTGTAGTTTCCAGTTCATTTGTTACAGAACATATTCGTTTATTAACATTAGGTTGTATTATATCAGATTTCTTTATCTAAAATTAAATAATAATTATTTTTAACAATTATAATTATTAGTATAAATTACATAAAGTAATGAAACATAATGACAATGGATAATTTATTACCTGATCTAATTTAGAGCTTAAATCATCAAAATCAGCGCTGAGAAGTTGAAGTCTCGGCAACTAGGAACAAAAAAAAGAAAAATAAACAAAGAGAAATCTAAAGTTTCAAATTAAATATTTAAAATAATATGCAAATATTACTCGTAGTGTTTCATTTGTACTGCACAAACTAGGCCAATTAGCATCAAAATCTTTAAGCTTATTGTTATCAGATTCTTCTACAGTGTGTTCTACTTCTACTGGCAGCGTATTTAATGCAACTTTATTTGCTCTACACTCCTGCTCTTTAAGCATCTTATTTATATCCTGCTCTAATTCTACTACTTCTTTAGATTTCTCTCCAATCTGTTTTTCAATTTGTTTAACTTCATAAATGAAAAACTTTGCTATTTCGATTACGCGTAATCGTTCCAATTTCAGTAAGTATTTTTTCTTTTCCACTATTTGCTTAACTAATTTTTCAATTTCATTTTCCAGAATAATTATACTTTCCTTCATTAGTTGAGCTTTATTTGTAGTTTGGATCAATTTCTGAACTCTAGGTATGCTTTCATATCTGCTTTTACATTCTAACCAAAGTTTGTCATACTTCTTTTGGCCCTCTGTTACGCGTTCATCGATTTCCTGTTTTCTTTCTTGTGCCAACAGACACTCTTTTATTAGCTCTACATTAGCAGATTTAATAGCTTCATGAGCAATTATTAAGCTATAATAAAAATAATCTATTATGAAAAAAAAAACAATATATAACAATTGCACAACTTTTTTTACAAATAATTTTAATTTGTAAAGGATATACCCATCAATTCGAAATATAGGGTATATTCTGGAAACTGAATAGCTTCTCCTAATAAATACAATAAGTGGAAATATGTTAATTTAGTTATTTAATATTTCATAGAAGTATATCGATTGTATAGCTTGTATAGTTCAAAAGGTATTTTAATACCTATTTACGACTTTGTCCAAGAGGAAAATTGCTCAGATTTATAATCAGAGTCAGAATACAAACTTCCAGAGTTCCAGATGCCTACGTACATACCTAAGAATACCTACTTATAGATCTTATTACCTATAAAAAGAGAGTCATTTTATCTTTGCCTGGGAAAGAGCGCTGTATCCACAAAGAGATTAGTATCGCCACCTTATATGCAGTATAATCTGGTAGCTAGAGAATTTTTTATTCTTCTAGACTAGCATGCTATTGCGTAAGCATGAATTTCAGAAGTAGAAAAACCAATAAAATAGACCACTTCTGAATGACGTATCAAAATAAAAATACACCAGATTTTAAGTTATGTAATCCATCGGCAATATAACTGTGAAAACCGCACCAATTTGGGGTAATAGTTATTGCGTGATGCCGAAACAAACATATAGAGAAACAGACATCTAGACATAATTTCTAAAAATTATTGTTTTGGCATTTATATATTTATTGTATTGGTTTTGTATTGATCTTATTAAGACACCTCATATAATTTTTTTTAAACATCACTTATGAAAACACATCTTCTGGTTACAATTTTATTATATAAGTACTTAATTTTATACCTAACAAACTTCACTACACAAATATCGTTACAACTTGATCCAAGAGAGAATGAGATGCTATGAACGCAACTGCAACTCCATTATAAACTTAATTACTTAGCTGATTAGCCATTAGCTAGAGTTCCATCTATAGATCTATTCTATCGTTTAAAAATGAAATTGTTTTCGTAACTAGTCATTGTTTTCATCTCACTCATCATTTGAATTATTGAACTAAGCAACGTATTACCTGTTTATCTCCTGTTCAGCTTGTTTTATTTCGGCTTCTAATTTTAAATTACTATTACTTATAATGATACAAATTTCTTTCTGTCTTTCAGATTGTCTTCTTAATTTATTAAAAAGAAATGCTTGAGCTAAAACGCATTTAGACAAATGAAAATTAGTGACCTTTTACCATTAGGATCTCTGCATATTACGGTGGAATGAAGCTGGGGCGTAAAGGTAACTAGGTAGGTATCATATTCTAAAGTATTTTCATCGCTTAACCTTTCAACTGTGTCATGCAAAATGGTGGAAAATCCACATCTGTGTCGTCCCGTGAGCGGATTTTACACAGACTAGGTATTTTTAGCGTATAGGTTCATAAAACTTGATTTTTCCGAAATCTAATTGAAATTATACAAAATTCAGATTAAATTTATATTCCAACTAGATTCCTTATGTAATTTCTTACACTACATTCGACTTGAATTGCATTGCAACTGTTCTATGAAAAAAAAAATGGGGTCACCTATAAATTACCTTTTATTTTTCAATTATTAAAAAACTAAGACCTTGCTGGATGTAAAATTATATATTTTTTGTACAATATTATATACTTGATAAAATAAAAATAAAATGGCTTATGTTCCAATACATTTTTTTATACAGCACTTGTTTATAAACATGGACCAAAAAAGTCCCTCTTCAATTGACGCTTAAGTGGGTCTCCTATTTCATTATTTTACGTACATTCTTGGCGTTAGGGACAAGAGGTGGTTTGTTTAAAATAATTTAAGCTTATCGCCAAGCTAGTTTAAACAAAACAGTATATATGACATTATTATCTATATGTCCACTAAGCGGACGGGACAAATGCAGTTGAGAGGATATGAGGATCACTTTCTTTCAAGAAATGAAAATATGCAAAACAAATCTAACACCGCTCATAGTTTTATTACTCCAACTCTTGCTTTTAGTATGTACCTAGTATGTTGTAGATATTGGTATCGAACTAAACAGTTACAATCTTAGGTTAAAACATTTTATGATTGTAATACTTACCTTTGATACACTGACTTGAAAGCGTAATTTTAATTTGAGTTTCGTCAACTTGCGTTGAAATTTTTTCCAACGCCTGCACGTCGTTATTTTCTGCCATTTTACATCAAATTATATTTACGTTATGAAATAGGTACCTATCTAATCACATTTCTTTTACCTAACCACAAAGCAAGAGATCAACCTACTTACGAAAATTGGCGGGAATCCTAATGCAGCAATGTTTTTTTTTTTTTTTTATGAACCACAGCACTTACTTACTTTTTTTTTTAATGGATGATAATGAAATGGTAACCCCACCCGTGCTATCGGTATACATCGGCAGGGCACCAGTGAAGGATGATAGGTGAGTATGAAGCAGGTCAGGCCCATCGTGACGAATTCAACAAGAATTGTTCACGATGGTTTCCAGGGGGAACCACGTGGAGGTCGACCTAATAAGGCATATTGCTAGCAATGGGGCTGTCAAACTCCATTGCTAACAATCCCTTTCCCCCAACCACAGCGTCCTTAATTGTTTTACGATAACGAGCTAAGCTATTAAAATAGGACACTTTGTGAGACCAACACCGAAAGAAATCCAATTTATTGCAAAAAAAAGGGTAAAAATAAGTAATTATAATTTATACTGAATTAGCAAAGAGACATACATTAACAAAAAAGAATAAGTAGGTAGTAAAAACATTCTTCTTTTTCATATTGGTTTTTTAAATTCAATTTATTTTTTATCTTTATTTGTAAATGAAATATTTCAGTTTATATAAATTAATGTTTTTGTTGCTATCTTTGCAAATAAATCATATTTATATTTTGTTGCAATCAAATTAATCTCAGAGAAATACGGTAGGTAGGTTTATACCTACCAGATATTTCTTTGAAAAATATGTTTTATTTCTAAAAAAATATGTGGTCTTCTTTCCCTCAATAGAAACGGATTTTTTTTTACGATTATTTTTTGCCAGCATCATGTATAAAAGGCTCGTACTGGAGATGAAAATTATATTATTTTTTTATTATTATTTAATTTTATTATTACCTTCTTTGGTTTTCATGTTATTTATCTACCTCACGGCCATTTTATTCAATGTAAAAGCGCGTCATTTTTGGGTAAAATCATTCAACTGACTATGCACTCATATTTAACCTTAGATTATAAAGTACGTTATAGTACATTATACTAAGTCTATATCTTTGACAAACTTGTGTATTTATACTTTGTGTATATTTGTAACGTTTGGTTTATCGAATAAGCATACAATTGAAATCAATTTGATTACAATTTTTATTTTATCTACCATTCTAAAGTTAGGACTACATTTGTTGCCAGATTTTGCATGAACACGGAACATAATTTCAATTTCCTTTGCCAATGGGAAATAAGTATAAGTAATCAATAAAACAAAAAGATCAATACCTAAAATTTATTAAACAAAATATGTGTCTCATAAAGTTATTTAAAATAACAGACATAAATGATAACTTGAAATACAACCTAGCATCCTAATTAAACCAGGTACTTTTCATAAATTTATCCCACTAATAAAAAAATTAAAGGACATACAATGATGAATGCAGCACGAAGGAATTTTAGCTAACACTGGTGGCCAATCACATCCACTGAATCGTGTGCATAATATTACGTTTGCACTGACTTAGTCTGTGAATATTGTATTACTATGTCAGCCTTTAAATGTCTACTGCTGACATAGCCATCTCCCACAGCATACGCCACATCAAGGAAGGGTTCTAAGCTGCCTCTATATAATTACGAATATTTACTTGCTAATTATGTTTCAATCACAAAATAAACCAGTACAAACTTTTACAACTGACACCTTTATACAAATATTTCACAGTACTCTTCAAAACAGAGTGACACTCAACATCCTCACATACATTCATAATACTGTTAGCAAAATTATAATTAACTTTTTGTCAAACAAGTGTCTAATTATATGAATACTCATCAAAACACTTGTTATACAAAATGTAGCAAGGCTCGATCTGAAAACGTTAACTTACATATATTACATTTGTTCACAAACATCTGTTTGGATGTCATTAATTCTATTTTCATATGCTCTAGTACAAATGTTTCATATCTAATTTTCGTGTTACTATTGAATGAGATATTGTTACCTGTTATAATCTAATATTACTTTGGCTTCATTTTTCTGGGATCAATTAGTACCTGTATGATTTGAAACACAATAAATATGGCGGTGTGGAGTGCGATAAGTACACACACAGTGGTAGCACTATAAATTAATACATGTGGGAACTAAATGCAAACAAAAGAAAGGAACAACCGGGTGGCAATACTATGTGGGCATTACATAATTAAAAATAATTTATGGCGTTAAACAAAAACTCAAATTATACTAGCAATGACAGGGAATGTCAACTTGATAATTATCACGATACAAAAGCGAACCACCATACTAAAGTCGAAACTTAGAAGTCAAAAAGCGAGGATCAAATCAAAAGCATGTCTCCATATGGAACAACTTAATAGTAATACTTAAAAATACAAGTTTAAAAATACCTACTGGGTCCCACTTGAAAATTATATAAATTTAATATTAAATTAACGTAGTTTGTACCGCCAACATTCACTAAGTGCAATAATTACCATGCAATTACATAAAAAGAAAGGAAGCCTTTAATATACTAGAGCGCGAGGTGGGCACGGACCGTACAAAATAAAAATACCCTGTGTCATTTTTATGTAAATACATAGTAATCAGTTATTTTCCTACTTTTAACAGATACATCAGTCGAATATTTTAAAATTTTTGATGAAAATAGTATCAATCGAATTACTTCAACAACATCGAAACACCGTCGGCGAGCTACAAACGTACTTTCGCGAACTCCACAAGCGACCTGGTCGACCTCGTCGACGTCGTCGGCCTCGCCGGCACGGCTAGGACGCGGTGGCGGCTCCCCGCCTTTTGTCCAGGAAGTTGCCAAAATTTTGATATTTTTTTCTACAAGTCGTCCGCTCGGACGCGGCTCTTGAGCGCGACGGCTCATTAACTGTAAGGCTGCGGGGGCAGGATCTCGGTGAGTAGCCGCTTGAGGCTATCGATACCGGTAAGGAAGCCGCAGTCGGGACCGTGGTGTGGCGTCGCGGTGGCGAGCGGCGACTCGGCCGCGGCGCCCGCATATGCCGTGTGCGCGAAGTCTATCATACGGATATCGACTCGTTCAGCGGGCAGAGGCGGCTGCGGTCGCGGTCGTGGTGTATTCCAGGCGGGTGCCGCTGCTGCTTGTGGCCTGGTCCGCGGCCGCTTGCCGCTCGCTTCCGCCTCCGCGTCCGTTTCTGCCTCTCCGCGCCACGACTCGCTACTCGTGGACGAGTACGCCATCCAGCTATCGGTGGAGTCCGGGCTGGGCGGCTGGCGTCGCGGCGAGTGCGATGCGACCTCGCCCTCCTCGTATCCGCCCATAGTCTCCTCCGAGTGCGGCTGGAACGGCTCCCGCGCCTCGTGCAAGTCCGATGAGATCTCGTCGTGCAGCGTGGACATGTCGAAGTGTCCCGGTGAGGGCGCCAGGTCTGTTGAGCTGCTCGACGCGTCCCCATCGTACTCGCTCGCCGTCGTCTCGTCCACCGCTGGCTCGCTCTGTACGTCGCCCTCATAGACTATTAACAATGAGCTGTAATAGAAAACACGCAATTAGAAGAAGAGGTCGATTCCGATAATGACATGCATTTTAGAAACAGTTAAACAACAAATTTATTTTCCAAACTGTTTTTTTTATACAACTTAGTATTCTAAGTTTTTGCCATTGCAAACAAGCTGACGGCCCACCTGATGGAAAGTGGTAACCGACGCCTATATACATGGGCAGAACCATGGTCATAACAGAGTACACTGTTTCGCCCATGATACCTATATATATACATGATGTTATTCCTCTGTACCCTGTAAATTCACTGCCATAATCCCACCCTTCAAACCGGAACACAGCCGTGCAAACACAACTGCTTCACGGTAGAAACACGAATGGGACAGAGATGCCCAAGCGGCGACTTTTGTACAAAGTCTTCCTTTCAACTGAGTTTTCATTTGGACCAATTGAAACATCTGGATAATCTATTTTAATGTATCAGTAAATGAATTTTATTATTATTATATAGAAAACGCTATGTTCTCGAAATTAGAATAGAATACGAGTATCCAAGTGCGGGGTGGTATGTGGCATGTGGCGTGTGGCGTGTGGCGTGTGGCGTGTGGCGTGTGGCGTGTGGCGTGTGGCGTGTGGCGTGTGGCGTGTGGCGTGTGGCGTGTGGCGTGTGGCGTGTGGCGTGTGGCGTGTGGCGTGTGGCGTGTGGCGTGTGGCGTGTGGCGTGTGGCGTGTGGCGTATGGCGTGTGGTGTGTGGCGTGTTGGTTTGTGGGTGGCGGACGCACCAGGAGTAGAAGCGGTAGCTGGTCTGCTTGGCGATGGCGCGACGCAGCGCGTCCAGGTCGCGCAGTACGCGGCGCACGACGCGGCCGCGCGCGCCGAAGAAGTCTCGCAGCGCGTCGCGCAGCCCCGCTTCGCTGAGCGCGCGCCCCCAGTACTTGTCGCGCCGCACGCACGCGCCCGTCTCCGGCACGTACACCTGCACCGCGACACACACGCACACACATCGCCATTTAGTGACATTTCAATCATAATACTAATTGGTCACATAACTTGAAGAACCGACAACCGATGGGGGAAGAAAAATTCTTGAGTGGCGACCACGTATGGGTAAACACAGTGTAAGACGCCCCCCCCCCCTTCACTAGATGAAGCGACAACCTCAAATGTTTTGCAGGGAGTCAGTAGATGCGGTGGCTCAGGACTGTTCCTTATGGCAGTCTATAGGGGAGGACTATGTTCAATAGTGGACAGGTAATGACTGAAATGATGATGATAGTGGCCAAAGACCCTCTAGGTTACAACCTACTACTAAGATATCCCGGGATGAATCCCGAAATTGTCTAGTCCCCTCACCCCTACAGGACCCAAGTGAAATTTACAGCTATGCTAAAAAACATGTATATGCGGCGTTTAAAAAACCACACAACCCCTATAATAATATTAACGACGCCAATGTTTATAGTTTGGCACGATTTTATAGCAAACCAAAACGTATGCAACAGTAATAATATGAAGATGCTTTTATTTCGTTTTCCGTTATCGATAACATCATATCGTGCGCGTCCGTATTATCGGAAAACCACTTAACACAAATACTAAATATTTATAATATGTAAACGATTTTAGACATAACAATTAACCTGACTGAAATCACTTTACGTGACCTGAATTCATATGTACCATAAACACTGCATGTTTAGTAAAACTATGTTAATATAATAATGTTAATCAATTTCATTGATGTCTGTCATATCCACAGAGAGATATGGATATATTATGAGCGAAAATGATATAGCAACCTCGGCTGCGCAAACAATATACGCAGACAGGGCTCCAGTGAGAGATGATAGGTGAAGGAGAAAACAGGTCAGTTGGCCCATCATGAATAATTCATCAATAAATTAATCAAAATGGTATCAAGGGGGAAAACTACAGATATATTGGACACCTGATACCAATAATGACATTTTAGAATCACTCATTGCAATATTGCAAGACGGCCTAGAAATTTTTAACATGAGGGCAATACACGTTCCTTACACAAATAGGCATCAATAGTAGACATAGTTTTGACATATAACAAACTGATTGAGTGACATATTTTCAGCAAAAACAAAAGACAGTTCATAAATATACACTGTCATGTGTAGCCAGTGTGATCCTGTTGTGCTACTTTCATTTCGTTTCACTTGAGAGCACAATTGAGGACAACCGTGCTTACGGTTTTTTCCAAACATGCCTACAATAAATGAAAGAGAGAGTTTTGCCAAAAGTTACGAAGTAAACAACTAACAAAAAATAATTAGAACAATTAGAATTGACAAAGTTATAAAAATCTGACTGTAAAATATGTTTTTTGCAGTTTATATTATAAAAATATAGCGTTATAATGGCACAATGTAGCCTAATGTACTACCATAATTAAGACTAATATAACACTAAAATCTTTGTGTGAATGTCAATTTCCAACTGAATCTCTAGATACAAAAAACTATTAAAAAATGAAGTTACCCAGAAACGACGGTATGCTCGCGGAAATAATAGACAAATGTCTATGATTATTTAATTTTTTCAAAGCTTTCGGCCAGTTTGTTAATACAAAATATTTCGAAGAGTACAATACAAATAAATACAAAAATGTGAAAAATTGACTTGTGTACAGCCACAAAACCAACGGTATCAAAGGTATATCGCCGACCATGAATCACTTCCCGTAATGAGATTGACCTTTCCTCGAAAACAAATATGACCAGTACTATTTAGATGTCTAAAATATGTGACGGATATCATTATTATTATATTCTAATATTATAGGAAGGAGAGTTCGCAAATAAACGATGACATTTTCATGGCCGTCTCTTACCAAAATTGATTCTGAGCTATTTCAAATCAACGAAGCTCGAATTTTACTATACAAAACTAAAGATGTGTCGACAATAAATAATTAAAAATTTGTTTTATAATATTTTTGCAAAGTAATTCAATTGTATATAATAAAATTAAAAACGAATAAATGTATTTAACATTATTTTACACACCAAATGTCAATTCCCACTTTTCATACAGTACTGTGATCAGGAAGTGCGCCCTTCACAGGCGATGACAGAAGTCGCTTGTTACGTGATTTTAGTACTAACATATTATATTTAAATAGACCGACTTATTTTCATCATGAGTTTGTATACAAAGAACTGGTGTAATGATATTTTTTTAATATAGTCTGTTTCAATAAAACTTGATAAAAATATGGCATACTGGAAAGATCTCGTCTTTCAATAAAAATAATAAATATATATATACACAAATAAAAAATCCATAAATTGATTGTTGAATATCAATAAAATTTGGTCACCTTTTCATTAAGTTCTACTGAAACAGACTACAGATTGGACTCCGTGGAGTGTACAGTACCTGCATGCCACATAACCGCACTCCGAGTGTCGCTGAAGTGGAGGCAGCACACTTGGCAATCTGTTTGCTCCGTTTCTCTGCTGTGGCATCGTCACCGTGTTGTCGCGTGCCCATCTTCAGATCTAGAACGCACGGCCGCCGGTATGATGACGTGATGTTCTCCATCATTAGGAAATCTGAGACAAGAGATAAAAATGTATCATTAGCTATACTTTCATACATTAATACATAATAATACACTAAACTTAATTTCAATGTACCATCTAAATTGACTAGATTTACCCTTCCATTTTCTATTTCTGTCATTTCACCAAACTACAGACAAATTTATATGTGGCGTGCAATGAACAACTTTAATAAATTAAGCAGACAATGAGATATTGATATATTTCATAACAAAATATCCACAGCGAAGAATATACTGAGTATGGGACACTTTTTATATATGTTATTTATGTTTGATATTGTAATTGTATGGCAATAAATGTTTCTATTCTATTCTATTTTACTGAGTAGGAATTATCTGTTTTATATTGAGCACATTTGTTTTATATTATATTGTTCACTATCCAAAATATCTTTATTCATGTAGGTCTATTCCAGACTCTTGTGATGCGTATTATATTATATATAATACGCATGGTTGCCTCACGTGTGTGAATGCCTGAGATAAATAATCCTATACTTTTTGGATTATTTATTTAATGCAAGCACTGTCAAATTTTGTATATTGTGTCTATTGGTACCTATTGTTGTTAACTTGTAGTTTTTTTTTTATGTAAATAAGTCTGGTTTTCCTCTTACAAATACATAAATAAATATAATTAAATACGACTAGTCCTCTAGACAAATTACAAATAAAACTATTATTAAAATACGTCATCATTACCGAGTTCATGAGATAGCAACATCCGGTGGTTTATTCTTTATTTCTTTGTTATACTACAAAGTTGTCAAACACAGGTATAGCCTTTCTGACGGTAAACGAATTCTTTAAGCTATGCAAGACTAGGGATGTCCCATTGCATTGCCGACTTTAAAGAAACCTTAATATCTTTCCATATAAGCTCTAACTGAAACGTATCTAATAGGAGCAAAAGATTATTTGACATTTATATAGGTGGATAAGACTGCAAAAAAGACTCCATTGTCTATTAAAATCTTTAACAGTTATTCCAGAGCGTCGAAGACAAAATACAATTGAATATGAACTTCGTTCGCTGACCATTACTTCATCAGCTCACCTACTCGTTATCTACTGATGCCTTCTTCAAACATTGACAACCCACACAGATTTAAAATATTATTTAAACTTTGTAGTACTTTGTATGACATTTGGCGTAGTTTTACGAACGCTGCCCAACTGATTTGGATTTGTTGACAGACCTCTAGGTCGAAGTTAAATTTACCCAGTCTGACAAAATGCCCAGATATATAACGTATACAATCAGATATACATATACATTTATCGACAGCTTCGAGTATAGTGTTCCCAAATATATCGGTATGCGTAACATGAACTCTAGACAATTTTAGTATTGTCTTTGTTCATCTTAAGACATACCTGTTAAGAAACACTACTAAAGTCATTAAGCTTAGCGTTTACGTCCTCATGAGATTCTGCTGTGATTTAATACTCATCAGCAAATCGTAGATGAGTGATGTATTCGCTATTGATATTTATACCATATCCTTTCCAGTCCAGGAGCTTGAAAACAGCTTCCAATGCATCAGTGAAGAGTTACGGGGATATGACGTCACCCTGTCTTACACCTTTCTGCACTTGGAGTGGTTTCACACTCTGGTTCTGTACTCGGCGATAGAAAATGCAAAATGATAAATAAAATTAACTAGAAAAATGACAACAATCATCCAAGTGATTTTAACAAGTTGGACTTATTGAAAATTCTTTAGTTTGTATTCAAGAAAATAGATGTTTGTACAGAAATATAAAACTAAAAACTGAAGGGATTATTAGTAATGGAGGTCTTAAAGCCCCATCCGTAGCAATATAACTTATGAGGTCGACATCCACATCGAACATCTCCCTTGAAACCATCATGGTTAATTGTTATTAAATTCTCCACGATAGACCAAGTGGCCTGCTTCCATCCTCACCTATCATCATTCACTAGTGCCTCTCCAACGTATAGCAATACCGCAGACGGGGATAGAATTCCATTTTCACCCTTAAAAAAAACTAAATACTTAGTTTTAACAATATGCTCTGTATGTAAGTACATTCAAAATATTCGAATGGATTATACCTAGTCAGTTTGTCATGTTCATTAACATAAATTGCGTTTTCATGGAGTTAACGACGCAATTTTAAACATGAGTACATTTAAATGGCACTAAACACCTGTTTTGTTTTGGTCGAATTATAATTAGTAGAATTACGTTCTAATTATTACTTAAAGAGAACCGCTTCATGTGTTTGTATCAATAATAAGTGTAAAAACTACTTCTATTGACCAATTTCAAAGTTAAAATTGTGAAATAATCTACACTTACATTACGTTAAACTGATAAAATTTGTGTCACAATTGTAACACTAAATGCTCTATCACGTTTCTATAGAACTAGATTAATGTTAATTGTAAATGATTAACTAAAAGTAAAACTTACATTGCTTATTCGAGTTGTCCATGTGTGCAATGCTCTTGAGCACTTCGCCCGCATTGCCATTTCGGTGTACTTTAAATCTGCAATAGGAAAAATATACACTATAGTAATGTGAATAGGGTCTATGTTCGGCTAATATGAAAACCATGAAGATATTAGGAGCTAATTGAAACACAGAGTTGATGTTATCTGTTATATTGTTACATTTCAATCAAATAGTATTATTACCACGTCTCCAGGACGCAAGTCATCGGAGGCTCGCAGAGTGTGAATGGGTCGTGCATCACTCACGCGTTAGTGGTATAGTCATGTAAGTATTGCGAAGTATGAATTAATGGCGACGTCGGGCGTCGGCCGGCCGTACGTCATAGCTTCTGAAATATGATAAAGGACACATGACAAGTGTCGAGGAGTGTTAACCGCGAATGTGGCGGTGGTGTGGCGCGGATACGCACTTGAACACGTCGTCGCGCTTGCGTTTGCCGCCCAGCGACTGCTTGCGCCCGTTCTCGTCGCGGAAACATGGCGAGTACCGCTTGTCCAATTTGTTGCCACCCGTATTAGATGCCTGCATCACGCCTGCAACAAACAGCTTCATCATCAGCAACGACACTCTCACGGGCACAGTACGCGATGCAACATCATTTATTTATTGTTATATCACTTTCATTATTAAATCAATAACAAGTTAAAAATTAACAAACACTTCAAACAAATTGTTAAACTGATTTAAAATTCAATTTTAATATATTTACTTCCAATGCAGTACAAACGTGAAGAGAGTGATAGAAGACAAAACTCTACAAGTCGTCAGCCGGGACACGAACCCGGATCTCTGGCCACGCCAGCGTGTTACTTACACCACTGAGACATTCGAGTTCATTTATCTACCATCTACATTGTAATATCGATATAAACTTACTATAGTGCAAATTGGCAGCGTTAATTTTGATGAAGTGAAAAATATAAGTTACGTAATTTTAAAAAGGGTTTGTATATCTTTTGTACTATGTCTGCTTTATGTATGTATATGTAATCGTTTAGTGATATTGCAAATAAGTGTGTATGTGAAACTGTATGTGTGTGATAACTTGCGATAGTGTGAGGTGTGTTCTCATGGGTGTGGTGGATGGATGTGTAATATGAATGTAGTTTTAAGTAAAGGTTTACAAACCCATAATGTAAAATTACCGCTAGGGCGCAATTAGGGGCGGTTGTGTGTGGCGCCGCCGGAGTCGCTCCGCCCGCCGCCGCGCCGCAGCCCTTGCGACAACAAGGAAACTAATATTGTGGTCCTGACCCCTGGCCCGCTACCACTACCGCGCCACCCTTACGCTCACATCAAACCCGCCCTCCGCCCGTTACATACACTACAACCTAATCACATACGCACACCGCCCTACAAATACGCGCGTATTATTCTGATGAACTTTTACAATCATCTAATATCATCAATATATATATAAATATATATATATATATATATATATATATATATATATTGAATGTAAGTAATACAAATACAATAATTCCTATCCCTAATTTATAAATTGGAAATTCGAAAGTGAGTTTGTCTATATGTCTGTTTGTTCTCATTCATTTGAATAAAAATTTAAATACTGTACGAAATTCCACGAAATAGAGTCACAAAAACGTAGAAGCAATGAGAATAATCCTCTCTCCTACTTGCTGTGCACAACAGGGTCCATAATTAAAACTGAAATGTTATCTACTAATCACATTATGAAATTCATTAAGAAATAAATATAAAATCATCTATACATACTTTTCATAATAACTTAGATAAAATTGTTACTAATATAAACAAACTTCAATATAATCGTTGATGTTTAAACATGATAAAGTATTTAATGTATTAGGTATCATGTAATTTATATAGGTACATATATGGGATTACCCCATACATATTACTGTTCTATATGCCTACCTACATATATTCACGCTACGTCAAAATTTCAGAAGAAACATTCCACCCTAACATATAATAAAATCATATACTGTTTACAATCTATAAGTGGATGGATAATTCTAGAAAGGCACCACGCAATACACTTTATCCTTGTAAAAGTTCATACTACATATTAATAAACGCACAATATCTCCTATTCTCGGTAACGGCCTCATAATACAGAATTTCATATGAGAAAAACACCAGATTCACCGTAGAGCACTTTGCACATTGTTTTGTAACAAACCACGCAAACAATCTTTGGAAACTAGTTCAAAACACGTGTGAGAGTATTTGTAACCTTATAGATATGAAATTCTGAAAGTAGGCCACCGTGTTATATTGGAGCTCACTCTGAAATTTCATTCTCTAGAACAATCTGTAAACTTTACTAGACAAAATCGTTAAAAACAATGACTTTCTAAAATTATCTACTAGAGAAAAACTTTTAAAGAATGACATTTTAGAATCAATTTCACTCAGAGTAAATGTCATTTTCTAAATCTAGGGCCGCTTCTTAATAGACATTCTAGAAAATTATTTCTTTAGTAAATTTAATATATATATTAGAGAATGACATTTTAGACTCAACAGGATGACTTTGGACACAATCTGAGGTCAAATCCAACTCACATCGAATGACCTTAGGTACCTTACCTATTACCTGAGGTCTTTTCGATATGATTTCCATTTGACCCAATTTGATTAGGTCAAAACTCATCCTTCTGGTCTTCTATCTCCAAATTTAGGGTATTATTGTGGTATGACACTTAAAATCCCCCACTGTCGCACTATTAGAATTGACCACTTTGTATGTATATACCTTTATATTATCAACCTAATAATTGATATTCTAAATACAAAGGTCACTGAGACAGGTTCGTTTACAATACGGCGTCCACTTCATTATGACGTATAAACAAGTACAACTAGAAAAATTATTATACTGTGCTTGTACAGATACTTCTAGAAGATTTTAATATTGTGCGTTCATCGTCATTTACGCTATAAACCACAAATACACCAAAACACAAAAATATCTCGGAGGTAAAAATTACTTTAAATATATGTGATTTGATATAACAATAGTTTGCAGGGTATATAGCGTAAAATTCTTAATAAGGCGCGTATTTACAACTGCGATCCAACGATTGATTCTAATAAAAAAAAAAAATCCAAATTTTAAATAACCCAATGTACAAATATATTTTATTTTACCTTTAAGTACTTACAAATATATTTAAAGTACCTAATTAACTCTACATTCGACACTTGATGAAGAAAATTAACAATAGATATTTTTATTTTATGATTCCTTACGAATAACCAGTATCAATCATTCGCCAGATCGATTGCTCCAAAGCATAATATTCATTCGTAATGTAATTCATTTATAGTCAATTAAAAATACGGAGCATACTATTATCAATAATTAAACCCGACTACCTAATTAAACAATACCATAATAACTCACAAGAAATTTAATTAGAAATAATTAAGGAAAACATATGTATTATAACGTGTGTCAATTGAAACAACAACATACTAATCTCTATAGTTTACATTCGAGTTAATTCTTCCCTAAATCCGTTTACATCCGTGTTTGCGGTTGGCGGGTTTGTAAAAACTGCATGCATACATTCTCTGTCATACACATTACTCAATATGTATTGATGAACACCATTATGAGCAATAAGGAAAGCCATTTCATATAGATTTATTTATGGCATTGTTATAAATAATCCCGCAATCTATGACCGGAACACAATAGTAATATGATTACGCGTTATCTCGATAATTTCCATAGATTAGAGCAGTGACGCAAATGATAAAAAAAAGAAATCATTCATCGATCGATTAAAAAATTAAAAACAAAACGTGTAGACATCTCTTGCAGTGTTACAATAAGTCGATAAAATTAACTGTCAATGGTAATCGCCGATTTTGAAACGAACTCAATTAGTAACAGTCCTTAGTGCTCCAAAATGCAAACATTGAACAACAAAAAAAATTGATATCTAATTAAAACAAGACAATTATTATAAAAGAAAAATAATGTAGATGCAATGAATGATTACGATGCATTGAGCGATTCAGATAAGCATATCGGGCATAATCGATTTCAATTTCACTAATAAGTGATGTGCAATTCTCACCTTTGTATCTAGGTACGAAGTTCTGGATATCTTCAGGAATGTTCTGGTAGAAATGCAGCTCTCGAATATTCAGCGGCTTGATTACAGTACTGTCATTTAGTACTAATAGTCTAGTGTGGCCGCCCACCTACAGATAAAAATAAAACATCAGCTGACAGTCTTATGATTGTTGACCAAACAAGTTGTTTAACCTTTTACATAGGAAAACAGTGATAACGAGTTCGGGCTCGTACTACACTGTCAATAAATAACCTTTATCGTAACTTTGGCTTGTAAATACAATTTACGTAACAAAGCCGCGGGATGAAACTAATTTTAATATAATACGAGTAGTTTGATCAAAGTTCGTTCAGATCGGAATTCATTTACGGGTCAAAAACAAAAATATGTCTTTGAAATTCAAATATAGGTTCTTCACATATTACCGTTGCATTCAAAACATATGCTTAGCAATTTATAAGGCAGAACATTGGAAAAGAATCTTATGCAGAGGCCAATATAAAAAAAAAGTAAACTAAAGTTCAATATACCTACTAGTAACAGTCGACAAAATATCGGGCTGATAGTTTTATGACATTTGAGTCGTAAATCAATTTATTTTATTACATTTTTATCCACAATGACGATCATCTCACAAAGACCACAACCGTTTAACAGTCATCGTACAATTATCTCAGTCCTTTGTTGCATGGAATTTATTTTTATTAATGGAGAACCTTATAGACGTCAATAAACCTAAGTAATGCTTTGTTATTGACAGATAGGTACGATATCTGTGTCGTCATCCAGCCACAATCGACCTTGTTATTATTGTTTAACAATTTGATTTGTTAATTACGTAAGTATCTTTGGTACACCGTGTTGTTATCAATCGATTTATTGAAATAAACACCGATATTATTTGGCAATACTTTTAAACAATACCTACCTACAAAACGAAGCCCGCGCCGCGTCTATCCGTTTGTTCGCTTAATTTTTTTTTAATCACATAACGGATTTGAGTGAAGGTTTTTTGTCGTTTGGATATTTTTTTTTCAAATCAAATTAAATCATTTACTTTGCAAGAACATAGGTAGACGTATTACATAGGTGTTATTTCTATAGATATAAATACAATTATGTTTTGCCTCTCATGGTATCCAAAATTTTTTAATGTTATTATTATATACGTATTAAAAAAATTAATACTAACATACATTACTTTTAGATATCAATGATTTGCTTTATTTCATGTAAATTTCTTACTATTACTTATATGTAATAAGTTTTACCCACAGTTTATATACGCTGGCTAAACCTTAAATGATAGAACATGAAAACGATGTTCCAAACGAAGGCAAGACAGGTTGTTAGTATTTTGTAAGGATTCATTCGACGGATCGTGAATTCAAGTACTATTCGTAATTGCCTTCAATTTGCAATGACCCACAAACTACCATTATCGTATTAATTCTCACGAAACTTGAAGATATACGAATCCCTTAGACTCAGGATGAATCGTCATAACTTGAGTATTTGATTTATAAATATAAAGGTCAATTAATCATCAATTGTCATTGAGAGTAAATCGTCAAGGACCAATTTATTCGTAAATCAAAACAAATTGTACTAAATCACGATTAATATCAATGTGTATCTAATTGTCGTCGTCGTCGTAAAACATTGTACCTACCCGTTTAGGTGCGTATTGCCAAATATTGCTAGGCAACATTATTATAAACATTTCCGCATCAAGTATTTAAAAAAAAAATATATATTAGTCACACTCGTCTCATCATTATTCAAAAATTTGCCGCATGAAAAAATATGGTTTAACAACTTTACACTTGGAAATTATACGAGTATATAGCATAGTGATGTGACAAGTTACCAAATGTAGAGTGTGTACAAAACAATGTAGGTATCTGTTTATTTAATATATCTTTGAGTAACATATATGTACTAAGACAGATAAGATAAACGGTTATAAACATAGTAGAATCACATCATACAGTGAACCATAAAAATTTACTACATTAAGCATAAACCAGTTTCAAAATCTGCATTATTAAAAAAATAATTACAAGACTTTAAAATCTCTCGTAAAATTATTCAAAATAAACCAAGAAGACATTGCTCCCATATGTATAAGAAAAACAAATAAAACCAGCCAGTCGGTCATTTTTCTCGCTCACTACCTTTGTTAATTTCGTTGCCGTTCGTAGAATAAAAAAAAAATGAATAAAGCGTACATTATGCATTTTGTGTTCGTGATGTGGCCGTTCGGCTTACTCACACACACGTAAAATACGCTGCAGTCTGTAGTGCACGCTGCTAGCTATGAAATTATACACAACAGCGAGTAAACGACCGAAGAAGCAAAAAAAAAAACTAAAGCCGTTGACCTGGCATCGAACGGGTACACCTGAACGAGGCGAGACGCGACAACCCTGCCACAGATACGAAAGGTCATACGAATGTAAGTAGGTATCTAAAGCAAATTCTAATACATTGGAATCCCAGTAGTTTATGCTGAGGTTTAATAAATCAGTTATAAAATTCAAACGTCCAAACTTATTTCCTATACTAACGCATGATATAAGTAAATCTCAAGAGGCAGCTTGTAATTTTGTAACATTTTCATATAATAATGCAAATTGTGTTCCACAAAACACCGACTTCAAATTAGACAAAACCAGTTTTGAATTCAAAACTAAACTGCTTAACCGATTTTGATAAAATTACTATGGGATCAATCTATACGTATATCCTTTCAGATAAAAATGAATATTCCAAATCAGTTTACAACTGACGAAGTTACGAAGTACAAACAAAAGAAATTACAACCGAATTGAGAAACTCGTTCTTTTTGAAGTCGATCTACATCAACTATCTTTGTAATATAGTATGTGTGTATTATTGGAGCTTACAAATAAACTAATATTATTATTATTACTATAAAATAGAAAATATAAGACGTCGCGAAAATCAAACCCGTGACGCAAAATTACTTTCTAATCATACTACAACTAAGGTAGATTAACTACATTTTATATGATTTAATAAATAAAATATAAAATGCATATATCTGAACGGATTATAAAATAAAAATCACATAGACCGTGTTCTGAATTGTCATATAAAACACTTGAAACCTGACCATGCTATTGCACTCAATTTACAGTCACAACAAAATCAGATACAAAATCACGGACTAAAGCTAGCGATATTTTTACTATAAGATTCCATTGTATACACTCATGGCATGCTAATAAATCAATAGATACATTAAATATGGCAGTAGGTAGTTGTCTGGTTGCAACAGTTGCGTGTGATATCAAACGCACCTGCTGTGCAGATTCCGTTCCGGCACGCTCTGGTAAACATCATGCATTTCGTGATTATTATGAGTAATCATAGATACTGTTACAATACTAGACGCAGTGTAATCTTGGCATTTATTGAGTATTAGCAATGGCAAATTGTGCAGCAGATAAAATAACCATAGATAATAACGCTTGCGCAGTAGACACTTGTGCACTTGTTACTACTCATGTCACGTAGTATTAATATATTGCTCAATGGTATTTGTCTGATAACAATAAGTCTGTCAGCCGCGTTGATTAAGAATAAAGGTTCTGGTTGGAACATAAATAAAAGATTAATACTTGGGTTGTACGTTACCACCAATATGACATGAACTGACATTAAAATCTTAATTTGATCCGCCCACCTAGCAGTTGCCCATGTCAAACCTTTATCCAATTTTCTAGAAACTTAATGAGAGCTGTCAGTTATACATAAATAACTAATATAACAGTAAAAATATGAACGTACTTATTTAAAAAAAAGAATATGACTTCGTATAATCTTATAGATTTATATACAACAAATAAAATGTAGCCATTTTAGGAATAATCCTTTTTTATTCTATGTATTTGTAAGCCACTTTTGTGGTACAAAAATTATGTCGACTATATTTAAGGAAAAACGTTTATCATAGCTAATAAACAATTAATTCATCAAGGGTTTCACCTTCAATAGTAGTAGAATTTGAATATGCTATGCTGTAGTCTCCACAAAATTCTCTGACTGAAAGCCATATAAGATGCTCTTTTAATTCGACTCTTCGCACGACTACGACGATATGTAGTATCCAGTTGAGCTTCCTAGCATTGCAAACAATGCTATGACAGAAAGTGAACATGTATGGGCATCAAATAAAATAAAAATTTTCTTAGAACATATTCCGTGTATTCTATGTTTGAATTTGCAGTTGAAGCATTCCTGAATCGAGTCCATAGTATTACGGTAGTACCAAAAGGGCTCTCGCCTGTACCCGTTTACATTACTGTACCTTATCCTGTAGACCAAACACAATTTATTGGAGCTCAATTTATACCTCTCCAATGTATTAATTTTTAAATTTTTTCACTAAAGAGATCTAGAAAATAAGTCGATTATTTCGGTATTTGAAACAATTACATGCTTCTGGTCTAAAAAAAATGCCAGAATATTTATAAATCTACCTCAACTCAATGCAAAAGTGCGATCATTGATTGCAGTTGAAATTGTCCCGATAGGTCGTTCAATGTAACGAAGGCAACTGACCTGATTGTGCAGCGGTAATACGTCCACCTCGTGGCCGTCGTCTGGCGAGAGGGTGGAGTGCGCAGTCGCGGGCGGCTGGGCGCGCTTGCGATCCGCGCCACGCCGCTCCGGCTCGCCCATGCCCCAGCCAAGAGAGTACACCATTACTTCGGCCGAGCCACCGCCGCCACTGTCCACCTGTCAGCACAAATTTAAATTTACTTATAAATAATTTCTTTATAATTTGAATAAATACCACTCTGGACATGTCATAGCTTGTACTATATATACTACATGAAAGCTAGCAATGAACAGCCATATTGCTAGCCTTATACCCTATACTCCACGATTGTCCAAGTAACCTGACTTCATCCTCACCTACCATATTTCACTGGTGCCCCACCAGCATACACCAGAACACAGATAGGATACCATTCTATTATCATCTATAAAGAAAAAAGTTGATAAATATACTTAACTACTTTTTTGTAAATACATACATATTATACATAAAAAAAACACCCAGACCAATATAAACAGTCATTACGAGTACATACAAGTAGCATGAATACAAATGTTTGTATTATACGGATATCGAATCAGCACCGTTGGTAAATGAGGTGACATGTTAAATCGCTACACCACTAAAGTAAATTTTTTTATCCAACTAGAAAGAAATTATATTTCTTAGGAAAAACAATCTCCGTTTTTGACCAAAATACATAACAGACAAAAAATACAAAATCCAGCTTAAAAAGATAAACTTAATATTTCTCTCTAAAGAAAGATGTGATAATTAGCTTGAAATATAATTCAGATTATAACCTATGATCACAGATTTACATAATTACTACGTAACTTTATTTTCGTGAAATTCCAAATTTGCTCAGTAGTAACCTTGAAAATGTAAAAGCCTGAAAGAGGAATACTTCAGATGCGCCATGAATATTACGGCAAATATTTTTTACATTTATGGTAATCAAAGAATAATGTCACATGTTTATCAGAGTGACGTCATTTTATTTACCAATGTACTGAACGTTATAATTAGTAATCGTTCACTATAAATATTAACTCTAGTAAAATTAATGACAGAGTTGTGCAATGACAGAGGTAGGCATACTGTGTATTAGATAATAGTAGTAGGTATGTCGTATGTTTACAAGATGAATATAAATATAATGATATTATAACAAAACAAAACTAAACATTATTTGTTTGAAGTGAATGTCGTGAAAATGGTGAAATAATAAAAAAATATTCAATGTTTAATTTTTTAAAGAAACACAGGTTACCCTAGCTTCTATAGAAATAAGACACTAATAAGTTTTTAATCTTGCTGTTGTTATTAATGTCATTTATTTTCTAGCAGAAATATACATTAAATTCCTTAGCTACCTGTTTGTTGGAGTACAGAATACTGCTATCGATGTTTTTATATTTATTTATATATACTAGCTGTTACCCGCGACTTCGTCAACATGATAAAAAAAGCACAAGGATATTCTACTTTTGAAATGGAATGGAAAAAGTCCACTCTGTGTGGTACGTTTATAAATTTTACAAATTTCATGGTGATCGGTGAAGCCATTAAAACGGTATAAGGTAACAAACAAACTTACTTTTACACTTATAATATTTGTGAGGGTATTCTGATAAATCTCACTACCCACTTGATAGAAAGTGTCAACAATCACCTATAGGTAAGGACAGAAACAACACAGATAATGCAATGGTTAAGATCAGATCACATGTGTAGTGTAACAACTGGATTTAAAATGTTATTACAGTATTCAACAAATCACAATGTCCAGTTCTAAAGTCACATTGAATAACAAGAAAAATCCAGTTAAGAAGATAGCACAACACGATTGAGAAATTGCTCTTTTTAATGTTAGTTGATAACTGTTTATCATCATTGACCCTGACCGTACCTATTATATACTAAAATGTTGTCAAAATTATTGTGAAATATACATATCATATTGACCTTAGAGATTTACAGGTCCAAAAGCAACTGATGCAAGATAAGCGGTCGCTTACACCGACAATAAAAAAAAAAGTTGCAAGTAATCGAGGAATAAAAATAAAAGAACTTTAATATAATTATCAGTAAGGAACACAAATGAGATGCACATATTTTTTTGCGCACCAACATGTTGTTCGCTCAAACCAATTTAATTCAGATAGAGGTCATTCCGGAGGATGATGATAATAGGGTCATGGCACGGAAAAAAAAACAACCATTATTACTTTGTCTATGATCAGAAACAGAATAAGTAATTTGATAACATAACAGAGAAACGTAAGTTAGCCACTGTAGGTATGTATTATAGGCAATTTTATTTTATCGTATAATATTAATTTATCAATATATAAATAAGATTATTATGAACCGTTAACTGTCGACTGCTGGATATAGACCTCCCCCATAAGATGGTGCTGGCTAATAGTTGCCACGCTTGGCAAGCGAGATTGTTTTGCAACTCTAATTAGGTTTTGAAGATGTTTTAAGAGGAACCTTGTTGCCCATCCCTCTTCCATTAAATTGTCTTAAGCGTCTCATATGACACCCATGGAACAGGAATGGACGGCCCATTCTATGCCGGGATCACACGGTGATATAAATAAGATGTACCAAATAAATTCGTTTTAAATCATAAACTTCCTAGTTGACCCGTGATCAAACTTGTAAATCATAGTGCTACTTGAAATAGTCAATACTTTTTTATTAATAACACATTTAGCGTTCATTCACACGACTAAGTCAATAAATTGTAATAAATATACATTTAGATCATAGGTAAATATCATATTTCTGGCTCTAATATCTATGTGTTTAGTAAATATTTGATCTCATTTCTACGTTTCCTCATAAAAAAAAACTAATGTCTGTACCCAGATGCTAGATGTTTCTATTACCTATATTATTGTTATTAATTTTTCATTACTATTATTCTAGTAAAACAGAAAAGAAGTAATTTTGCTGCGTAAAACAAACAAAAAAAAAAATAATAACAATTTCAAGACAAATAAAACACCGATGAAGGACGAGATAACTTATATTTAAAATAATTGAATTCCAACTAATTCGATAAACAGTAGCACAATAAGCAGGATTTAATTCCATAAAAAACAGCAACTTCAATCCTTTTAACATTTATATAAAACAAACATGGAGGAAAACTCTATTGAAAAAAAAAATATCCAAATCAATTCAAAACTGATAAAAATATAGAGTAAGAAATGCACCAAAAATACAGGCAATTTACCTGTATTTTTGAACTTTGAGAACTTCTTAAAATAGTAGAGTAACATAAAATAGTAACGAAAAAATAGTTTTCGAACTTTCATAAACAAAGCAATACCAGTTCATGTCCAATGCCATTAGGCCGGATACTTTCTTTTTCTGCGGCGGGGGCAGATGTATGACGCAGCTGAAACACAAATATTTTCAACGACATAACGACGCCGTCGTCATTGCGTCGGATGTACGTCCAACGTTCACCGACGAGTGCCAGCAAACAGCACTACGGCGTCACCAAATTAGAAGCGAACCCATGAATTCAGGAGGGGGGTATTTCATGACGCGCAAGCCCCGCCTTAGCTGCTCGCATCCATGTCAGCGAACCACGGACAAACACGGCAGCCATACGCCAAAACGAGGAACATCCAGAAATAGATCAACGAAAATACATTGAAAAATAAAAACAATTATAGTTTGGCAGATTTACTGAAACATTAATAGCGAGTATTGTAATATAACAATAAAGCTCTTTAACGCGGTCAACAGAAACGAGGGGAATCCAATATTAACGAATTGTAAGTAGATACAGCACTAAACACGTAACCTTCGAATGTTGATAAGAATAATAAGTGAACTTTTGTTATGGTTCGTATATCAGGGCGTGTGTGGTTCTCGTTTGTCGTGTCAAAAGCCTGCTAATGGAATATTAAGTGTGACGGGCGCAAACGTTTGAAAATGGAAGATAATAAGGTCATGAATGTCGAGAACCGGATACCACCGGTTCCAAGAAGAGAGGCTGTTTCAACATAGACAAACTGTTATATTTATCACTGTCCACTCACAACTGTGCAGCTTTATTTTAAATGTTGTGATGTATTACATAAGAAGAAATAAAAATTATAAATGTTTTGGAATACAAAAACAATATCGTTAATATTTTAATTATTAACTTTCCACTGCTAAACATAGATCTTCCCATAGACTACCATAAAAATGGTATCGAGGTTATAGACTTTTGTATTCATAGTCAGGTGATACAAAGATGTGAAGTAGTTTCTTGAATACTGCCCCATTAAGTTGGATTTGTTTGACCTCTCGACCGGAGTTGAACTTAGCCAGTCTGACAAGTTCCAGGTACCTATATATATATATATATATATATATATATATATATATATATATATATATATATATATATATATATACACACATAGAAGTCGAGAACTTTGAGCGCAATATTACCAACCATGACCGCTATAAGTATGAAATGAACGTTAGACATGAAAAATAGGCAATAAGTTCTATTAAAGAAATCGGTAGTCTAATTCATAAATGAATGCTAATCACTACATATAAGATAAAAAAAATCACATACACCAAAAATACGTACTGATTATTTCTAAAATGTCAATTTCAACTAATTGTTTTCGTGTTATAGATATTGCAACAACAATAACTGGGTCATGAAAATTCTTCATTAAATTCAACGGTCACCTATTCTCAGATAATGTTTGACCTCATTCTAAAATATTATTTTCACTAAAATAAACAGTATGTATCATTTGTATGTATATTAGAAACAAAACTCGCGACAATGAATTAGGAAAATATAAAAATCACGAAGTCGTGTCAAGAATACATTAATATTTCAGAAAAATATTTCAGTATAAGTCAAAAGTTCTTTTAATTATAAAAAAATATTATTTAAATAACGAAATCTACTTGTATACAAATTGTGTAACTATATTAAGAGAACATAGAATTTAACAAACCAAACAAAACGGATACTTTAGTTTGCAACGTCTGAATAATATGACCCCGACAGAACACAACATGTATTTTCAAGTTATTTGCGGTATACACTTCTGTTTTCGTGGATAACATTGACATTTCCTTGCATGCCAACGTTCGCTAAATGTGTATCCGGCTACTTTATACGATATTTACTGCT